AATAAATGAGGAATATAAGATACATTTTTTGTAACTATAGGCGCGATAATTTAGGTACAATATCAAATACTGCTTCAAAATGTCTCTTAATTTGTTCAACACTGGTACACACACTCTAATAGTTAAATTTGTAGGAAAATATATGGGAAAATTGGAAGTTAAAAAATATAGGTCCGTCTCTGGAAACGTTCTTCAAACGTTCTTTGAACGAAACAAGCAAATACAATACGGAGCGAGAGCCACAGAGCCCTATTTAATTTTAAATTCAATTTACGGGGTGTATTTTCTAACACTTTGAAGATAGACTGCCTGCAGATCACATAATTATGTGTTTTATAGAAAATCTGGGAATGAACTTTAACGTCTGGACGTGTCACGACTTCGGTACACGCAGATACTTCTATACAGCACGCTTTTATTATCTTTTTGATACTGGTTCGTTAACGTTTTCCATTTGGAATTAATTGCCGGGCACATACTTGGATTTAGATTTTTTTTTGTTGGGGTTTTTCTCAATTAGGAAGTTGTAATTTTTCGTGGAATTGAGGATCACTTTTTTCCCCAACGATGCCAATTTTACTTATTCCCTAAATATGGGCATTCTACCGTAAACTTCGGCTCACGATCGTTATGCTTACAAACAACCCCTACAAGTACTCGAATTTTCTTTATTCATCCTTTCCTCAATTTCAACAGATTTAATCGTTAAGTTTATACTTCAAAGTTTATATCCATTACCGAATCATCTCGTTACACTATTTTTTCGGTGCTTTATCCTCACAAAAACAATAATTCCGTTATAAGGAAGACAGCAGCAATCACTTAGAGAACAATTAGTGCTCCAACACTTGGCGATAATTACATTTCAAGTTTACAGCACTTCAGGCGTTTATCATCCTTGTTCGGCTGTTATAATCTCGATGAGATATATGAAACACCGCCTGTCAGGAACAAGTGACATTATAGAAAAGCAGTCGCTTTGTATTAAAATCCTCGGTTTAAAATTGATATTTGATCAGAAAACAGAAGCCACCCCAAGCGCTTTCCCAGATAATAAATAAACAGGTGTAGGTGTATACCAGACCGTTCTGGATTATATTGTTTTGCAAAATAAATTAAGATGTTGTTGAAATAACGTAAATTTCATTTTAGTGTATACAATTCAGTGTATTAAGCTTGAGAGAAGAAAAATATCGAAAAATGAGAATTTGTATCTAACCGAATACAGCAAAAAGTGGGTGCCTGGCGGCACAAAACATGACTTTTTACTTAGTGGTGTCTCGCTATTAGAAAGTGCTCACCATAGTGGAAACCTCCTCGCAATAAGTAATTTTTCATGGAGGATATGATTCTGGCAGCACCCAATTTAGGCACGACCCCGCCGTAATTTCGGGAATGGGACACGTGGCCGAAGTATTAAGAAACCGAGTTTAGTTCCTGTCATTTCACACACAACGCCAAAATTGTTTGATGGGCACAGAAACGCGATCACCCCAACAATTATTGCGGTTTAAATGACGTGGGCTCCGGCAATTATACACAATAGATACAAAATCATTAAGTCCGGACGAACTCTTTACGCAATTATCCGATTCTTCGGAGTTAATTAATCTATTTATGTTTTTTAAACACGGACAAATACAATACGTCCGTAATTTAAAGTTAATGGGAATTTAAGAAAAATAACCGTTATTTAGTTACGTTAATAACATCATAAAATCGATTCCCAACTCTATTAACGAAATGTCATTAGTGTAATTTTTTGACAGTTAGATTGTTTGTTTACATTTTGTATCATCATAAGCAACTTAAATTCCTGGAATGAAATCAAAAGCAAATAAAATCCAACGATTATTGTAATATAATATAAAAATATTTCATAAAAATACGATAATAGAATTAAATTCGTTTTCATAAATACAAATGCGAAAGTATTTAAATAAACATTCGTCTCCGTTGACACCCAATCTGTTCCCATAAGTCCGACCAATATTATTTTAACTGTCTATAACATATTTTCTTAGAATGAATAAAATGGAAATAAGATATGCTTCCAAAAATGACAAAGGTTCAAGTTCTCTTCTTTGGTTTTATTTGCTTTAACACTTGCCTGCAACACTACCAGCGCAATGGATCATTGATCAAAAACAATGGTCGTAAATCTAAACTGAGCTATAACCATTGATGAAATGATGTTCGAACGTGACTTCGAACAATTTTTTAAGATGGTCTCTACTCCGAAACAATCTTAAAGTCGAAGCAAATTACTATGACAGATATATATCTACATGTGTACACATGCTTAATTACTTAAACAAATCCTGTTCGTCGAGATCAATGGATCTTATTCGCAAATGAGGAAACGGCACTAAAAATGTATATGTCGTTAAAACGGATGAAGAATATGAGATGTCTTTATTCGTATTTTTAATCATAAATTGGTTGAAAACTCAGAAGAAGAATTATTTAATAAAATTTAGTACAATTTTTTAGTATTTATTTTAGCAAATTCTACTACGGTCTAATTTTACTTTATCCAGCATTAATACCAATATAATTACACCTATATTTCATATTCTCAAAACATTTACACTTATTAATAATTTTTTTCGTATCATGTGCATGCTAACCGTGGCTCTTCCCCTTTGTTTATGCCCGTTTGTCAATATCCTAGAGCAATTTCGTTCCACTCGCTGACGCAACCAATATGTTTTTCGATCTTTGAATTATTAAAATGAAATTAATCAAGTTTCCGTATTAATTCGCTGTCCAAAATGCGTAATGCTTATATTATCGTTTAGCATCATATTTGTACGAGCGAAATTGGAATGGAGCTGGAGGGATAAGTTTAAAAGTTGATTCATGGGAAAAAATAATACGTTTTGATATGAAGTAGGGAGAATTGAGTGTGAGAATTAATAAAAATTTTGCGCTAGTGAGATTTATATTGAACACTTGAGTTAATTATATCGTGTCTTGTCTATAAGTCCCGATATTTGGATTTTATTGTCACGCAACAGCGCTTCGTAACTTCCTAACGCGAGCGTTGGTCCCCTTAATTGGAAAGGGTGCACAATAAGTAGATAACACTAATCCAAAAAGGGTAAAATTTTGGTTCCACGCTTCATTTCACATCTCCAAAAAGTGCTATTTAATATACCAACGGCGATAAATTCGTGGATTTCTTTAACCCGGCAATACTGCTATGGAGAAAAATCAATTCCTTCCGATAATGAGGTTAATCGAGCAGGCTAAACTACGCCTTATTAGCGAAAACGCTCAGTCTATACCAAGTACTAAACGGAACGGGAAGAGAGGGTGGAAGACAAAAAAAAACTATCAGACATAACGGGAGCCTCGAACGGAAATAGGACTGTCATGAATCCGGAAGGTGCAAAGAACAACACGGTAAATCTACTTCCATAGACAGCAAGCGCTTATTGAAAAGGAAACTGTTAGATTGAACTTCGAAGGGAATAGAACATTGTACCGAGCGAAGAATGGGGGCAGATGTACGAATAATATTCGTTTAATTCGAAAATATGTAATTATTTACCTAATTGAGTATCTGAAAACTTACATTTAATTGCTACAGACTCAGAAATTTGGAAATATGTGTTAGGTAGGTAATGTCTAATATTTTTAGTGAAGTGGAAAACTATGAAAGACTATCAATTTTTTTATGCTGTTTTGAATAGCATTTCAATGTAGGCTAGAGTAAATTAGAGTAGAGAATAGACTATAGATAATAAAGAATAGAAAGCAGAATATAGAGTAGAGCTGTGTGGGGAATTTTATCATCTAATCAAAATGATATTTTTCGCTCATCCTAGTCATTAAGCGAGGAAAACTTGGATGAAAATCGCTATTATTTAAAATAATCGTAGCGGAAAAACCAATTATAATTTTTCACGGACGGAGTCTGAGTTACAATCGATATAAATTTTGCAATTTCTCAGTACCATCGATATAAAATTTCCTCGCAATAGCTAGAAATTGAAAAAATACCTAATCAATTACCTACCATTATGTCCGCCTTGTAGTCATAACAGAGAATGGAGAATAATCTACGGTGATTGATCGCGATTGCGATGACACAAGAGAAAAGTCATCTAATCGCATCATCAGAGTGTTTCTCTATTAATATTTCTGCATAAATCCGCACTGACAGGACAAAATCGAAACTGAATCATTTAAAAAAAAAGGTAAATAGTCAATTAATCAGTTCAACGTCAGCATACTGTTTTACGGTGTTGTTTATTGCGATTATTTTTCATTGAAAAATCGACTAAAGCTGGATGAATGTTTAAAAGTAGGTAGCAATTACATGCTGATCACGTCGAGCTAGAAATTTTGAAAAGGTTAAATTTAAATTGGTGTTGTTTTATAAATGAATACATCAAATTGTACAGTTGAAATGTACCTATTTTACTTCTACGAATATTTCAGAAATCTATAAGAGTTGAGCGTCGATACTAAGTAAATTTATTTAAACATTTAAAACAATAAATTCGTTTCGTTTTAATTTGTCGAAACCGATTTTCCCCCCGTTTGGGTTTTTTAAAAACCGAACACGTGCGCAAGCATCGCCCCAAAAGCTCGAAAGTTATCCTAAAACATGATAGGGGAGCACTCAACAAAGCCACATTACAAAGCTTCCCTCAATTATTAACAATTTACCATCCTCTTCTGTAATAGCCCGAGTTAGACGAGTGCGCTCGCGAAGAGCTCTCTATTCGCCGGCAGACAAATGAACGTTGCCCGCCAGATCGTTGAATCATTTGAATCGTTTTACGTGCATATGGTTGCAAAGAGGTCTCATTCTGGTTTGTTAAATATCTTTTTCCGCGAACGAACGAACGAACGAACGAACGGCTTAAAGTGCGCTTTTATCCCAGAGGTTTTATGAATTTTTCATTTTTTCGTTTTATCTGCGATTCGCTTAAAATTCTTTCTAATCTAATCTAGCAATTAATTTGAATTTAATGAGAATTATTTACCCCAGTATCCTTCACAGTAGCGCGATTGCACGTCGATTTCCAAAAATACGCTGTTCAGGAGAGGTTGCTCGCTTTCATCTAAAAACAGAATATCAATTTATTACAAAATTTATAACAATTTCTGCTTCGTTAATAATTCAATAGGCTCAATTTTCCATCACAACAACGATTTTTTCCATCGACTCGGTCAGTGTTTACGTCGTTTAGTTACATTATCTTTTATGGAGACCTAATGGCGTTAGTGTCATTCGGCACTTATTTCGGATTATATTTTATCAGTGATCTCACAATCGCAGCAGGAAATAAAGTAGCTCCCCAACTCAGCCACAGGGGTTACAAAATGATGAATCAAAGGACATTTACACTATGAAAACAGCTTATATCCACCTACATTTTTACACTATCATCGTCACTATATTTGTAATTAAATAACTTTTAAGAATATATTGCTGTTATTAGTGTAACTTTTCAAACGAAAGAATCAAAAAGAAATATCAATTCTCACCGGCAAATATGCCTCAAAAGTATCAGGTTTCAACCCAAACGCAATGTAAAGCTACATTTATTCCATGAAAATTTTTAATTGCGAAATGACACAGCTAATCGAATTAAAAATGCATAAATTATTGGATTATAGGTTTTAAACGTGGATAAACGAATTAAAGTGTTACCGAAAAGGGCCCGAAAGGTTTTTTTTACAACAAAGGGTGCCGCTGTTTTAAATTTGTGGTGATTTATTTGTGGTTATAAAATTGCCAATGCCGACCTTCGGCGAGTATCGACTTACAAAAGGAAAAGTTCTATGTTATTTTTAGTAAACTATCAAAAAAAAATTATATCTACTTGTAACCTACGACATATTAATAACAATCGAATTATGAGTATAATAAAAAAATTAAAATAGGGTACTTGTAATGCAAGCGTGCTCTCCAAATTAACTTCGTTAGTGAGAAATTATTGTAGCGGGTAACAATGTAAAATTTGTAGAAAATTAAAAATTTTAATTGATCAAAATAGAGGCGAAGAATATTAAGGCGAAGCGTGCGAAGGCGCGATTTCGGATACAAACTAAGAAGTAATGACGGAGCCGTTAAATCTTAAACGACCCTAGAGATTAAGGAGACAAGTGGTGCCACGTTAGGGTATCTCAAGTCCCTCAATAACTCCAACAATTACCAGTCTTGACTCGCTTAATTAACTCTAATTAAATTCTGTTAAAGATACGGCCAATAACTTGACTCGTAACTAAAAAGCTAATGAAATTTTCCCGAAGTAATTTGATTTCAAAAATAGCATTACAAGAAATTAATGGAAACGCGCCCGAGCGGTACGCCCGAAGACCAAATAAAATATTATTCATAAATATCATTAATATGTCTAATTATTTGCGATTGTTCATCTACCGTCTTCTTTATGTTTGATAATTAACACTTCTAATAATTTCTTACTTACTGAAAGGGTTGCAAAAATCACAAACTTTTAAAGGGACTTTAACTGGAAGACTTTTAACTTTTAACTTTAGACTGGAAGACTAAGCAGTCTTACCAATACAATTTTAACATTTATTGCCAACTACCCGAAGAAATGTCCTAATACAACCTCCCTACAGTTGCGGTTTAAAGTTTTTTATTTTAATTTATGATTATTTTGCCACCACATTGAAAAAAATCCCAATCTTTAAGTGGTATTTTTATCCCTCGCGCCCTCTACTGCTCATAATAATTTCAGATAAACAAAAAATCGGTGTCATCATCATCCATTCATTGGACGATTTGTATGCGGTCATTTCCGCCAGCGCATAATGCGCGGAGGATTCGTATTATTTTTCAGAACTCGTTTCTAAAGTTGTCTAAAGATACCATCCATCGGGGAACATCCTGCTCTATATTTGAATTAACGCCTTTGTTTTTTCACTCAGGAATCAGGTGAAATGAAAGAGGATTTTCATCCATTCGTGTGCGAGCAGATGTATAGGCATTCAGTTCACACAAATATCCGCAATATACAGGGCGATACCAGTTTATATTTTAGTGCCTAATGTAGTTAGGTTTTTTGTTCCATTTATTCTTTTATAATTAAAGCTATTTTTGAAGATATTTGATGCCTTGTAAGTGGATTCGATAAAAGCTTTCGAGTTGAGACTTGGGTATATCTATAGGTAGAAGAGATCGATTGTACGGCTATGTGTGACCCCAACTTTAAACAAGATAATCTCGGGTCGTCATAAAACACACATTAGGGCTTCGAGTCCATGCGACAAGGCATGAAAAGCATAACTACCGAGCTTTCGCAAAAGGTTTTTGGATGAAAATCCAAGACGACACGCAATCTCGCTATCGCACGCGAGTTACGCCATATTGTCCTTTATGTCACCGATAAGACTGTCCACTTGCATGTCCGGTGATTTAGTGCTTACCCCTGTTTTTGTTAGAATCTCTTATAAGGGGAAAGAAAAATTCTCGGTTTTAGATGTGTTAGATGATAAGGCCAAGACAAAGAACAACGACAGTGTCACGAAATATACCTACTTCGTATTGCAGTAACACATAAAGCGATTTTCCTTTATCGATATATTTTATAAATTGCGAAAGTGTAGGCTACTATTGAAATGTAGTCGATTAAAATCAAATTACTCTAGTAGCGTGTACGATTTTTTGCACTAATCACTTTTTATTGAATGTACACTAAAGCGCCATTTTTCAATAAATGATTTATAATAAACTACTCTATAATTTCTACAAGGATCAAATTATGAAGTAGTTCAAAATTTGTAGCATTTAAAACACAGAACACTTATTTAACATTGACAGTTCTTCTATAATTCCTTGCAATATCCTTCAATTGCCTTCTAAATGATGTGAACGACAAAACAACATTTGTCAATTTTTGTTAATATTTTTTTTTATCTTTGTGTTATTTTTTTTTCTTTTTTTCATGGAGGAAATCATAGGGAAAAAAAGGGCGTTACATGCGACTTATACAAAAGTGAAGAGCAAGAGAAAGGTCAGAAAGCTCGGCGTCGAAGAACCCGTCAGGAAAACCTTGTACGATGTGGTCGTGGAAAATTTGAAATTTTCCGGCAGAAAAACGTTCCTGCACAGATTCATCTACATCGGAAGGCACAGCTTCAAAACCGAAGGCGATGGCATCGCCTGTTTCGAAAAAACCGTCAATACCGACGGAATAGAACCCATTTCAGGTTTGCACAAATTACTATAGGTACAAATAAATTAAATATCATAATTCATCATATTATTTACTAGGATTATATTTGCACTACAATCAACATTTTGTGCATGTAGTCGAAACAGACGAAGGCAGCATATACAAGCATTTAAATCTTCTGTTCTCTTCCGAGGATTTCGACAAATTGAGCGATTTAACATTATTAGGAGATCTCTGTCACATTAACAATAGATTAATTTCGTATTGGGCCACTTATGTAGGTAAGTATTAGTAAAAGTATTTATGAAATTTAGCTTTTTAAAACTAATCACATTGCCAGAATGAAACATGTTATTTAAACAATTTAGATCTAGGTATTAATTTTTAACTAAAATATGGATACTGTGTGGTTCTAAATACAATATAAGTCCTTGTAAGTCTTGTTGGTCTAGTTTTTGAAAAGTATTTTGTGCTTTTCCAGTTACTGTAAAGTTGTGCCTAGGATAGTGTGGACATTACAATATCTAATGTTTGATCTATTATTATGTTTCGCAAGGTACACCGAAGTCACTGGTAAACCCACCGAAAAAATCTGAAGTCGAAACGGCGAAAGACGCGGCGATTCAAGCATTTAATTGCGTGAATAAAATAAATCGATTGGTAGATAAAATGTACGGTAGCTCCAGCGTGAGCCTCGGAAAAGATGTCAGCAGCATATTGGAAGTCCAGGACGATGAGGACTCGTCGGCAAAAGGCGAAACGTCGGCTTCCATGTCTTCACAACTTGTCACAAAGTCTTCGATTCTCGGCAACCTGCATTCCCCGTTCAGGGATTACCTGCCCGAAAGGGAGCTGCTGGATTACTTGATAGATTCTCCGTACACCCAAAATCTGAGCAGGTATTTGGAATTCGGGGGATCGATTACTCAAGTTGGCGAATACAGCGACAAGGTTTGGCCTGTACCCGAAGAAAACATACAATACGACGTATTTGAGAAAGATTATGATAAAATGTTTACCATGACATCTCAGATGGGCGAGCAGAAGGAAGAAGAAAAATCCGACGATGATGATTTGGCCTCAGAAGATTTGGATATTAACAATAAATAGTCATTCTGGACGGAATTATCACGATGATGCATCATTTTAAGGCATAGAAACCATATTAAATTGGTTATACTATTTTGCAAGAACAACTAAAAATTGCCCAAATATCCTAGCTATGCATTGTTATAAAATTAAATGATATGTCATTGTGGTGAAGTATTGAAGGTGTAATGGGAAATATCTTTAGGGCGAGTTGTGGCTGATATATAAAATTTTACCAACTCAAATCTGTAAATTTTTTATATAAAACTAACTATACAACTCACCCTATAATAAAAAGTATCCATAATATGCGATGTATAAATAAAATTAAATTATCTGTTATCGAATTGCGTTTTAATTACTGTTTTTTCATATGCCTGATGCCTAACTGATATTTTCAACACTAAAATTTGTTCGTATTAATTACAAAATTCGACTAAATCTAGTTTCAATTTCTGAAATATCACTTCAAGTAATTATAATTTAGATTATTTAGAAAGTTAAAATATAAGAACATGTATTTTCTATTTAAAAGTAAAATGAATTTGAAAAGAAAAGAATTTCTTTAACATGTCTATAACTTGAAGATTTGGAAAATTTGCCGTGATTATGTTTTAGTTACTATAAAAATAATTTAAAGTTAAATTAATCTAAGCGGGTATGTTTAAGCAATGTGAGAATGATAAGCAACCGAAATTAAGCAAGCGTATTTCTAAAAAAAAGTTTAAAAATTTCCTACCTTGTGCAGCAATTTTTCGCGCTATAGACTTATATCTCATTGTAAATAGAAACGAAAAAACACTAAAATTTCTACTGTCTTCATATCATTAACTAACACATCATTTTCAACGAATATCCAGAGAATATAGATTGTGACAAGAAGAGTATGAGTAGTCTATTTTTTTTATATAAACCAGACCAATCAGAGACCGTCGTTAGATATCATGTTTTATCACTCCGTCGAGGCGACTGTGCCGTAATTTTTATTTCGAATCAAATTCTGTCACTGATAGAATAAAGGAAAAGGGCATTTTTTTTGTCTCTGTCGTTTGTTTTTACCTGAGAGGACGGACATCAACATAGCGTAAGTCGCGAAATTTTATTATTGCGTCGCGCATCTATTAGCGCACGGATACGCCCCCGAAAGATGCCACGCCAGTGGTGGGTAGATAAGACCATCTCGGTCGATACTCCGGGACAATCCGGGTATTCTCCCGGATTCCTATCACAACCTCCCGCGGCCGCCGTAGGCTGTGTACAAATTCTGCCAGATTGATGCATGTCTAATGTGTTTATTTTGGCCAGAGTTATATTAACGATACCAAATCTTGCATATTTTATTTTGTTGAAACGGATTTATTTTATCCAATCTTTATTTTATAAATATACCAATGGTTTAATACTAACAATTGTTGTAATATAGTGCGTTTTCTACGGGATTCGATACATTTAGTTTTTAGGTAATTTCTACTCTTAACTTTGGCACATTTTTACACAAAATTGTATGAATTTGGTATATTAAAACTATTACACATAAAATACATGTAGTTTTAAGCGCAACATAATCCCCGGATTGTGATTAATTATAAGAACTGTATACATTTATGTTCACTTTTACACTAACATTCAAAAATACGATAATTTATTTCAATCTTTCATCGACTTGAAAAATGTTTAATTTCACTTACACACACCAGTTTTGGCTCAATTTTACCTTTAAAAAGTTAATTGAATTGTAGGTATTTTGAGACTTATGAAAATCGAAAAGCTATGTTTGATAAGAAGTGCATCAATAACTTATCTAATTTAGAAATTTCATTTCTTGGTTATAGCAACTATATTGTTCAATCAAGCAACCGCGCAATAATAAGTTTTTTTTTATTGGGTATAAAAAAGTTTAAGAGAGCGTTTTTATATTTGCCAAAATAATTATTACCCAATAATTAGCCTATTAAAAACTTATCACTTTATTGATAAAATATTAAATTTATCAATTGCGATAAAACGGGAGTGAAAAATAAATTGTTCCAGAAATACTCGAAATTTGATATGTAAGTGCTTTATGCATTAACTATACACGGTGAATAATTTATTAAATAACTTTAAAAACATATCCCGACTTTAGAATTACATTTTTCTATGCACCATATTATGGAATTATTCTAATTTTTAATCCTATAATGCATATTCTAATCGAATTATATTTTCATAAAATAACATTTATTATGTTGAACAGGAGGAAACCAATTTCAACTTTAAGATGTAGCTACACGATTAAGACTATTTGCATTGCATGTTATGCGCCTTTTATAACGATATCGATTTTTCCAGAGTGTTCTTTAAATAATATGTCAACCTATACCTTTGCGCTATTTCTGAATAATCGTGGAAGAATAAAACGTGCTATCTAACAAGGACAATAATTATCTTCGCCACAAAATATGGAAATAGGATTTTTACAGTATCACGACACCTCATTAGCATATATGACGAACAGGAAATTAAAACGTGTGTCGAAATTACTAACCCCCGGTACTTATGTTTGAACCATCTACAATAACCGCGCTTGTACAGGGCTGTAACACCCATTATAGATAGCCAGATCCTTGGGTCATTGCACCTATTCTTTAAATTTTATACAACATTTAATTAGGGTAGGGCGGGGCTAGTTGAGCAACTTTTCACTTTAGCGGATATAGCTCATCAATGATATGTGTGAATGACTTGTTATGTGGCTTGATGGATTAGTAATTTATCCCTTAACAAAAGTGTCCATAGTAACTTTTTTGTAACTAGTTGAATTTAAGAGCTACAGCTGTTTAAATGCAGAAAGTCAAGTATGCTCAATGTACCCCATAGGTGAGGTAAGTTGAGCAACGGTATGTTTACATATAGGATATGTTTATTTTTATAATCATCTCTTTATTTATTGTGATTTAGTGACAAAACAACAAAACTTAAAGTAATTTACGAGCTTTCTGTTTAAAATCAGAATTAAATAGCTTAAAAAAATATTAATAATATATTAGCAAGTTTTGGTGGTTATTACTGTTGCAATTAATACAAATGAAAGTAAGACCATAGCACCTGGAAGACATTTTATTTGTGCCCATTCCCTGCAAGCTTGGCAGTGAATCCAACTTTCTCCTGGTAAATTTCGCAGTAGTTGCTCAACTAACCCCAACCCGCAATTTTAAAATAAAAGTGAGGTCATAAAGGAATCGTAAGAATTATAACCAGAACATCTCTACATATCAAAAGTACAATAATTTTCTGGAATATTAACCCTTACCCCATTGAAAACGGATAATATTTGACTAATACAGACGAAAACTTGCGATAGACGACGTTTTTACTTTTTGGTCACAAAAAAAACAAAACGCACGGGGGCTTTACTCGCTTGTCGAGGCGCCACTTGCAATAGCTCTGTGATTAGGTCTCCCCCGACCCCTTCTTTCCGCCATAAGAAGTTTATGCGTACGGTGAATAGTTTGCGAGATATTTCGATTGCACAACTTACCCGTATGCTCAACTAGCCCCGCCCTACCCTACAATAACTATACGCCTAAAAAATCCGAATCTGTTTATCTTCATTCCAATATCATTAGTTTTTTTTACCATCAAACCATCAACAGTTCCTCTAAAATTCAGCCGTCCCTCTTGAAGCGTAGCAAGAGACAATTATTCTTTGATTGCACCTCGCGCTTTGACAACTTTAGTGAAGACCTTTAAGAGCCACCTTTTCAAGTGGCGGAGAATTAATGAACAATATTGTTTCTGTTTAGCTACGTGTAATTGAGGGATTTCTAATGGATAGCGGCGCAATTGTCGGTTCAATTTATTCGCCGAGATCAAAGGATGCTTAGGTACATTAACGTGGAAAATACCTTTCGATCGATTTTAATTAAATTAATATACCAATATATTTATTTTCGAAGTTCTTGTTTTGATTGTTGAAAATAGTCGCAAATTGGAACAGTACCCTATGCGTAAATATGCATGCATTTTTCTTGTCAGCTAACACATAGAAAGTATCATTGAGTTAATAACTTTCTGAACTTAAAAGCTTTTGCGGTCAAAATGGCTCTGTCACAAACAGTCACCGTCCGTGACCACACAAAGCGAAAGTTGGCTGGACATGAACATTCAACTGTCCGCATTTTCGCACAACATATTACTAACTTTGTAAATTTTCAATTGACTGTCACAGCAAAGTGCTTTAGATATAGAGTAGAAAATTAGATTCACCGGTGAAAATGGCGTTAAAGCGCTTTATGATCGAAAACCCTATTGTTTTACATTCAAACTTTGATTTTAAATTAACGAATACTATTGAAACAAGTCCGAAACAATGGCTATAAGCTGTGGCGACGATACAACATATAAGTGCAATCAATATATCACCAGTGTGACGTCAAAGCTGAATTAACGTGAATGTAGTATACTTATAAATCATTATCATCGATTATTTTTCTGTAACAGAGCAGTTACATTCTATCATCGAGTCCTATTAGATCCTCCTAAGTAGATAGATTGCTGCAGAGTATATTATTCTGTCCTTTTGGGTATTGATTAAGAGAAGCGCTATTTTTTCTTAGCCTCAAATTCACTCCAGCAACGATCGATGCATTATGAGCTAGAGTGGACTTTCCTTCCTGTCGGGCGCTTGTCGGCGTTTATAAATAATTTATAGCTTATCGCCCAATGGAATTTTGACGAATTGGTGATGGTTCAGGGCGTTATCGCTTGTATGTGAACAGATTTTATTTAATTACGATTTTTTTCAAACACTTCTCCACCACTCTCTTAGTAGTATTCTAAGTACTACTAACTGTACAATCATTGTATTAAATTAATAAAAAAAATGTAAAATTAATAAATTTCTCAAACGATAAAATACGATTAATATAAACCTTGAAGAAACATTTTTCCATGAGCGGTCTACGTCCACCTAACAGCCAATTTATGCTCAATGCATAATTCAATGATCGATTTTTAATTACATGATAGAGGATAAAGGTGTCTGTATTTGTAACAAATTTAACGCGTACGACGGATGTTTACATATCATATTTTTTGTGATTAATTTAGGGTGTTTGTATCACGTTAAATAAGCCTTCTGTCCGACTTTATATCCAGAAGGGAAATTATTTAACTAGCGGCTTCTCGTTAATTTTGTGTATAAACGGCTACAATTATTTCTGTTTATTATATGGTATCATTCATTACGCCCATTATGTATGACATACACTTGTTTGTAATTAGATAGAGTTTAGTAAATATTCAATTATAACTAGTACAATAAACAAAAAATATTTCTTCACTAATTATGGTACTAATTTGAAAGTAACGAATTTTAGAGTAGGTAGCGAAAATAAAATTTAATATTGCTAAAAATTTTCTATTGAATGTAACAAATATTTTTGTTCCGAACAAATAGAGATTGGGTTAACGAGCACACTAAGCAGCTCTTGTGCTCTTGATAAGATAAGAGATAAAATTCAAAGGTAAAAGCGATTTGGCCGCAATTCAAAAGCCTTTACCAACAAAATCCAACACTTCACGACATCTACAGTTGAAAATATTAACCAGTGGGAAAATCGATCTCGGTCCAACATAAAAGAACCACTCGTATTCTTCAATTCGCTACTACATAGGCAACACATTTAACTCAAAAAAAAATGTGCATGTAGGTGAATGGGATAAAGTAAACGATCAATAAGTAAGCAAAATAATATTTACTTTAAGTGGTGGGGTATTACAAATAGGACTACACGTTTATTATTGCATAAGTATTAATCACATGAACAGTATACTTCTTTTAACGACATCCTTGCAAGCTATTTTCTTAACGAATTTGAAAAGAGCGTCGATAAGATTGGCAGGAGTCGATTTTGGACAATTTTCCATATCTTTTACCACACATGTCTGGATTTTCACGAGGTCACTGAAAATGAGAGTTGGTATTATCAGAAAAACGGTGATTTTTTGCATGGCATTTTTTGCAACTTACTCGCACACTCTTTTGTCCACTACCAAATTGGGAATGGAATTGGCCGAGAAAGTCTCTGGATTGAATTTAATGGTCTCATTCACGCAGTTTTGAATCCCTTCTGAGCGAGATTTCAAGCAATCAGCTCCTCCTTCGGCAACGAACACTAAAATATTTAACTATTTAAAATTTACTCCCTTGATTATGTTGTAATTTAGATGAAGCTGCTTTACAAACTTTAGTAGAAAATATTAAAATAAACATACTAGCTAGGCGGTCTCCATTTTTGAAGCAAGCGAATTCTCCCAATTGTTGAACGATATTCGAGGTAAAATTGACGGCGTTTTTTTCCTTTTCCTCGAGGCACGGCTCGAGGGCGTCGTAAGTTTTCTTAATGCACGCCCTGAATTTGGGTATTTTCTTGCAGTATTTATTGAACACTTCGTCCATAGATCCGCTTTGTCTAGATACTTCCAGCTCCGTTTTGAAAGCATCAATGCTTATCAGGTTTTCTATGCAAGTTTGCGTTTCCATTCTCGCGGCCTAAAGTAGGTTTAAACGAATTTAACTAGCTATTTTTTATTTGATGTGATTAATACCTTAATTTTCTCGAATGTGCCATTTCCTGCCTTCTTGTCGCATCTATCTTTTAACGCTTCGAAATCATCTAAATCGGGAATGGCAGGATCAGCCAAACAGAATCCCACTATTCCTAAAAGTAGCAAATAATAAACACAATTATAACATAACATCAAATAAGGCACTTACCGAAAAATAATCCTAAAATCACAATTTTCTGTTCCATTTTTATCAGTAGCTCATTTATTATCTTTAATGAAGTAAGTAGAAAATAGTAGACGAGTTTGTTGATCGGTACTCCAATAAGTACTAAAAGAATATTGACGCAGTTCTTTTCTTCTCGGAATCTTTTGTGATATGAAAGAGGTCAAAACAATTTATGCGATTACTTTATCTCAGTTGTGGCAATTAAATTATTTAAGTGTAGTTTTCCTTTCTCTGTGGAGTTGTTTTCATTGATCGTTATGCAGATGATTAATTTGATGCATTAACATTGCCCATCATTGGTTTTAATTGCCATGCGTTTGAAATTCTTTAAATTAATTAGGATTTGTTTTATATAAACATTCTCTTGAATAAATGTATTTGTTAGAATGTATGTAAGTGGAGAATTTTGCAGGTGTTTTTCGAAGGTAAAAGTAAAAACGTTTATCACATATCCGTTTTATTTCTACAATAATAACATTTTAATCTATTAACAATGTCTAAGAAATTAAATGATAATTACAATAAAGTTAATATTATCAGTACAATACACTGGCTAATCTTATAAAACTATATACATCACTAACTTCTTCTTAAACTGGCAGCAATCTTGAATTTTGCCGGCCACAACGCTGTTTAATCAAACATTTATTATAAATAATACTCTGATCAAGATCTCAACAATGAGTTTTCCAATTAATTACAAATTTTTACAGAACTATTAAAATACAAGAAAATATTTAATAGCACCACTAATATTTTTTTTAATTTTGTTAACATAAATTTCATATTTGATAAAGATTCTAATTTTAAAATTAGCTTAAAAAATTAAATCTATTTTCAACTCCCAATAAAGTCTATCTTTCGTAAATTACAAGTAATTTGTTACTAAAATAAAAATATTTATTATTCAATGTAAATATTTTTATTTAAAACATTATTAGTTATACAAACTAACTAACCCGATATTTATAATTGAAGTATATAAAGTTAATTACTGTTTTTAAATTTTTCTCATGCATTATCATTGAATCACTCTAAGTACAATTACATCCTACAATATTTCGAGAATATCTTTTAATCTATAAGAAAACAATTTGAAATTTTCTGTTTTTATTACTTATCCATATATGCTATTCGAGTTGGGATCTCGTTCAGAGTGTCATAAAATTAGCCTGAAAATCTGCACTGACCATTTAGAGTATTTTTGACAATCATATAAGCCCGAAATTTGGACTTTATTTACACATACTACAATTTTATTACAGGCGAGATTGTTGAATGTACTTAAATTATTTGTAGGATATTTTAAGCTTAGGTACACCATTTTTGGTACAATTCAAGTAAATTACTTACAAATGTAGGGTGACTTTTTCGCGATTTTTACTAAATTCGATAAAAATGCAGGAAGAAAATGTTCGCTTCGACACGAACAATTTGGATATTTTAGAGTTTTTAAAAACACCCTATATTTCATCAAATAAATATAGTACAGTTTCTTTCAACAAAGTTTTGTTCAAGCTCTCTCGCCTAAATACGTAAAGTTTGAATAACAACATACAAATTGTATTTTGTATATTGCATACACTGTATGTTATTTTTGAGGCCATTTCCAGCTACACGCGGTAGCTGATTTTTTTTTCAAAGCGCAACAACAATCATTCTACAATTTTACAATTAAACAAATTCGAACGAATATTTATTTTAGATAAATATAAGCCAGATTTTAAAAATTCGATACACTTAATTTGCTCACAAGATACTTTAGCATTCGATATTTTCCACAAAGAAAATACTGTTAAAAGCACAAAATTTGACCACTCTGGGTGTAATCAATAGTTTATTTTTGATTTATTTAATCAGTTTTACGTAACGATTCTGATTAATTATCAGCTAATTATCATCTCGTCTAGAAACGCGAGAAAATTTGTTTTGATTTTGATTTTGCAGTATTGTCAATAATTATATTATTTAAAGCGAATTTAAATTTCTCATTTAAACTATGCATGTGCATTATGCAATTAATTGTAACCAGAAAAATTATAAAAAGCGCCTACTTTACCAATTTATTTCCTTCAAATCTCCTATTCCTTTATTCATACAAAGTGATTAAATATTTTTTTCTTTATGAGGACATTATTTTCGTGTATTTAATATGTAAATATGGGTAATGTGGGAGATTGAAAAACTAACGAAAAATTTCGTTTGGACCTGTTACCTTAACATTAAAACTACGTATATCTAAACTTTCTACTACAACATATAACTTCATTGTATATGATGTAACTCGTGCTTATAATATAGTAGGTAAATATTAGTGTAAGACATACAATTTTTTATGCGAACCCGTTGAAAACTGCACCGTTTTTCAACTGCTCTTTTTTTAATTTTTATTCAACATCTAATTAGATACTCGTGTGCGAACAATTACTGTTTATTAATATCAACGACGTACATTTTCGTAAAATACCTTAATTGTGTAATACAAATACAATACTGGATAATGTTTCGGTGATTTCGTTGTATCGACTAAATTGTTATCGATTAAATTAAACATTCAAGAAGGAGGTGTTGTTTCTTTCTTAGAAAATCTTTTCTGAGATTTACTGTGAAACTTCTAAGTAAGTATTAAATATTTAATAGTTGTAGGAATATTGTATATTTTATAAGGGAATTAGTAAAGCAATCATTGCCTGATAAAATTTTGATTTAATTTTATTATTGAATCAAAACGAAATCACTGAAACTGAAGTTATGTTATATACAACTCTACAAAAGCCTTTTACAGTCTCGTGAATTTTTCATTAATCTTTCGCTTCGAGAACGTTACTAAGCATTAAGGTCTCAACAAGAATGACTTAAGGGCTCAGGAAAGTCTTTTCCATGCGAGTCGTCGATTTTTAGTAACGTCAAAAGAATCGTTTAAAATGTACCTGTGTAGGGCTGTAAAATTAGGTTTTTATAATTTTTTGGTTACATCTAATATCATAGCGTGCGTGTAAAACAGTGGAGAGGAAACTATTCGTTATTTTCGTGAAAAAAACTATGCTTTAGGTAGAGGTTAAACGACTTGTGAGCAAATATCTTGAGCTAAACCAACTTGCGAAGGTAATTATAGTCAACATGAATTTGTAAAACTATACTATGACTATATACGCCAATTTAACTTCTAGTCGTCATCCGTTTCGTTTAAAGAAATGCCAGAAAAATATGGTGGGAATTTTCTGAATACACAAAAATTGAAATTATGAACTATCATACGTTTTATTTTAATGAATTATGTGCATTGTATATTTAGGCAATACAAATTTAGGCTTTTTTTTGTAAAAAATCGAAGCCGTTAAAAAAATAGCTGAAATATATACACCCTGTAAACCATTAATTATTCATCAAATTTTCGAATGTGCTAACGAAAATTTTCAACAAAATTGATGCACGTCTGTGTATTACCTTTTCTTAAAGACAAAAAGTAAAAACATCACCATCTTTTCTTGAAACATTTCTATCATTGGCCACTCCTTTCAATATTTCGATTTTTCACCGAGTGTGACATAGTACATAATACTTGATTTTTTTTTTCTATTTAGAGATATCCTAACGTTGCGTAGGTCTTCACAAAAGGAGTGTCAACTTTGCAAGTTTCCCTGCAAAATAATTTCCATCAACACAAATAGCAGCCTGGCACTTTCAATATCAGAACGATCGATTAGATATACCTATAGCAGCATTCTAATGAAACGTCAGAAAAAGCAAATTACTCTTACTCGTCTTCCCAGGGGCACACGTCGTTCGCCTTAGCTTCACCTTGTTCCTGCGCCACTTGCCCCTCGCATTCGCCTTGTTCCACTTCCTGTTCCCTCTCCAGCATTTCGCCCACTTCGGACGGGGGCAGTTCGCTTCCCGGCGACTCGCTGTCGGGCTCCGCCAGCGGCGCCATCGGTTCCTGTATGCAATATATCGACAATTCGTCCTTTTCATCCTTCCTCGTATTACTACTACTCTCTGGAAGCACACGTGATAATCGATTGTAAGTTATAGTCTGTTCGCTATCAGGAGATTGTAATGAAACCTTCTTGAAGGAGTAAATCTAACAAATAAAAAATAGGCACTATTTAACAATTTACTTTAACAATTACTGGTAGTGTACGCGGGGGCGGTGATAAATTGGGAGAAATATATTTATTACCTGAGAGTTTAAAAGGATATTTTAATCTTACAGGAAAATGCTTGCCGTTTTTATAGAATAGAGTAGGGTAGAATGAAGTAGAATGAGTAGAATAGAGTAGAATATAGAGTTAGAGTAGAATATAGAGTAGAATGTAGAGTGAAACATAGAGTATAATAGATTAGAATAGAGTAGAGTGCATCAAGCATTTAAAGGATTATTTAGGGTTATTTTCTGGGGACTCTGCGCCCAATTTAACTGTCAGATTAAAATAACCTTTCATTATCGTAAATTAAAATAAACATGACTCGATGGTACATTCCTAAATTTTTGATATATCACGTTTTTTTTGAATTCGTGCTGTATTTCTCATAAAAAAGGTTTCATTACAACCTTCTGATAGCGAACGGAGTATAACAAAATAGTACCTTCGCTAGGAACGTCATCCATAACCGGACTGACACTGATCGTAGGCGCATTCGACCCCCCTCCGGTCGCACTAGTAAAAGTTTTTAAAAGGCTATGGCTCTTTTTTAAAGTCTTTGAAACTTTTTCGTCGGTTTTATTGTCCGTCTCACTAAGGTTCGCCGGCGCGCTGGGCTTCGACGGCGGATGGGCCGCCGCCGACGCCGAACCGCCGGCGGCGGAGCTCTCCTCGAACGACGACACCTTGCGCCTGGAGGAGCCCGCCGGCTCCGAGGAGTGCTGGATGGGCACCGACACCGACGCCCGCCGCTGGGGCTCCGCCGGTTGGGCGGACAGGTTGCGGCAGCTGTCGAGCGTGTGCTGTTGCGTCAGCATGCAGGACCGTTGCACCTGCGGAACAATCGCGTTGAATTCGCTCGAATGCAGCTGGGAAATCGTACCTTTTCGGACACTTCGGTGATGGCCACGCTGAGATCGGACGAGGAACTGCCGGAATCGATGGCTGCCGAGTTCTTCCGGCTTCTCGGCTCGGCGGCGCCGCTCTCCCAAGGGCAGACGTCTTCGGACGTCGAGGCGCCGGCGACGATTGCTATGCTAGGCTTTTTCACTCTAAGGAAACGGAGATAATGCGTTATTAGGATGGTTATTTCATCGACGATTAGTTTAATAACGTGAATACATCGATTTTTGTTTTACAGATATTTGTTACATTGATTTATGTACAATAAGATGCAGTGTTGTTCAATATTATTATTGTTGGCTATCGAACTTAATTCATCACACTGAACAAAACTGCATTAAAAACATACATATACTAAAATATAAATAACAATAAAAATACAGTGCAAAACTATCTACATATTCGAAATAAACACAAATTACTTCTTTGAAACACCGTAATTGTGCTATTAGTAATAAAAAATTTACCAACATTGATGATTTGGGAAATACTGCAACTGCCCTACGATTTTTACCCTAATTCTTGTACAAATAAAACGTAGACAAAAACCTATAGGAACACCAATCATGCATATCCCAGATCAATGAAACACGTTCTGTAGAGCAAATGCTGGCTTAGCAACACACACAAATTGAAAAAAAATATGATTGTCCAAAAATATTCAATTAGAGTTGGTAAAAATGAATAAACTACTGAGATGGAAATTAATCGAACTACAAAGCAAAATTATTATCCACATGACAAAGTCCTATCATCGAAAACGAGTTTTTTGCCTTCATAACTGAATGGGTGTGATTTATGGAACTTCAAGAAGACTTCTTCTATATACAAAGGCTAGAAAAGTTGAAACCGTGTAAAGCACCGACCATTGCTTGACAACACCAACACAACATCGAGAACAATGCCAGTATATTAGGTATGTATGTAGCATCAGAGTAATTAATAGCTCAATTAAATATCAGTTTTAAAATTTACACTGCAATTTAACGACTGATACCACTGCAAAATCCCACGACACATTTATTTGATGCGATAATTTCTCTGACAACATAAGATGCCACATTGCCTATATCACAACAATTTTGAGTAATTCTCCTTAATGAGAATCAAGCAAAGAGTGGATAGGAACTAGAAATCACGTGAAATAGGCAATATTCGCATCGAAATAGAAAAGAGAACGGAAGTGTTGGCAAACGATGTCTTATGCGCAATTATGACTTACGGACTGACGTTTGAATGAGTCTGATTGCACGAAGTGACTGCTGTCACAGCAGGGAGCTTCGCAATGCGCGCCAGGTCTCCTCTGTAATTTAAGCATGAAATATCTACTTAACTACGCTAAATTAGAGGTGATGCCCGAATAAAAAAATTATAACTCGCGTGTCAGTAAAACAAACGTTCATGTTCTCCAATAAATTAAAGGCTACACTTAGGTACTAATATAGAAACAATGGAAATATATTTTGTTAATGTAATATTTACAAACGCATTTCGTTTGTTTCCAAAAAAGTCTTAAAGTTGGTTAAATCCAGTGCGCCAATTGGTATACTTAAATAAACGGGTTACCTATAAAGAAGCCATGCGCTGGCGCAAGCGTCGTTAAAAAACCCCCAAAATGGCCCGAACGGCTGGTAAATCGCCCGGCTCACCTGTAGGGTATGTCGCTGAGGTTGCTCTGCGAGTGAGAGTGCGGCACCTTGGTCTCCTTCACGCCGGATATGGCGAGCTCGTGCGCCGATCCCGACAGGCTCCTGTCGCTGCCCCTCCGCTTCGAGAGGGCCCCGCACATGACCACCGTGCCCTGCGACGATTGCTGCTGCTGCTGCAACAGCTGCTGGTTGGGCGCCGTGGTGGTCGACACTTTTTTCTTGGTTTGGCCGAACCCGAAAAAACTGCCGAGAAAAGAGATGTGACGGAGGATTCCTGTATGAAGGAATTAGGGAGGCTTACCGTTTTTTCTGCGAAGGTTGTATGCCGGTTGCGAGCAAATTTTTGTAATATTCGGACCTAATAAACCTAGGGTAGCAATCTTTCTTCAGCAGCAAGGTGTACACGTGTTCCTGCGCGGAGTCGAAAGTGAACCGAGTGGGAGTTTTCATTTCCTGCTGTACCTTCTCCATCGTCTTGCCGTCTATGTTGATTTCGCAAGGGGCGCCGGGCGCTAAGAATTCGCTGAAAACAATCGTAAGTAGAACCAAAACTTTCTTATCACCTTCAAATATATCACCAACATCTAGAGAATCCAAGCGAATACAATCCAGTAGCACTATTACATTATAAAATCACCTTTCTACGAGACATTACTCACTCGAAAATCTCCTGCACTTTCCACGCTATTTGAGATTGGGCGGATCTTCTTAAATCTTGCACGGCCATCCAGAATCTGATGTTCTCGTGGCTGTACTCCTTTCGGAGGTAGTTCGTGAATTCCTGCAGGCCCGTGGGATCCGATACGAGTTCTTCCATCGATAATGCCCATCTTCTGACCCGTTTTTCGGTCGGGACGTCCACCCTGTAAACAAACAGTGGACGTGTATTTCGGAATTGGAGATTTTGGTACGCGAAATGCCTCGAACAATGATGTAGCTTAGTTCTAATGTGTTTGGCATATTTTTTCTAAGTGAGCTCTCTACGTTTTTATAGAGCTTTGAGATGCGAGTGTAAGGTAAAGGGAATCTTCTCTCGCAGCTCAGAACTCGACTTTCATGGTGCAACTTTTGTACTATATATCTCTGTTAAAAAAGTTATTTGTTAGATACATTGTACAGGAAACACAAAATTTCATTATTTATGCGAAGAAACTATTAGACAGAAGCCAGTTCCTAAATGCTTACCGGTTTATTTGAGACGTTTCCTTATACACTTTTTAATTTTTATTATCTTATATTTAATGTACCTAACCCGACAAGTTATGTGGCAGAACAAGTTGTTACAAAAATTGGATATACGATGAATAGGAGCAAATAAAAATTTCCATTTTATCAACACGATTGGTTTTCTCGCTTTCTAACATTTTGATGACACACTTCTACAGATAATATTATCATAATACTTGCCTTTTAACCATAACTTCAAAAGATTTCCTTAAACGGTGCATCATTACCTCGCTGCAAAAAAATCATTTTCAATCATTTAATCATTGATTATTATCATGACGATGCTACTCGTTTTATCTAAAAAAACAAACCACCGCATGCTTTGATTATGTAAATTCTAAGTTCAACCCTTTTCTTCTAAAATTTTATTATTGTTAGTTAAATTTTATTAAGTTCAGTGAAATCCAATATACCTAACTATACAATTTGGAGTCTTGTCTTTCCAATTAATATTGTATTAGTTTTATAAGAAATAAAATAAAATAATAAATTCCTAAATTTTCCAAGTTAATTAATATTTGTATTTTTAATTTTAATAATGTATTAGATTTGTATAGTTAAGTTTGTTGGTTTCTTAAGTTTCATTATTTTCTTTACAATTAATGATGAGATTTCTGCTATTAATTTTGTATATTATTATATAGATATTTAATAGTGTATACGTTTTTTAAGAATTAATCAAACCAGGCAAAAATCTACTTAATGCAGGAGAACTATATTCGGGAACTACTTTAATATAATGTATAAGTATTATATATTTATATAATGTACTAAATTGTTATTGTAAAAATGTGCAAATTGGAAAAATTGTGTTGGATTACACAATGCAGCAAACCAGTAGATGTTTAAAAAGTGAAATTGATTTCGCATAAAAAGTTTAAATCGAAAAATGTGTTGTATAATTTGATTAGTTCCAATTATTGCAGTTTTAAATTGATTGAGTTATCAAGAAAATGTATCAATAACAAACTGCAAATAGCAACTATCAATTTTAGTGCCTTTAAAAAAGCAATAATAAAATGCGTTTGTAAAATTTCTCAGATAGATTATTCGTTGGTATGAATAAAATTGAAAAACAGCTTGTTGAGTAGAGAAAGAAAATGTAAAATGCTTCTTAGAAAGCAAATTGTAGATAAAAGTGCAATAAAACAAGTGTAATTTCGTGTTCAAGAAATATTCAAAAAATTGTGGTGCTTGTAACAGATCCTGTGACATCCAATAGTTCAATAGAAATGTAATCGATAGAAATATTTCAGTTACGTAGCAGACATTTAAATTTGTTTTATTCGGTAAAATGAACAAGAAATAAAACCGGAAAAATATTTAATTCAATACAAAAATACATTTGTATCAAATTTAAGTTAATAAATATCTTTCAATTAAAAGGAAATAAGCCACTGATTTGGAAAACAAGATGCTTTTGATTATATCCAATTATCACAGGGGATGCTTCTATCTTGAATGGGCGTAAAAAATAATTGTATGTAAAAGTGAGTGAGTTAAAATGTTTTGTTGCTTCTGCCCACTGTATTTTGCTGTATTTACGCATATTTACAATAATGTGTACAGAAGTCTCAACAGAAATCGTTCAATCGAAAGAAGATCGGTTAATGTAGTTAGTAGCTTTTATATTTTACACAATTATTTTTAAGCAACGAGGTAAGGTACTGTATAAGAGGTTCTATTTAATTTACAATAAATAGAAAAACTTGAAACAATCGTTTTTTAAATCGTCTACCACTACGCTGTTGTTTAAGAAGGAATATATTAGAACAATTGTTTAATATATTAGGTAAATTATTTTATATACACAATTAAAGTTTAGTCTATTTTACTATAATGGTGCTGTTGTGCTGAAAATTGTGCTTAAAGTAAGTTTATTTAAAGAGAAACCTGCATATTTAGTTAATTATAGGTATAACCCAAATGTAACTTATATGCAGGATTCTTCATACGCAGTAATCGGATACATTTCTGCAAAAATTACGTATTTACATTCGGCAATATTTTTTTAAAGTTTTAAATTCAAATTCATCTAAATCTTGATGCAGGCTCAAAAACAATCTAAGGGAGATACGAGATGTACCGTTATGTATTTTATTCTCATAAAAATGCCAAAGCAAATCTAATTTTAAAAATATACATCACCTTTCTAGTAAATATAACTGCGAATCTTGAGAAATAATTCGTATAGAATATGTTACTCATCGATTCCCATTGCTCAAGATAAGCATGTCAACTACCATTCGAAAATGCAAAAATAAAGCCAAGGCGAAACTTACAGAGGGCTGTTCAGCTGCCAATACGTCAGATCTTCGCTCACCCATGGATTCGACGGTTGCGTTGGGGTTATTAACGGATCGTATTCCATGTAGATTTCTACGTATTGTACCATACCTTCCAAAGCTTGCGATACCTTCACCCTCGTCCTGGACAAACTGTTCTTCAGTAGCTCCACCTAAACCGATCGTTTTATGTTAAAAAAAATATCAACGAATCCTCGAATTCGCCTCGTACACTTTCTCCAATATAATATCTCGATAATAGTTCGATATTATCGATAACAGTTTTACGTACCTCCCTTTTGCAGTCTTCGATAGTCTTTTTTCTGGTTCTTGTGCCGCCGTTCCAGCTTCTGGTAGGTACAGGACAGGGCTCCAAAGAACTTACCATTCCCGGGGGCGGCCTGTGGACTCTCCAATAGGCTCGTTCTTGCGAATCGCTCACTAGTTTGTCTGCTTTCTTTAAACCTTTAGATAGTTTTACCTAGACGCGGATAGAGAGTTCAGATTGGTTTGTTGAGGGGATGAGAAATATTACCTGTTCTTCTGCTTGCTGGGTGATAAAATCCCATTTGTTGGCTAGATTTTTCTTGAGATTGCTCATCGCCTCGATTTCGTACTCCTCGAGCCCGTGCCTCTGCTTGTTCCGGAGCGTTCTTTTCGAAAGGTATATGGCATACTCCACGTTATCGGGCGGCCTGTTCTGCCAGGGCCAGTAATATGGATTCTACAATCATCCGATAATTTTTGTATTAGTCACCGTCAATATGTACGTGTTTTGATAGAAACAGTGGTAAATTATTAACGGTAAGTGGCGGTTGCGAAGTGCTATCGGAGGATTTCAACGCCGCCATAATTGAGTTAACGATCAAATATTCCTTTCTTTCCGTGAACCGAAAAGAAATGCAATATTCATGCGGAACACGGGAATAAAATGTATTTTCCGCAATCGATATACGGCGATGCGCTTCGTTTGAATCCACTAGCGAACGAAAACATGTTGACGTGAAAACATTTGCAGGTTTTTACTATTTAATGAGGCATATCCTCGCCTAATTCTCAACAAGACTGAAAATTTATCACAACAAAAAGGTACCTAAATCACATACCATTTAGGAACGTATTATGTACGATATATTTACCTGAAATCGGTACAACGAACTATCATCTTTGACTACAAGGTTTTTGGAATCGCTTATTGGAAAGAAATATCCATACTGACACAATTGATTGGCGATATTTAATGCTTCTGAAAACAACAAGCAACGTTAATTGTAAAATCGCCCGATTATTCGCGAGTTGTATTACCGGATTCTTCAATTCCGAGACGCTCCATCAGCCATTCAATTAGGTCATATCCTGAAAGGATTAGTTAGAATAATTTATGAGGAATTTCAAAGAGAGCGAAATTGCGAAGACGTACCCATGAAAGCAGCTGGAATAGACGTCAGAAATAGTTTTTGGCTTCTGACTGGTACGCCCCCATGCTCCGTGTCCTGCATTTCACGAACCAGGCCTTCCATCTATATGGAGAAAAGGTAAAAATTTTCAAAATCCCACGCGTTATTCCCCAACAAACGATCCTCATTGTGCCTAACTACCATACACATTTATGTTCGGAGCTTCATTAAATAATCCTCTAATTAATAGAGTTTAGACCCTTTAATTTGCTCATCGAATTTGAGTGTTATTCATCGTTTTTGATAGGCAAAAATGTGAACATTCGTTCGACCATAATTCCGCATTGATTTGATCGAAGTAGAGGGAAGCTGACGTTTCGGTTCAATTTGTTTGGTATAAATTAGCCAGGATTTAATCACTGGAATTGTATGGAGATAGGACTGAAAACTATTTTTACTTTTCGAACAGTTCCATCGATCCATTGAACGAGCGGGCTCAATTGTGAATGAGAATGTTTAATTAGACCGGCAGTCCTTAAGTTTAATTAGTTCTATAGGGAATTTTACGCATTCGACGTTTTGAATGCGTTCTTAAATTTCGATAAGAATTGGGTTAGCGCAAAAGGGACCGCAACAGGGCGAATTTCCTTTCCGCTAAATTAACATCTCCCGGAGACAGTTTCGCGATTAAATTGGAAACATCTATTAGCACTTATTGACCATTATTCGAAGCATCCGCCGCGTCTTAGGAATAAAACGCAACAGACGGGAAACAACGCGAGCACAAAGGGCTCACAAACTGTGTTTACCGTTAACGGAATTAATAGAAGGTAATTGTTTTCATTAAGAACCCGACAACAAAAGGGTGGAATTATAAAGCGATGTTCGAAAAGAGGCTAAAATTGGAAAAATTAGTTAGTCTAAACTCTAAACCATAGTAAATAAACAAATGTACTAGTATACTGAGTGGTTTTTTAATTGTTTATTTGCCACTCATTATTATTTTTCCAATTTGTTTTCATAATTCCTTGGCCGATTTTTCTTCTGGTATTAAACATTGGTACTAACCTTTTGAAAGGCGCTGGGCCTATGACATTTGTGGTCGCGGTGGTCCGGCTCCATGCGTGCAGGGCCGGGGTGAGGGCGGCAGAGGGGCAGCCGGTGAGCAGCCAACGGTGAGCAGCCGGCGGGCGGCAGCCGCCGGTTAACCTCTAGCCGAGCTCCATGGGCGAGCTCTGCCCCCGCCCCATTGCGCCCGCACTCACCCCCACATAAAATTCAAAACTGCGAACAGAGAAAGACCGGTCAATTTTCGGAAATCGTCCTGCGATTCGCGTCATTCGCTGACGTCACGTCGGTTGGAATGCGGTTGAGCAATCCTCGGTAGTTTGGTGGCCTTGCAAGGGCAACGACTGGTACGTGATTGTTGTGTTGATGCGAGTTCGATATTGATTGGAAAATGGAAGAAAAATGAGGTGATGATCAGTCAATATGTATAATCAAATACTATACATTGGCTAGTCGAATGAACGAAATGGTTAACAAATAATCACCTAATTACATACTCACGATTTCGAAACAGTAAAAAAATAACAAATACATCTGTTTCTAATGAATTTATTTGTATTTTTAAGATAACTACGTCTCCTTTATTAGCTTTGTAGAGATTACTAGTTCTATGTAGTTTTCGATAGTATTTATTTAATTGAATTTGTTTAGTTTAACCGAAGAAGAAATATACAATTACAAAACAACGAATTCCAACATAATTCCTAAATTCCCGAAATAATAACCATCCACAAAGGTATTAGATATTACAAAGTGAACGTATAAACAAGCAACAACTTTTTGATTTTGTTAGATATTGGTTATTACGGTGTAGGCATGCAACAAAGCATCCTTTCATGAATATTTATTAAATATTTGTTGCAAATATGCTCACGTTCGCGTCCTCGCCTACCTGCAACTCAAAGCGAAGAAACTATAGGTATAAAACGGTTTTAATCGCTTATGCATTTATTGAAATTATTTGTGCATTCTTCGAGTAACTCTCTGCAACCTGGGCGGAAAATTTTAATATTTATGCTGACGACTCGGCTGCATCTGGAGCAAATTCCGGAGGAGGCGAATAACGTTAGGCAAATATTTGAGCAAAGCGGAATTCAAACTTCCCCTCTTTAGAATTTCGAATTTTCAATGGCACGAACTTCCGCAAGTGGTTGAAGAAGAGCGGAGAAGACGCTGGTCCGATGAAAGGTTAAATTCGCACGTTGCGAGTTCGAACGAAATTTTATATTGAAAACTTGCTTCGTCCGTTATTGAATTATTCAATCCGTTTTGTAAAATATTAAATTGGATTTAATTGAATTTAATCCCCAACATAATATTGCAAAACTCGATTTCAGTTAGGAAATTTCATTTTAATTACAAAAGGTTTTACAGTATAATTAATTGAATTTTCCGTTACGTAGAGAGCATGTAAGTACCTACATACATGCAGCGGATAAATACGAGTATATAAAACATGTTGTATTTTTCCAATTATTATCCAGTAATTCGGTTATACAATCAATTTGATCCAATTGTTTTGCTCATTGTTTATATCTGAATAGAGCAAATAAACAGACCATTGTCTGTTTGAATATTTGTTCGCTGAAATTCAATTTATATTATATATGAAATATATTTTTCGCAATGGTAAATTTAATATAAGTTTGAAAAGTATTTTACGGGGTTTGTTGCGAGGAAAACAAATGGTGAAATAAGCAAAAATAGATAGTAAAAGCAAGCTCAATTAGAGTAAATGCCACAAATAAATTGGGAAACTGCTGCAGAAAAGATATAAATCCAACAGCGTATACGAATAAAAAAAATCAATTCTACGCATTAATAATTCCCGAAACGAAGAAGAAACTCAAAAGTATCAAAGACATTCGATTAAATATAACGGGGGTTTAAGGAAATAAAAGAGCCCGAAAAGCAGATCTATCAATATTAGCGTCGACATGGATTAGCCTCGGGATTTTTATTTTTATCATGAATCTCCGCTCGTTTAATACACTTTTATATCAGCCTAGCCTGTAAAGAAAAGGAATTAATCCTCTTATAATTCTTTATTCCACATGTGATCCATTCTTATGTCCATCCGTCTGTAGTATGAACTATTGTACATTTTTTTGTTACTGGATACTATTTAAAATTGCATTTACTCGACCACACTAGGATCATATTATGTCTAACAATATTTAATTTTTGACTGGAATAGCCGGAATAAGGGATCAATATGCCTTCATGACTCACGATAGTCCTTGTCCAAAAAATCATTTTTGAAAAAGTAATATCCCCCGCCTTATACATATGTACCATGTTTTAGAATATTAGTTGTGTGAAAAACTCAAAATATCGCCACAAATTTTTCTAACAACAAAACTGACAATTCGTATTTTATTATTTTGTATGCAATTTGGCTACTTGGCACACCCAAATTATTCTCCTACGCAGAAATACATAACAAAGAGACATTTAAAAAAAATAAGTAGCATATCCACACGCTAACAGATAAATCAAACAACATTATTACCTCTCATTACCTACGCTTAATTGTATAGTAAGGTCTAAGTGATTAGGCATCTTCGCACAATAACAGTTAAAACATATGTTGAGCCAGCCGATTGCTCGATTGAATAAATTAATCCCGGAACGCGTAGAGGCAATAATGCGAATAATAAGGGGTCGTGGAGGGAATTCTGGCGAGGAAATCTGGATGAACGGACGGCAATCCAGTGCCCGTTGATCCAAAATTTGACCTTGAACCTATCGCTAGTTTTTTTGCGAGCGCACGATTCGGGCAGAATTTTTCTGATAAAATTCGACGGGAACTCACCATTTGAAGTTGCTACACGACTCATCCGAGGCCCGTACAGATTACACCATACACGAGAAAGAGAGTTTTTCGAAAAACGCACACGAATTTTCCGTTTATTGGAATGCGTCGGCGTTATTTTTAGTCTTCAACATGCAAACTGAACGTTTCCCTTCGATTTTCGAGCTTGGAATGGCGGACGTTCGGTGTTCAGTGAAAATTGGGAAACGTAGGCGCGCGCAATACTTTCCCAGGACCGGAGGAAATTATTGATTTCTAAATGGCGAAGCGGAATACACATGTAATGAAGATTGCAGTGGAATATCTTAGAATCAGGATGGATTCCAAGAAACCATTATCATGGTGACTCCAGCCCTTCGTGGAATTTTAAATAAAATCTATTATTGATTATCACATACTTGAAATTTTACTCTATCATTGAAACCATATTAATTATTATCGCTGTTGAATACCTACAATATTTTATTAATTGGAATCACTAATTTTTTACTCACACATCATCATTAAAACTAAATCAATGAAAAATAAATTAAGACACTCTTCGCATTTTTCACCCCGCGAGACCGTGCTAATATTGAAATAACTCTTCCAGACGACGAGCTGACTCTGGATAACCTATATCAAGTGGTGTAGGTCTGATAATGAGGCCAAACCTGAAGAAGTCGATTTTTGATTCCCTCTTCAAAAAAATTATATAAGAGACTGGCAAAAATGAACATAGAACAATACTAAATTAAAAAAAATAATTTGCTCTCTCAATCAATTTTTATGAATACGTTTTATTGAAATATGAGACACTCTGTATATATTCATTCATGAATTTTTATTTCGATTTCATGGACATCTTTAGCAAAATCAGTTCAACATTAACTCAACATTTCCTATAGCGTTAATCTACATTATTCATGAAATATCGAATTCTATCATATTAATAAAACCAAATTGATAGGGATTTTTATAATAACATATAAGCGAGCGCATTCATTAAATTAACTGTATAAAATGACAAATGACGACTTTATCTGCAACTGTCGAGTCCTACGAGCGTGCATTAATAAATGCACCGGGTCTACGGAGTTATTGAAATTCCAGATCAATAATCAATAAAAGACTGGAATTAGGTTCCGCTTCGATGGAAATTAAAAGCTGTATCTGCAATTTCCATTTAAACTAGACTTTTAGAGAGGTAGAATAATAAAATCGAGAGAGCCTATCATGTTACCAATTACAAGACAAATATTACAAAAGTGATTAAGGTTTTAATGAATACGTTTCAGGCTGGAAATTCGTTTCCCATCGTCAATTAAATTTTAGTAAGGATAAACAGACCTATATTTTTAATCGAAAAGTTCATCTCGATTCGATCATTTAATTTTTTTTATCTCAATTGTAGAGGTAGAGAAGCGTAGAGAGAGATTTAATTGGAATCGTTAGGTTACATATAAAACTTTATTTCTTATAAAAATAGATTTTCTCATCAATTAAAAAAATAAAACTTTTTTTAATCATTATTGCGGATATTAATTAAAAATATCCAAACTGAAAACAGTCTCCCGGGATAAGCGTGGATATAAACAGCTGCAGCAAATTCAGTATCCTCCTCCTTCTGTATATGCATGCCTATTTGCTTGATTTTCCTCATCAGATTGGAAAAACTCGTGAAATGCGTATTTATAGCGAAACCAGACACCTAAAAAAACCACCCTACTCCGTAATCTAATCGGACCCAACCACCCAATCTTACCGTATATTGAGAAATATCCTGGCACAATTCGCTGAAGGACTCGTGGTGATTCCTATTATACATGCAATTCAACTCGAACGTTTTCAAGACATTCGCCAAAACGCTGGACACGCCGCTGTTCCACACCGTCCTATCCAACAGTCTCAGCTTCGATATCTGCTTTTTTAGCTGCTTTTCCAGATTCATTTCGTACTTTTCCGTGTCGTCCGCCGCTAGATACGTTACTTTATCGCCGACGGGGTTCGTAGGTGCATGCATGCCGTCGCGGAAGAGCGGCAGCCAGTCGGAATTTCCGTCGAACTCGAACCTCGTCAAATACGGTTTATCCGTTTTCTGCACGTTCGCCCATATCTGGAGAGAAAAAAAATGTAGGATAAGTCACTCCCCGCCGGCGATATTCCGTAATAACGGCGTGAGTGAAGTACAATTTTTATTCGCTCGATGGTTTTCTCTTAAATAAAAATACTCACGTTTTTATTGTTCATGACGCAGAATATTCTTTGCAATGGACAATTTTCGTCCATTATATTGTACTTTTCGTTGTAAACCACATCGATGATATAGTAAGCAGGAATCGCGCTATCGTTAGGATACTCCGGTAGAAACACATACGCAGTATTACCGTGAGGTATTCCATAACCCAACAATAACCACACATCTACTTTCAAAGCTGTTAAGTAACAAGTTAACGCTATCGCATGGTCTATTACCGATCCCAGCATAAATCCAATCAATTGCTGAAATATAAACACAAATATACCAATATTCTTACAAATAAAAACTGTACCTTACATCCGTCGAAAGCCATATATTGTTGTAGAAATGATTGCAGGAAGTAAAAGGGATTAACGACACGTATCTGCAGCATTGCTCGATGCTAACGTCGAATTCCTCGTTATTAATTTGCGGCGGTTCCGAAGGTTTTAAAAAGCGCGTGGCGCAAGTGGTTTTACCGTTGCTGTCCAAAACTAGCGCGTTGAATTTTCTATGCGGGTAGGAGGAATTGAAGTTTTTGTTCCATTTCAGAACATACTCGTGGATGTAGGGAACATCACCGCAAGGGAATTCTTCCTACAAGAGTCTACTTGGTAATTATTGCAAATTATTTGAGAAAATTTGTACCATATTTGGGCTTAGTTTTGGAACAGAAGGCTCTACAAATATCTCCATTTCCAAGTACGTATAAACCGACTGTGGAGTATTCGGCGACTTGTGTTTTTCTATTAACGTCTCGTAATCAGTAAGTAGATAAGGAACTTTGATTTGAAACAACCCGCTCATCTAAAAATCGCACATGTTAGAGCAAGAATTAAATTGTTGAAGTAATTACGGTATCCGAGCAACAAACAGCAGACAACAAAATATCGATTCCACCCATCCAGTTGATGCATTTTTTATTCAGCTTGATAATCTCGTTTTCGCTTTCGTCGAATAAGTTCACTGAGATTATGCCGTCTAGTGAAGTGGGATTTAAATAGTCCGTGTGATCCGATCTGAAAATGCAATGGATTGCAATCGAGAGCGATTATACGGCGCGCATATTAACATCATTACTCTAATGGTATGACCAAATCCTCGTTCCACAAAGGATTTGTTCCTATGCTAGTGCTGCTTCTCGCAGTCATGCTTTTGTAATTAACCTCTACATACGGACGAATTTCGTTCGGTTCGCTCGCGGCATCGTTGAAAGTGCGCTTCTTGCGATTAGGTAGGTTCCTGGCGCCGATTAGGCGCACCGTGAGAGAAACTGTGCTTTTGGAAATTTGTGGATTATCATCCGAATCGTCTTTGGTTAAAACGGGAAGCGGTTTGTTTACTTTCGGGCGCCACCTAAACCAATTGAAGAAATTGCGGAGCAGCGTCTTTAACATCACGCTGAAATAGGACAAAAGCAGTTTGTTTAAATTCGAAAATAGATTTGCGGCGCGCTTACTGGAAGTATATGAAATATTTCTCGTTAACCACGCTTTCGTAATCCAGATTGTTTTCGGTGCTCTTGCACAACTGGAAGATTTTCAGGTGGATTTGCTGCAGGGACTTTTTGCCGAAATAGTATTGGCTTTTTAGATTTTCGAATACTTCGATTTTTAAATTCGGCTTTTCGCCTGCTTTTCTTCTACAAAGAAAACGTTAAAATTTTAACATTGTTTTAAGAACATTTACCTTAGATATTGTGATAAAACATTTGTGGGAATTTCTTTAATCCTATTAGGCACTAGCATTCCGTCAAACTCAATTTCCTTTTGGTCACGAAGTTGCAGAATTTTGAGCCGGATATTTTCGTCTATTTCAGAGATATCGCAAAACGAAAACAGGTGAGGATTCAATCTGAAATCGCCCGTTGCAATTAATTAAACTCTTATAAAACGCGCGAGAAATTTACCTGAAAAAGCTGCCCTCGGATCTTTCGAGACTCATCTCCACTTGCTCACCTTCGTCAACTTTAAACTCGTCGAATTTGCCAAATTTTTCGAAATTAACGACGAAACTTTTGTCGACGATTTCATCTAATTCCATCATTTTCGTTTGCATTGTATCCTTAGCCTCGACGGCTTCGTCGTTCTCCCATTCCAAACCGTATTCCAAATAACCAGAAGTTTTTAATTGGCTATCCTTTATGTTCAGTAATTTGACTCCGTAATAATCCATCAAGGACTGCAAGCCAACGCCGCTACCGACGCCTTCGTGTTTGTAGTGCACAATATCGTTAACGTGGAAATTTGCTCTACACTAAAAAAAAATACAACATGTGCTTTTGTGCATCCTTCACGTATCAATTAGTTCCCTTTATCGAAGAGTAACATTATAAAGCAACAACAGCCTTCGGCGTTCGGGTTTCTAATGCACATTCTAGTTCCTTGTTTTGAAAGGAATTTAATGGTTAATGGAAATATAAAAAAACAGCTCTAATGACCAATAAATTTCTTTCAACTAAAATAACGCCTATAATGTATATTTGTTTACTTCCTTTAACAAAATTAACTCAATTTTAGTGGGGATTTCGATCTAACAACGGTACAATAACCATTTTACAATTCCATTAAATCCAAAATAATAATATCGTTAAAGAAAACGAGTCGACGGCAATCATCGATTTTTCACGAGTGTTCTCAAACAATCCTTGGACTTAATTGTTCATTCATTAGATGTTAAATTCGTTTCGCTGATCACGTAAGAGTACAATGTGGAGGAAAAGCGGCAATGAGCCGAACAATTCGCTTAATAAACTGATTTTACCTCTCATCCGGTCTTTACGGCACTTCATAGGAATAACTAGCTATTCATTAGAGGAAGTTTATGGAACATATAATTAAAATGGACTATTCGAACGACGAATAGGTACTAAATTGAAGTAGATGCTCACCAGTTTAATGGGATTTTTCTCGCTGGGTACGTCGATATTGATCTCGCATATTTTTTTCTTCAGCAGCGATTTCGGTTGTTCGTATATTTCGATGGTCAAGTATTTCGGAACGTCGAAGAGTTGCAGGGAGAAAATCTCCTCCACTTCGAGCGCGAAGTTTTTGTTCAAATTGAGGAACTTCGTTTTGCACGCCTCGATGTTGTTGCACAGAATTTTCAGATAGAATTTCGTCGAAAACAGAACGTTCCGTCGCGTCGTCTCCTTGGAGAAATCGCTGTATTCTGTTAGAGTATTGGTGTTGGTTAGAGCCAGTATAACGTTCGGTTCACCTGGAGTTCGCAAAGAGGTTTTGAGGATGTTGCGCAACTGGTTCCTCATTTTCGCCGATCGGGATTCTTCATCCTAACGAACAGAAATTAGCTCAACAATGTAAAGATCTAAAACCACTCACTTTAGATGCTATTGTGGTTGCGCCATCGCTCTTTTCTTCAATACTATCCTCGCTCATCTCCTTGATGTGCTCGTAACCTTGCTCTCTCATCATTTCCTCTAGGCTTTGATCGAACATGTTCCTGTACTCTTCCTTTTCCCGATCGTAATCGCACTTTTCCCTTTTGATTAACAGCTTAACGTCTGTGTTGGAATATTTCTGGACGGATCTAATTTTTTTCACGTGCTTCCAACACTCCAAAATCGTCAGAACGATTTGCTTGTATCTTCTACTCTCTTTAAAATACTTCATTCTTACCCTTCTTATTTCATTCCAGGTACTAGTAGAATCCCCGTGCTCGTATCTCCTACGCCTCAACAGTTCCAGGCGAGCCTTTAAATGATTATGATTTAAAAGGAAGAACTAATTTCGCAGCGTTCGTACCTTAAGGTTTGAAACGGTTTTGTCCTCTTGTATCGCCTTGTAATCCTCGAATGTGGTCTTTAACTTTTCAGCGAAAATATCTTCGGTGCTGAACAACGGATGGTGGTGGAATTTCAAATGGGATAAATACACGTTCAAGACGTTTTCTTTGAGCACCACCAGCTCAGTCAAGTCTTCGCAGAGATTTGTAGAAGACGGAACGTAGTCAGTGAGGCGGTGGTCGCTCATCTGGTGCATAGATGGACGCAGAGAAATCGGCGTGACTGGATTTTCCAGCAGGTTTAGATTTCCTTCTGCATCGAACCATCTCCTGCGTTTCATTAACCGTAATCAATAGCATTATAAAAGGTCTTTTGTTAGCTTACCGGTCTTCGATAATGCAGAATCTCTGCTCTAAAATGTTTCGGTGGGAATCGCAAATTTGCGGTACGTCTGAATAGCACATTTCTGCTGTGCCTCTTTTGCTGCTATCGTCTATTCGTTGCTTACTGTAAAATATGAAGATTAAATTTTGAGGTAATTTTTTTTAAAAGTAGCTTAATACCGGTTTATGTAAAACAAACATTCGTTTTCTGCTAAAGTCATACTAAAGTCCAATTTCTCTGGTAGAGTGTATACTAATTGATCATTTGATTTGTTCGAATTAATTCCTTCCTGGAAAATCAGAAATTATGCACTATTCAAGCGCAAGGTAATTAAGTTACCTCCTTCTTAGGCTCAACAAAAGTAAAAAACGCTTCTATTTCTTTACTATTATTATCCCTTTCTTTAATTTTGCTTCTAACGTTATCGATTTCGACATCAATTTGCTCGCTTTCCCTTCTGATTCTCTCGATAGGCAATCTGCTTCTGGCCAAATCCGAGGAATTGATGGCCTTCTCCTTGATTTTTTTCAAGTGCTCCGAAATTTTATCCTTGTAGTTCCGTTTAATGCTGTTTCCACTGGTGGACTGCTTTGATTCCGGTTTTACCAAAAAAACATCGTCAGAGATCTCCGAAATCGTGCGTTGATCCGAACTGCTCGCTCTGCTATAATTAATCATTATTAAGAAATAGATTAAAGCAATCCAGTGAATTTTAGATACCTTCTGGAGTAAGTCTTGGCATTCACCGAGAACATGTTAACGATGCTGTCATCGTCCAAGCTAACTGTTGCGCTACCTCCGGAGGTTACGGAGTAGGTAGTGTTGGATTTTGGAGCCTTCTTTCTTCTCTTAGACGCCATTAATTTCTTGGGTTTTTCTTTGATCGGCGAGGTTAAATCCTCCAGCTCAATCAGCTCTTCCTGGAATCGATGCAAGTTTTATTTTAGCACATATCATTGGGTCAAATGTGTCAATTTGAACACCTGTCAATAATAACTGTATATGCGAGTATGTAGATAAGTGCATATTTATTGGATTTTGAGGTTACTTAATTTAGAAGAGAACCATTGCAAAGTTCTGGATCCTGTCATGCAAGCAGCGTTGTAAAATAAATATCAACTAATTGTGAGTTCAAAAAACATTGGTTAACTAGCTAGACAATACAAACAAACACTCGGCGGAAATATTACGTATCGAGTGAGAGCCCTTTGCAAATATTTTTTATAATAGGTGCTTCATTAAAAGTTTCGCGATTATGCACTGACTTTTAATTAGGTCCACAGCCATAATAATTTACAATATACTAACTTTCGAGTCATTCATGTTTAGTTGGCACTGTTTTTCGACGTAACTGTGCGGACTTGTTGTTTGTATGCATAAAGGTTGCCTAGGAAACTTCGTGTTAACTCTGAGATTGCTACGCATGAACATGGACTTGTAAAATCATATGGCATTTCCTAATTAGGAAATTATTTTAATTGAATTTGCAGGCGTTTTTATTTTTTGTAACAATACATATTACAAATACGAATGTTTATTGTAAAATAATTCATTTTCTGGTTATATTCTTATCAAGAAAGCTTACAAATTGGTATTTTTAGCGTTGTATTATTAATTTAATGTATTGTAATGTATGTATGTAATGTATTATTTATGTACGGTTCGTCAGGAATAGCTGAAGTCGCGAAATTGGAATGCGCAGTGTTAAAAGTACAACCGGCTCAATCGGTTTCGTGTTAATCGAAGTGCGATCGAATCGTCAAGTTCGAGCATCTCGCGGTTTTTGTGATCTTTCCACCGAACGCATACATTATACCTACTCTTTATCTAAATGTAGGTATTTCTTATCAATGTGTATGCATTACTTAATTGTAAATTGAATAATTTGCATTGGTAAAAAGTAAAAAGGTTTTCTTATCGTTGCTCTCGATACATAATTTATTGTTTATGATGTCGAAACGTTTTAATTGGGGGAATTTTTAAGTAATTTAAACAATAATCATCGCAAGTATGGCGCGAATCTAACAATTGTTTGGTTAATGGATGTTTATCTACTTCATTAGGGGGTTTTAGAAAGTTATGTCAATCTCGTTTTTATATTGTTATTAAATAATAACCAAATTATAGATATAAAATTTATTACTGAAATGTGGAGCATCGTCCTGATTTTTTTATTAATCTTTAATCTGATAAAACATTATACCTATACAGCGTGAGTCGGGACAAACGGGCCAGAGACTAATCTACAGAAAAGAATAAAAAAATTAAACTTTATTACCCAATTTAATCCGCAAAAATCGGATAAAAGTTTCGAGTATTTCCTTCATTTTTGCTTCTCTAAAATTTTCTGACAGTTTCGGCTGACTCCCCCTGTGCGCATTTATCTATTTTATAACATAAAAAAATCGTATTTACGAATTTAATTTCGAGATAACCTGATATAGGTGCTGCATTATTTATCTAATTCTCGAAATAAGATGATCGCGGTGTTGGTGCTACTTCTATCCAGTGCGTTCTGTACGGGCTACAGTAGATTTTTCCGGGAAAATGCGCCAGTGTGGAAAACCAACACGATTTCGCCTCAGTGTCAGAACAGTTTGGATTTATTCGTGATGAATTTGAATGCCACTAACGAAGACAATACGTGGGCCCTTCGAAGTATATAACATTCATGATGTGTTAGAAAAATATAACAAACTGCTTTTCAGTGCTAGACGCTAGCTCGAAAATACCAGTAGGGCTCTTGTACTACAATTTCGGAGAATTGGGAAATTTCAAGGAATGCGTCGAAATAGAATCAGCGACAGATCACGTCGCAGGAAAATACTGTTTGGGAAACATCGAGGTTAATTCCACGGCAATCGACGATCAATCGGTGTTCATCAAAAATCACGTAAGTAGTTCATTTGCAACGCGATGTAAAACCCACCTACGCAGGGAAACGATGTTAACTCAGAAGTATCAATTCTCTCATAGATGTTCATGAAAATTTTATTAACGAAATTAGCCGGCGGGGTTAAAACGAAAGGCAACCCCACGCTAGCTATTTGCATTCCGGATAACTGCACCGAAGGGGATGCCAAACAATTAATGAGCAACCCGCAATTAGGTATCGACGTGCAATCAGTAATGTGCCAAACCGCAGGAAACGTTTATCCTGAATTAACAACTGAAGCTGTCGCAGGACTGTAAGATATTTATTTCTTTTTCACTGCTGCTAATATGTTTATTTTTTTCTACTGTTACTATTTAATCAATAGTAGTCAATATTATTAGTAAATAGTAAGTAGTGGAGATAATGTTTTGATTATTTTAGATCGGTTTTAAGCGTGATAATAGTCGTTGTTATGATATCTACTATTTTTGATTTGTTTTACACAAAAAAATCTGGTGAGCAAATTTTATCAACTACTATGCATCAAATGTTTACTTTTATCTATGCAAAACTTTATTATTATTAGAACACAATTTGATAAATTTTTAGCAACGGTACATCATCAGCTTCTATTAGCTTTTTCTCTATACACAAACGGCAAAAAGGTATTTGAAACGTCGCGACGCCCTTCGAACTTGAGCTGCCTGGATGGGATAAAAGTAATTAGTATGTTTTGGATCATTATACTGCACACATACTCGGTTTACAGCTCTGGTCCCGTTTCAAACGCCATTGACATAGTCAATGTAAGGGAAATTTATAGGTGGACTCAGGATATTTAAATACAAATTGACAATTTTTTAGTTTACGGATTCTTTAATAAGTATGGTTTTTATTAACGGGGACTTGGCTTGCGATACGTTCCTTTTAGTAGGAGGGTTACTGGTTACTTATGTGTTTTTTAAACGGAAAAACGATGTAGATATGTCTGTAGCTTCTATATTCAAGCATTACATTCATAGATACATTAGGTAAGTTGGATAGTGCTTTGAATCATCATTTGAATCAACATTGGAATCGTCATTGGAATCATCATTGCAATCATCATTTGAATCGTCATTTAAATCATCAATTGAATCATCATTGAATGCTTTGAAGATTATCGATTTTAGATTGACTCCGGCTTTGGCTGGTGTGGTACTTGTGTCAGCCACTTTACTGAGATATTTAGGTTCGGGTCCGAAATGGCCTTACATAGTGAACAGTTTCGAAGGATTTTGTAAAACCTACTGGTGGTCTGCTATATTGTACATCCAAAACGAGCTCAATGTTGATAAAATGGTAAATCATTTCCGCACAATAATTTTGTAATTTCACAATAATTTTGCAGTGTGTAGGTCATTCTTGGTATCTCAACATCGACATGCAGTTGTACATTTTCTCGCCTTTGATATTTTGGTTGTTGAGAAACAGGGTCCGGACAGGAATTGTTATTTTAATTTTCACGATATTACTGTCGATGGCTGTATCGTTCATCAGAGCGTTCGATAACGAATTGTCGGGAGTTAAATCAACGTACTATCAGAAGTAAGATACGAAAATATAAAATTTAATTAATTTCCAGCACCAAGCGCTTTAATTTATTACCGATGAATATTGAGTTTAGAATTTAGATTTTAAAGAGGAAAACTTATTTGATAATAAATTTTTAACTTAAATAATTTAAAGTGCTTCTATGCTTTCATAGATTATTTATTGTTATAGATCTTCTTCTGATGCATATATGAATACGTATTATTTAAAAACTGAAACTAGAGCAGCTCCATGGTTAATAGGGGTTATATTAGGTTACTTTTTAACTAAAAAAGAACTAATGGAGGCTAAATTATCGAAGGTAAATTAAGATATTTCGTATAATTGTTAGAAATAAACTTAATTTTCCACTTTTTTATAGAAAATCGTTATAGCAATGTGGCTATTAAGCGCAACTGTATTGTTAACCTGTGTTTTGGGAGGACACAGTACTTTGAGACGTCCCGAATATTTCAAATTACAAAATTCTTTTTACATAACTCTAGTCAGGCCTGCCTTTGTTTTGGCAGTCGCTTGGATAATTTGGGCATGTGCCACAAATCGCGGAGGTAAATTTTTAAATCTACTCCAGACTATTTTATTTTCGTTCGATTTTTTTAAGACTTGCACTTAATCGCCTGCGCTTTTTTTAGGTCTGGTCAACGCCTTACTGTCGCTGCCCATTTTTCAATTCCTGAATAAATTTATATACAGCATGTACTTGGTGCACGTCACTGCGCTGTATATGATTGTTTTCGCTTACAAAACGCCGATTTATTTTAACGTATTCAATTTGGTAAGTGCAATAATTAATTGGCAATATTCCAGTCGATTAATTTAATAAAAAAATTGGTTGCAGGCGTATTGGTTTTGGGGTATTTTTATGTGCTCCTTCGGCCTGTCGATCATCTGGGTTCTGATATTCGAAAGCCCCATGATAGCAATAGAAAAAATCTTACTCGGTTGACTCTTTATTTATACAACGCCTATTAACAAACAATTCATAAATAACTACGTATATTTTTTGTAATTACACAATTTCGCAAAAATCAAGCGTTTTCTTTAACAGCACTATCGCCGTTTTCGGGCTTGGTCAGCGCGATTTCTTCGACGTGCTGCACCGTGTGGGACTTCCCGAAGCATTTCTTCAGCTCTTCGCCGAAAGTTTCGCCGAACGGAGCTTTCACCTTCCGGCTCAATCGGATCGCGTAGACCGTAAACTCTAGAACAGACGAGACGAACGCAATGGCTATGCCCAAAAACGTTATGGCAATTAACCCGTTCACGTGCGGCACTGTTTTATCCAGCGGAACTGAATCATCCTCAGCCTGAAATAGTTAATGCGATATTTTCAATTAGGAGTGTCGGTAATGTATTTAATAACTCACATCGCATGGATCACCGGCGTATTTTTCGTTCCACCAAACGTTCTTGAGCCTCTGAAGTTCACCGGAGGATTGCAATTTAATTATGGCTCTGTTTAGAGGACCCAACAAATTGGAACCTGATAGCAGTAAATGATGTAAATATGGTGTAATAATTTTAGTGTGATTCGCACCTTTTTTGACGGCTATTCCGAAGCCTTTGGAATCGAGGAGTCCTCCGTAACTGGTTAAATTGCAATGCCTCCTTACTGTGTAAGCGATTGTGGCTGATTCCATGAAAAATGCGTAGTTCCCTTCTAAAACTCGTTGGATTCCATCTGTTGTAGTCGCCATCATATCGTTCGGATTTTCTTCCATGTATTTCGCCACCTCTTGGTACACTTCCGACTTCGAATTCTAGCGAATCAACACGAGATATTAATCAATCGATTAAAAATAAATTCCAGCGTACTTTGAAGAATCCCTCTGTCGCGCCGTTCTTCATCGCCCCGAATCCGATCGAATTCTCTTCGGCGTATCGCAAGAATTCTTCCACGTTGCCGAACATTTCCTCCTTCTCTTCGACGTGGTTGTTGGCGAACGAGTAGGAAATGTACATCGCGAACAGCACGAAGCAGTAAATGTACCAAGCTCCTGCGATAACTTTCGCTGCAACGGAACTGCACCGAACAAAAACGGTAAATTTAATATTCCTTCATGCTCGAACTTACTTTATTTTAACATTGGTCGGTTGTCTGAAGAGCCCCGCGGCCGCAAACCAAAAGGAATTCAGCAGAGTCAGTTCGTTTACCAAGTATTTCTTGTCCTCTTTGCAAGTGTGCGGCCTTTGCCATTCAGAGGGCGATAATCTGCCGATCAGAAACAGCGACAGGACGGTTATCAAATAGGATCCCGCCAAGTATTCCCAAAATCTAATGGAGAACGGTTGGGCGAAATGGAAAAACGGCGGCGGAATGACGGTCGGTTTATGAAACAATATGCTTATACCTGGAATTAATTTTCAAGATACTGTTTAGCTCTGAATGAATAACGATAAACTTACCAACACTCATGAAAGGTAGAGTGAATTCTATAGGATCCACTCTCTCCTTGTTAATAGTCAAATCTGCTATAGCTAAATCAGCTCTCTGGCATCCAAAATAAAACTAATTAGTCTACTCACAAGTTTAAGTGCGTTTAATTTACCCCATCTATTATATCCCCGATCATGCCGTCCCATTTTCCGGTTTTCCTGTCGAAATTTCCGTGATTGTGATCGCTTCTCACCACGAGAGTGTAATCGAATCCTTCCATATTAGCTATTTCTTCTATTAAATCTATAGCGAACCCTTCGAATCTGCCATTACCTTTCAAAACCTCACCATCGGTAGGACTCAAACGAGCGTATGGTTCCGTCTAAAACCAACCAAACTAACACGAAGAAAGAAATTGAATTTATGGTATTACCAGCGTTATTAGAACAGTAAGCTCTTTGTTTTTAAGATCGCTGTCTTCTTCTTCCTTTTCGTCCGAATAGGTCAATTCAATGTCTTCGCTCAAACCGTCCGTGCTGTTCCAGCTTCCTCTAATGGTGGTGTTGTCTCTGATTTGATAAATTGTCAATTGAAACGTTCTCCTGAAACCGTGATTGTCGAATTCTATTTGCCCGGTAATGCCCTCGAACGATCCCTACAAAAACGCCCCGCCTCTTAATCACCAGCCGAAGGTAATTTTTCGCGACTTACGGTCCTCAGAGCGTTTATGACGCTCAGCCCGTCAGTCCATCCCCCTTCGCCGTCGCAATCCAAATATTGACCTTCGACTATTCCCAATGAATTAAGCGTCTGCAGGAATACATTAACGGAATCGATAATTAACGCCGTCTCGATGTCCAACTCCGGCTTTCCGCAGTCCAGTTTGAACGTGATGTTGTAGAGCATGCAGAGGTCCTGCGACGCCCTCAGGGCCAGCTCGTCTTTGGCTTTTATGAGGTGCACCTGCAGCGGTTTTTTACTGATTCGATGGGAATACGCGGGAAGGTAATTAACTTACCCCGGTGATGACGGCGTCGCTGTACTGAAATTGAGATAAATCCTCCGTATGCGCGTCCATGTTGGTCAGGAAGTAATTGTATTCGGCTGTCAGGAGTCCTACTTGTTGGAGTTGCGTGAGCAACGTCCTTAAATCTTGTATGGGACAGTCGAGGACGAAGTTCTTCTGGCCCGATCGCCCGGCGTTCCGGAGAACCGGTCTGAAATTTCGGGATTAAAACGGGCGTAAAATGGGTGAATATGTACCTGTAATTTCCATCTCCGAAAGGGTCGATGTTCTCAATATACACGATTATACCGTCGTCTTTCGCTTTCCTGATGAACTCGTTGCTTCTTATTAAATGTTCCTCGTTCGTGTATAACACTGTAAAGGTTTCCCATTCGAGGGCGTTGATAATATCCACGAACCCATCGGCTAGTCTATCGGGGTTCGGGAAGAAATTGAAGGTCTGCAATCTCATTTCCGACGGTCGGATCCATCTGGTGAGTATGTGAGGTATATCCTTCCTATCGGTAATAGCTTGGACTATATCGAAGTTGAGAGCGGATTGGGGACCGAATATTCCTGCAATAACAACATATTCCTGACCAACGCTCAATTTGTTCAGTAAATATTCGTTACTAACCGACGACGCTTTGGCGCAGGAACGAGCAAGTGGCTTTGTAGGCTGTGAAGGGCTCATCTTTAAGTACGTACGGGTCTATAACGGGCGAGACGATCACATTGTTAGGGGTACTTTTCAGGCTGCTTATCCTTTGAGAGTATTTAAACGCTTCTTGGTGCAATTGGATGTTCTCAAAGATTCCAGCTGTGAAAATATGTCGCTTTTTTATAAAGCTATAGGTACTATCATTTGATGGTGTAATTATTTTCGTGTCCCTAAATATTCATAGTTATTCATGGAACGTCGGAATAAAGGGAAATTAGATGCAGAAATAACAAAGCAAATTAATCAAAGGAAAATATTGCGCTCCGAGTAGAACAACACTGGGACAAAAAGACATCGATATAGATTACGTTAGTGAAAGTTGGGTTGAAGACGAAATAAAAGAGATAAAACTTAATGCTTTGGAAACGGAAAGTTTATGAAGAATACTAGGGAAAGCGAAATGGAACCAAGGGAAGGACATGTTTATGACGGATAATATTAAATTATGATAGTTACCGATTTTTAAATACGTTACGTTGTCAACGGCACACAAAGCACACTGGAAAATAAAAAAATACCAAATTTTCGCTGGAAATATCATCGTGAACGCACCGTAAAATGCTTCTTTCTAAATAACCGAGCGAATGTGATGAACGTTTCTGTTAACTCTATGTTTAATTGCTAGCATCCGTTTTTCGTTAAATTATTACGTACATTTTTAGCAAATGAGTGCCCTGTGAATATCGAATACATTTTAGTTAAGCGAAAATTTAATTAGTTTAACATTGACATACATAAATTAACCACCCACGTTTGGACTTCAACGGCGATTAATTCGGTAGAGGAATTACCTATTTACGAGTAAAAAGAATGTTCATTAGCATTGCGGGACCGATTCGTTTGCAACGATCGATTCAACAGGCTGTGACGGCTCGAAATATGGTAGATGTATGGAGTAACAGGTGTCGGGATATGTTCTCGTTAATGTTTCTTAATTAATTTGAAATTGTAATAATCTATATTTAATTCATGTCCAGCATTAAATATAGATTATACTTAGAACCTAAGCGCCAAATTCTATTATGAGGTGACTAGGAAGTCAGCAGAAATGTGCACTAAACGCGTCCAGCTTTTTAAATTAGCTGAAAACAGTTAGTTACATGAAATATGTGCTTGAGTTTGTTCGCGTTTTGTGCGATAGGGATTGTCGCGTGCGAGAACGTTAATATAGGTAAAAACTGAATAATCCAACATTTCCTGTGTCTTGTGGTTTTCCCTAGAAGTGAGACAATTTTTCCGTTTGTTGTTTTTATTAAAATTATACGCAATACTAATTCTCCACCGCTTCGTACACCCTACAATCCCGTTCTTAGTAATTTACATACTATTACTAAGTTTTCAGACGAAACACCTGAATGGGCTATTAAAGTTTAAAGTTTAATCTACCATTATTCCAAAACTAACGGCCCCGTAAGTGCAGAACGAATTTATTACCGCTGATAAAAGTCAAATAAAATCTAAAGTTAGAGTTTCGTTGAAGGCGCGGTCTTCGAGGGCGACGAGGGCGTCGAGGCGGCGTTCAAATTCGCCGTGAAAAATTTAAACGATGACAATCCGGACGCCGAGTTCACGTTCGACCCGCTGGTGTACGATAATTTCGCCGACGGGGACCAGTTCGTGTTGATGCGAAATGTTTGTTCGATCATAGACGAGGGAGTCGTCGCGATATTCGGCCCGCGTTCCTACCGGAATATCGACGTCGTCCAATCCATTTGCGATGTGAAGGAAATTCCTCACATAATCACCAGGTCAGCGCCTTAATTGATTATTTTCGCCGCTCGACAACTCCCGTTTTGCAGATGGAAGAGCTACTACATAGACGGCGACAAGACCATCGTAAATTTCTACCCCGATTCGAGCACCCTGTCGAGGGCCTACTACGACATTATCACGAATATGGGCTGGAAAACGTTCACGGTACTCTACGAAGGCGATGAGAGTTTGTTGAGAATTAAAAGTCTCGTGGAGACTGCGCACCAGGATGGAGTAGTAACGCAAATGATGCAGTTGGATCCGTTTTACACGGGAAATTTTAGGTAAGCCCGTGCATTTACTCGTGTAGAGTACAGGGCGATTTTTTTAGAGATACCATGAGAGACTTGAAGAAAACGCAACAGAAATCGGTTGTAATAGACTGCCACATAGACAGTCTTTTCCAAGTATTAACCCAATTACAACAAGCCGGTTTAATGAACGAGCAATACAGTTACTTCATAACCAATCTGGATACTCATACTGAAAATTTAATGCCATTTAAATACAGCAATGCTAATATAACTGGGGTAATATAAATGGACTATACTCTTGCTCCTTTCGCATTATTCTTCATCATTTCCACGTTACAAGTGTGTTCTTACAGATCCGTCTGGTGAATCCCGACTCTGAGTACGTTCAAAAAGTAAGCAGCGACTTGCTATCGGAAAATTTAAATTTCCTGGAATCCCCCGCTTGGAAAATTCGACTGGAGCAAGCCTTAACCATCGACGCCGTGAACATGCTCGCGGCCGTGGTGATCGACAGGCAAAAATCGAGCGATGTGAGGATAATAACCAACAAAAACAGCCTGCTCTGCGCTGAGCCGGACAGTTGGGAGCACGGTTTGAGCATCGTTAACTTACTAAAATCCGTAAGAAATTTGCGATCGTGTATATTTTTTAACAGCGATGAAAACGTGGCTCTTTGGTAGTATCCCCACGATGGTCTAACGGGAAGAGTGATATTCGACAATCAAGGATACCGGAGCGATTTGATACTAACCATATTCGAGTTACTGGAAGGCGGTATAACGGATGTGGGTGTGTGGAGTTCCAGTTATGGATTGAACGCTTCCAGACCTGGAGATGTTAGTGGCATCGATGATCCGGAGAGTATGAGAAATAAATCTTTCGTCGTCGAAATTGCTCTGGTATGTGAAATTTAATTTCCTGAATTAGGTGTTATTGAATCCATTTTTCAGACTGAACCCTACGGGATGTTAAAGCAAACAACAGATCATCTGTATGGCAACGACATGTACGAAGGTTACGCTATTGATCTGATTGAGAAATTAGCGGAAATGGAGGGTTTCAATTACACTTTTGTGGTAAGAGAGGATAAAAGTAGCGGTTCTTTCGATAAAAAAACTCAAAAGTGGGGTGGAATGATAGGAGATCTTCTTGATAAAGTAAGCTTCTACTACAATCAATAATATTTGATTGTATATTAATAAATATTTCAGAAAGCCGATTTAGCTATTTGCGATTTTACAATTACATCTGACAGAGAAGGAGCTGTAGATTTCACAGTACCATTCATGTCTCTAGGTATTAACTCACTAACATCACTTTATAACCCACTGAAAATTTGAAAATTTAAGGTATCAGCATCCTATTCAGGGAACCGGAATCCGCTCCTCCGAGTTTCTTCTCCTTCGCCGATCCCTTCGCATTGGATTCCTGGATGCTGTTGGGCGTCTCGTTCGTGACCGTATCGCTGTGCTTCTACTTCACCGGGAGAATTTGCTCCGACGAATGGACGAATCCTTTTCCTTGCATCGAAGAGCCGGAGTATCTGGTGAACCAGTTCAGCCTGAGCAATTCCTTTTGGTTCGCCACGGGGGCGTTGCTGGCTCAAGGATCGGAAATAGCGCCAATGTGAGTTCGGTATCTACGAATTTTCGAATGTGTATCTCGAATTTTCAGCGCGATATCGACGAGAATGGCTTCGGGAATTTGGTGGTACTTTTGCCTCATCATGAGCGCTTCCTACACGGCTAATCTCGCTGCGTTTCTGGCTACTGAAAACCCCATTAAATTGTTCACTGATCTCCAAAGCCTCTATGACAGCCAGGACATAACTTACGGGGCGAAGGTTAATGGTGCTACTTTCAATTATTTCACGGTGAGTATTTTATTTTAAATTATTTGATGGTTTATACGATGTAAAACTTTATTAGACCGCCAAGGAAGGTTTGCTGCAAAAAGTCGGGAAAGTATTGTTGGACCATCCAGAGTACAACGTACTGGATAACGATATAGGTGTGCAAAGAGCTGAGGATGGGAAATATGCTTTCTTCATGGAGTCTTCTTCTATAGAATACGTTACGCAAAGGCATTGTAATTTGATGCAATACGGAGACCATTTGGATGAAAAAGGTTACGGAATAGCCATGAGAAAATGTAAGATTAAATAAAATTTCAGCAAATAAAGAGACAAATTAAATTTTTCTAGATTCTCCTTATAGAAAAAAACTAAGTTTAGCGTTATTGAAACTGCAACAAAATCATTTTCTGGATGATTTAAAGAAGAAATGGTGGGAAGAGCGCAGAGGTGGTGGTGCCTGTGAAGTGAGTCTATCAACTTAATTTAATCCAAAATTTAAACATAATTAATGTGTTTCCTTTAACAGGGTGTCGTTGAATCATCGGAAGCAGATCCTTTAGAACTGGTAAATGTGGAAGGATGCTTTTATATGACGGTTTTCGGCACGATCCTTGCATTTGGATTAGTTCTCATCGAGCATTTCCTGTATCTCTTAAGAGTGCGAAGAAGATCCGGAATACCTTTCTGGAAGATAATTAAGGCCGAATTAAAAGCATACATAAATTTCAACAGTCCCAGCAAACCTAACTTGGAAGTGTTGAAAAAAATTCCCGATGAAGCCGAGGCAGAGGACGATAAGAAAAGCGAAGATGATAAAGAAGATTCCGAAGAGAATAGGAGAAAGTCCAAGTCGGCATCGCAAACAAGGACGTTTACGAGGAGCAGGTCCAAATCGGTGTCCAGACAGACCAGCCATTCCAGGAAGAAACGTTCGAAATCCTCTGGAAAAAGAACGCCTCTATCGTACGGATTTATTATACCTTCCTCTTTGGAGAATTTGAAGGATATAGAAGAAACATTTTGAATTATCTCCGATACGAATTTACACAATGGTGGAATGACTGGCGACTTCTTATTTTTACAATAAACCTGCATGTATTGAAGAAACTAATTTTGTGATATTTGGTTGCTAAAAATGTTATCTATTAGTTTTCTTCCTAATTAAAGTACCTAAAGAATATTTAAAAATTCCCGCTGTTTGACACTTGTTGTTTTTTAAATTGTAGCCTTTGCCTTCGATATTTTACAATGAAAAGAAAACATACAAATTATGCTTTATAAAAGAAGAATCACGCAAATTAAATAAAGTAATTAGAAGTAAATAAAAAAAAATAAAAAATAAAAGAATTAAATGTGTATTCTACGTTAAGTATATTAGTTAATTCCTTAATTTTCTTCTAAGTACCTCAAGTATATTGAAATTCCCACTGTTTGACAAGTTTGTAACCTTTGCCTTCGTAGTTTTACAGCCATAAGTTGAAAGTGACATTTTCGATAAAAAAGAAGATTCATGTTAACCTCTAAAAATCTCACTCATAGTAAATAGAAAATAAACAGAATATTTTTAATGTTTATACGATAAGTACAATATTTAATTCCTTTGTATTACAATTAAATAGTTATAGTCTGCTCAGTTAACCTTACAAAATGGAAATAGACTTGGAAATGTCCGACGAAGACTACGTTATACAAAGAGCCAAAGATTCGTTCAAAAACAACCCATCTGCGGCGAAAGCATGGATGATCACGGCGAAAATTATGTACCCCAACAACTTCGAAGTGCAATTCGAGGCGTACCAAATCGAAAAAACGGCCAGGAACATCAAGGAAGCCGCCAAGTGTTTCAGCCAGTTAACCATAAAGTTCCAACAGCAGCCCGAACTTTGGAAGGAAATAGAGAAGCTAACAATCGCCCTGAGGGCAGAATCCAATAACGACGAGGAAAAGCAATTCATGTGCGACATGTTTCGACACCTATCCTCGGACGTTCAGCATAAATTACTACTGTTCACGGCTGATCATTGCGAGGATACCATGGAGCACTGTAGACTCTTGTTGTTGCTGTTACAAAGATTCCCCACGGCCATTTCGAGCAACGGACCGAGATTGGTAGATACGCTTATTAGCGCGGAGAAGCACAGTGTCGATGGAAATTACCCCATCAGTCCCTATCGAAAACTCCTCATTTGTGATTTGCTTCCTTTACTAGCGAGTGAAAAAGTAAAAGTGGACTTGTCTTCGAAGTTGCTGCAGAAACTGCTGCAAAAGGCCATCGAGTTTTATTTTTGTTATTTAGGTTTGAATTCCAGCGCGATTCAAGATAGCGAAACTAAAATCGAAGATCCCTGGTCGAACCTATTCGGGGTTATAGAATTTATAGGGAATCAATTGAACTGGGAGCCGCAGCTCCTCGATTTCTCCACCAACTGGTCGAAGGAAGGTTATTGGCAGAAGATCATGAAGTTTTGCCAATCGAAATCCAAGAATTATCCGCTGGAAGATAAGCAGTTGCTCTATTGCCTGTCGATATTCTTCGTGTACTGTCTTTTCGAGTACAATTCTAGTCTAACTCCTGAATCCAGCCCCGGGCAAACTTCTACAACTTTTATCATGGTCGAAGCCTTCTCCGATTCAACACTATTAAATCTAGCAGAGCCAAAAAATAAGAAGAGGAAAACCGATGTTGATGTGTCTCATGTTTCAGCTCCTTGCATTACAGCGGAGAAACCCCAATACAAACATATCCAGAATAATTTTTTGATTTGTATGAATTGCTGGGATTTGTTAAATTCATCCGAGAACCTGCAAAGGGAGTTCATAAAACTGAACTCGAATCTGAAATTGGACCCGCTACTGTCGAGTTTCGTAATAGACTACGCCCTGTACAAAGGCATGTATGATGAAGCCTTGATGTTCTTACATAAGGTCACAGAACCGCCTTTGTTGCTTCAAAGGTATATTAGGGAAGCTTCTATATTGTATTTCAAAAAGAAATACAGTTTTTGTTTAGAACCCATAACACTCGCTCTACCCTTATTACCGAACAACAAAGGAAACTTAAGTAACAACCTGATCATAGGCGGTAATCAGAAACACTTTCACTATTTACCTCTGACACGAATCGCTATTTTACAATTTTTAACCAAAATCCTCACTAGATGCATTAAAGAAAACATGCAACACCAGAGCTCCGCGGATTTATCCATCGGCCATATATTCACGTTAACGCAACTGGACTGGCCGCAGGAGGAAGACATGATTCCGCCTCTTCTGGAAAAAATCAAGCAAAGCAGATCGTTTCAATACCACAACTTCCAAAATTACATCATCAACGTGGATATTCTGGAAGAACTGACGTACCTCTGGACGAACCAAGGCGGTCAGATCCAGCTGGACATCCTCCCCCATCTAGGCCAAAGACGGATAGGCACCCGAGGCGCAGACAAAGGCGTAAAAGAAGAAATCAAGCAAGCTATCAGAAGACAAATAACCAGAAGTAACGAAAAACTCGACGATCTGCTCGTCAGCTTCATACTCAACGAAAGAGCGCAGATTCTCCAAACCTTAAAACCCCCGTTTAGCATGTAGTATAAGCAATCAATCCTGTATATAGCACTAACGTTTGACATTAAACATTTCGATTATTTTGTTTGTGTTTATCGCTTCCAACAGTCATTAAATATCCGAAAAAAATGTCAGCATGACCTACGCTGTCATTACCTATTTTAAAAATAAATTTAGATTTTTTAGAAATAATAAGGGCCATAAGAAACCGGCGAAAATGAGACCAGACTCGGATAACAGGGAGCGAAGGGAAAGCCCCCGGGCGCACGCCAACTTCCTCTCGGCGTTCACTTTCTTTTACAGCATCAAAACCTTCAGGGAGGGCATTAGTCGGGAACTGACCGAAGATGACCTCACCAAGCCTTTGGACGAGCACAAATCCAACATGCTGGGCGACAAAATCTCCGCCATTTGGACCAAGGAATTCGACAGGGCCTTGGAGCAGAAAAGACAGCCCAACATGCGAAAAGTAATCGCAAAGACCTTCTACAAGGAATTCATGATGTACGGATTGGTTATGTTCGTTTTAGAAGTCGCCGTCAGGCTGTTTCAGCCGATATTCGTGGGTTGTTTCATCAGATACTTTAACGAGAACAACAGGCTAAGGACGACCAAAGGAGAGGCGGTTAAACCCCCGCAATTTTTCTACAGAGTCTTGAATTTTTGGCAGCCCGACCAAGGCATTATCACTATAGAAGAAGCGTATTTCTTCGCAGGCGGCATAGCGTTCTGCAACTTGTTGGTTGTAATGGTGACCCACCCGTACATGCTGGGCGTCCTGCACGTAGGAATGAAAGTCCGAGTGGCCTGCTGCTCGCTGATCTACCGGAAGGCGTTGCGATTGAAATTCACCTCGCTGGGCGGCGAGACGGTGGGAAACGTGGTGAATCTAATGTCGAACGACGTGACCAGGTTCGATTTGGCGCCGATTTTCGTACATTACTTGTGGATATCGCCCATACAAATGTCCTGCATCATCTACTTCCTGCACAAGGAGGTCGACGACGCCTCGTTTTACGGGTCGTTTGCGGTCCTGTTCGTCGTTCCCGTACAAATGCTGCTGGGCTACAGAACGGCCGTGCTGAGACGATTGGCCGGCGGTCGAACCGACGAAAGAGTGAGGCAAATGAACGAAATCATCCAATCCATACAAGTCATAAAAATGTACGCTTGGGAGAAACCCTTCGCGGGGATGATCAAGAAGTTGAGGCAGAAAGAGCTGAAGGTACTGAAGCAAACCTCCTACATCCGAGGCCTGATCATGTCCTTCATAATGTTCACCAGCCGATCGGCGATATTCCTAACAGTCGTAACTTACATATTAATAGGCGAGCACATAACGGCCGAAAAAGTCTTCCTCATAATCTCCTACTACCAAATCCTCAGGCAAACCATGACCGTGTACTTCCCCCAGGGGGTGGCCATGGTGGCCGAGGGCTTCGTCTCCATCAGCCGCATCGAGGAGTTCATGAAGACCGAGGAGACGAACGTGGGCGATCCCTCGCCGATCGACCGCTACTGGCAGATCAAGCCGAAGAAGTACCCGAAGCGGCCGATGCAGAGCGCCCAGCGCGGCGACGCCTACATCCAAATCATTCACGGCCACTCCAAGTACGGGGACATCCTGTGCCTGGAGGATTTGAATTTGGAGTTCAAGCCCGGCCAGACCGTGGCCGTCGTGGGGCCGGTGGGCGCCGGCAAGAGCTGCCTGCTGCACCTGATCATGGGCGAATTGCCGCTGTTCAGCGGGAAATTGAACCTGCGCGGAGTGGTCTCCTACGCTTCGCAGGAACCCTGGCTGTTCGTCGGATCGGTCAGGCAGAACATATTATTTGGAAGGCGCTTCGATTACCATCGCTACAGGGAAGTTATAAAGGTTTGCGCGTTGACCAGGGATTTTTCCATTTTACCTTTCGGAGACAGGACGATCGTGGGCGAACGCGGAGTATCGCTCAGCGGAGGCCAAAGGGCCCGAGTTAATTTGGCCAGATGCGTCTACAAGGAAGCGGATATTTACCTCCTGGACGATCCGCTATCGGCCGTCGACATTCAGGTCGGCCAGCAACTATTCGAAGCCTGCATAAAACGCTACTTGCACGAAAAAATAGTGATCCTAATCACGCACCAACTGCAATATTTAAAACGGGCCGATTACATCGTCATCATGAACGAAGGGCTCATCCAATGCCAAGGGCCCTACAAAGGCTTGATGGAGAAGGCCGATCTCTCGTACTTCGCCACCATTCTAAAGGAAGCCTCCACCGCGTCGCCTATCGAGGAAAAGGAAGTGGAGAGACTGCTGCAAGGCATCTCGGTAACGAGCACCGTATTCAACAGCATGATCGACATCGAGGGCAAGAAGAGACGGCCCTTGATCGTTCCCGAAATGAGAACGACCGGCTCGGTGGATTTCGCCAATTACAAGGCGTATTTTCGAGCCGGAGCGAACTTTTGCGGCATCGTCTGCATGATAATCCTGTTCCTGTTAGCGCAAGTGATCGCCAGCGGCGGCGACTTCTTTCTGGCTCAATGGGTCAACGTCGAAGAGCTCCGCTATTTCAAAGGCTCCGCCGAATCGATGGGAATGTACAACAACCTATCGCGCGACAATTTCGTTCTAATCTACATGATATTAATGATAATGACGATAGTGGTGGCGATATTGAGATCTTTGGTGTACTACAGCGTATGCATGCGCTCCTCCCAACGGTTGCACAACAAGATGTTCGAGAGCGTGATACACGCCTGCCTGCTGTTTTTCAACGTCAACAGCTCGGGTCGCATCTTGAACAGGTTCTCCAAAGATCTGGGCGCCGTCGACGAGCTGCTGCCCAACGCGTTTTGCGACACCACGCAGCTGCTGCTCAACCTCATCGGAGCCATAATCATCGTGGCGATGGTCGAGCCGATGCTGCTCATTCCCACTTTCTTGATGGTCGTCGCCTTCTACTTCTTGAGAAGGGTTTATTTAGCTACCAGTAGAAACGTCAAGCGCTTGGAGGGTATAACTAGAAGTCCGGTGTTCGCCCACCTGAACGCTTCTCTACAGGGTTTGACCACTATCAGATCGAACGGGGCGGAGAAGATTCTAGTGGACGAATTCGACTCGCTGCAGGACATCCACAGCAGCGCTTGGTTCATGTTCCTCTACACTTCCAGAGCGTTCGGGTTGTGGTTGGACATCATCTGCTCGTGCTACATCGGCTTGGTTTCGTACAGTTTCGTCGTGTTGGGCGACGATTACTACGGCAGCGCCGTGGGGCTGGCCATCACCCAGTGCATAGGCCTCAGCGGGCTCGTTCAGTGGGGAATGAGGCAATCGGCCGAATTGGAGAACCAAATGACGTCGGTGGAAAGGGTGTTGGAGTTCACCCGGATCGAGCACGAGCCGGATTTGGAGTCCACTCCCGACAGGAAGCCGCCGTCGGTGTGGCCGAAGTACGGCAAAATCGAATTCATCGATTGCAGCATGCGGTACAGCTACTTCGAGCCGTACGTGCTGAAGCATATGAGCTTGGTGATCAAGCCCAAGGAGAAGATAGGCATCGTGGGACGGACGGGGGCCGGGAAATCCTCCATGATCGGCACCGTGTTCCGATTGGCGACCTACGAGGGGTTGATATTGATCGATAATTTGGATATAAGCATCCTCGGTTTGCACGATCTGAGGAAAAAGCTGTCGATTATACCGCAAGAGCCCGTTCTGTTTTCAGGCACTCTCAGATACAATTTGGATCCGTTCCATGAATTCACCGACGAGCAGATATTCACTACTTTACTGGACGTGGAAATCTCGATGGCGATGAAGAAGGGAATCGAGTGCTTGGACGATATTATGAGCGAAGGAGGCACCAACATAAGCGTGGGATCAAGGCAAATGGTTTGTCTGGCTAGAGCCATATTAAGGAATAACATCATACTGGTTATGGACGAAGCTACAGCCAATGTTGACGCCCAAACCGATAGATTCATTCAAACGACGATCAGAACCAAATTCGCGCATTGCACCGTGCTCACTATAGCCCACAGATTGAACACAGTCATGGACTACGATAAGATACTGGTGCTCGATGCCGGGCAGCTGATCGAGTTCGATCATCCGCACGTTTTGCTGCAGAATCCGAACGGGATTCTCACGGACATGGTCAGAAAAACGGGACCCGGCGTGTCCGATCGCTTGAGGGACATCGCGAAGGAGAATTTCATGCGGCAGCTCATGGTCGAGAAGAAAGTAATCATATCGAATATCGTACAACAAATAATGGACAACGTAGAAGCCGAAGAGGTGAGGCGCAACTTGAATTATATGAAAAATATGTAAGAATTTATAGCCCGATCCGGAGTTTATACGAGTTTTTACAATTAGAAATGTACATGGTTTTTTACGAGTGTGGATATTAAAGTATTTTATCTCTAAATAGAAACTTTTTTAAAGGCATCAAAAATTCAAAATACACACAATTTCGAAAAAAAACAACAATATATTTCAACGTAACAATGAACTACCAGATTGTGCATAGCGAGCTACAATTAACATATTCGATCAATTCTCATTAATTACTGAATTAAAAGCAGTAAATATCCATCTCCTTTCGATATTAGCGCCAATACCGACTAGCTCTTGCTTGAACACAGTAGGAAATCTGCTCATCAAAGACTCTATTTCAGACGGTCTTAAATTCGCTTCGATTTTACTAACGTACGACCAAATATAGTCCAAACCAGCACCAAAAGGATGCACGTTCAAAAACGTGGATATGATTCCGATTAGCTTAGCGTCGCTTTCTATGAAACTTTGAACACATTCCGGACTCTCTCCCACGCTCACCGAATCGCATTGCTCGTTATCGCTGCTGTCGATTATGACCACGTCTTTATCTTTATCGCTAAGCTGTCTCCCTTTCTCCGCTTTCAGTTTCATCTGCAGATCCTTCACTCTGGCCTCTTCCTCGCTTTGCCTTCTTTTCGTCTCCAACAGCTGCTGTTGCATGCCTTGCAGAGTCTGCTGGAGCACCTTGAATTGCTTCTCTTTCTCCTCCAGTTCATTCTTGTAGTCCGTTTTGAGCACCTCGACCTGGAAAATAAGTCGAACAAAGCGAGTAGTAAATCGCGACTTGTTATCCGGAAGTTTACCTCGTTTTTGTACGCTTCGATTTGGCATTTCAAAACGTCGTTTTCGTCTCTGAGCAATTGGCATTCGGGCGCCGGATCGCTCCTCTGTTTCTTCTTCGACGGTTCTTCATCGTCAGACACGTCCATTTCATCATCGTCGCGCTCTTTGGGCGCCTCGTCGAGTTGGATGTTTTTTATGTCCTACGAACACGATGCCAGAGTTATTTACCATTCGGATTTATCGTACACGTGGATTATATAATTTCGAAATAATTCGTGGAAATTGTAATGGATTTAGAGTACGAATTGAGTTGATGCTTTACTTTCCACCAATTACTTGTTTAGAAAGACTAATTTATATACAATTCGAAAATAGATTCTTGTTATTTAGCTTCGTTTGTACCATTTTTTTTTCTGGAGAATTCACGTTTTACCTAAGAAAAATTCGATATGTAATGTTGTGTTCATAGGCGAGATTCTGTCTCGATAAATGAATCCATGCATCCGGGCTGACTGACTATTTTCCTTATTTATTAACTTACCTGTTCTTACCTTTTTTTAAACAAGAAAATTACAATATATAACTCTAGTAAGGTGAACCAGAAAGAAAATTTAAGTAGTGTGTTATAAATTGGCTAATACTATAATCTAAACATGCAAAAACCTTGGACTATCAAATGTAAAACAACGTATTTAAAATGTATGTAACGATATTTACACCCTTTCAGTACGAATTTTTCACTACCACTTTTTTCTTACCTTTATAATACTTCAGAGATAACTACCATATTTATTAGCAAATTTAATTCTTTAGAGCTCTAACATAATCTTGCGTACATACATTTTTTATTATTAAAAAATAATCATTTCCAACAGTTATCTATGATTGATTGTGGAAGTTATAGTTATAATAGCTACATCAAACAAAATGTAATAGTAAAAAATTGGAAATGATCTCAGTGAAGATTATTTAATAAATTGTTAGTTAATAAACTGACTATGAGTACATGAAAACGTGACATTGACCGTCCAAGGTGGTACCTACCAATGATTGCCTTTTCCAAGTCTCTATGTTCTTTCTCTGAGCCTTGGTGAAATGGTCCCATACTTTCTTGTGACACGCCGATGAGAACAATCGCTCAATTTGACCGACTAACAGCACACGCAAAGAGTTTTATTAGACCATCGTTAAATACCATTAAATATTTAAAATCAACTACACCTCATCATCCTTTCATTACCGCCCAATGTTTGTATCAAAATTCATTTGCAAATTAATTTGATTAAACTATTCCGGTAATAATAATGCAACGAATTAGAATTATTATTTTACTATTTATTAATTATTAATTGGAAAATGAATTATTTAACGTTTTATTAATTTCCATATGTAACAGTTTGAAACAGCTATACAATTATTTGATAAGTATACCTACAAATTTATAAAAAAATAAACCAAAACCATAAAAATAACCACTCACCTTTTGTCAATTATGCATTTGATATAACCAAAGTGTTCACGTTTATTGACTTTACATTCAGTTAAATAAAAATATTATTTTGAATTTAATAGTTTCAAGACCTACCTCACCTTTACTAACGGAAAACGCTGTGCAAATATTCGAAATTACCTTAAAAAATTGTAGATAATTCACATCTAGGTGTTTCAAAGAAATATTTTCTAATCGACTAAACGTCCGAAATAGTTACCTTTACTTTTTACTCCATGTTAAAAGCCAATTTTTCTATTACTTACACAAACCTCAATACAAACCCCATTAGAAAATTGAGGGAAACGAATAAACTGAATAATTGAATAATTCCGCACATGTTTCTATGTACATTTGAAAAAAATATATAACTAAAATAACTTTTTGTTGGCTTACCAATAAAAATCAGTTAAATTCTAAGAGTTAATAAAAAAATATAGTACAAATCCTATGAAATATTTTTTTGTATGAATTTAGCAGCAAGCCAAGTATTGTTCGAAATTAACAGCACATTAATAAAATCTAATTTACATCACGATTTTCAATATTTACTCAATTAATTTCGAACGTTTTGCAGGTATACTTATTCAGATCCTGTAACATATAATATATTCAATGTCTCCTTTTTAATAACAGCATACTTACTAACATCAGACGACCAACTCGAAAATAAAAAAAAAATAAAATCCACACTTACATTGCAACAATATGCCCTGCATTCTTCCTCTCAATATTTCCTTAGCCTTCCGCAACTCCTCTTCGTACTGGCCTTTCTCATTCAACAACCTGCGTATATGAGAATTGGTAGATTGTATCATCGAATAGAAATTATTCGCATTTCTTTTATTGCAGTCGCCTCTCTCTAACCACGTTATCACCGTCTAAAACATTTATAATCAATGCAATTAAGATATAAGTATGTACAGGACGAAGAATGCAATACTAACTTGAACAGCCTTAGTAAACGTTTCATCTTGTTTAATTTTCTCGGCCACCGCAACAGCCTCGTGGTCTGTATAATGCACTACAGGCGGAGGCGAAGGGGGCCTTAATCTCTCCTCTTCCATTCTCTCGCGGTGCCTCTGCTCCCTTTGGAGCTGCCTTTGTCTGCATTCCCATTCGTACTGATCGTCCCTCGCCTGAAATTTCTATTAAAGATAAAGATATTCCATGCAAGCGTTATTATTCAATTAAACATTATTTAATTCAACTCACCTGAGCATAATCGACGTGCAATCTTCCCGTATTAGCCGGTTCGCTGTTCGATCCTATTCTTACTCTGTAACCGGATAGGAATATCGCGGCGTCCACGGACGCTTCGTACACGAATCGCAGATGGCAGAAATTCTTTTTGCTCAATCGCAAGGTGGTTATTTCGCCGCATCGTTCGAATATTTCTGTGATTATTTTTTCAGTCATATTCTCCGGCAGGCCTCCGACGAAGACGGTCCGGCAGCCTGGGGGTCTCTCTCTTATGGAAGGCAACGGAGCGTTGGGGTTCGGCGGGAATAGAGTGCAGGATTTACAATGGATTATTTCTTTAACGGGATTCATGATCATAGTGGAGTCTGCGGGTAGTATGGATGGGTCGGGAGCTAGCATGGGAGGGATCATTCCGTAATTGCCCATTTGCATTAGGTTTGGGTCCATTAGCATGTTCATGCCTACCATGGGGTATCCCATGCCTGAAAATTTGTTAGAAGTAATTATTTATTTATGAAATTAAGTAATATGTGCTTACCCATTAATCCACTCCACATATTAGGAGGGCCGATACCAGGGCCGTTTTGTTGTAACGGTACTACATCCTGTGAGGATATATTCGAATCAGAATCAGCAGATTTGTCTGAATTGTCTTTTCTCTCCCTGTTCCGGCTACTCGTACGAGATCTTCTATCTGTTGGACTTTGACTAGATTCATCTTTATCGTCAGCCGAGCGACTACTTTTATTTTTCGAAAATTCTAATGGTGAATCATTCATCATGATTTACGAATACTAAACCCTAAATTATTTAAGAAATACTCCTATTGTTTAGCACGATTCCTTAGACAAAAGGTGAAGAATGAAAATGTTCATTTCAAAACTCACAAAAGTGAATATAATACAATACGAACGCTCCTATGTAGTAATTAACAAAATAGTGCAACAAAAGGGCAAATTTTTAGAATATTTCCATTTATATTTACTAAGCATTAAATAATATTTTAATTTTCTTTACAATGTAAATTCAATACATATTTTGACTTTTGACTTTGACAGGTTTGGAATGAAATGATCTAAAGTAGAGTAAAATGTAAAATGAGGATGGGAGAAAAAGAGTACTTGAGCATAATTAATTTTAAATACGATTTTCACTTTTGCGATATTAATTTGCTTTAAATCCAAATCTAAATGAAGAAATTTTGTAAAGATGAAATTTATAAAAATAAAAAATTCTTCTTCATTCTAGTTAGCTGCCTTTTAACAATGGGCATTCAGCGAGTTGTCATTTATTTAAAATACCGCAGTAGGCATAATTTTGTATTTATATAGTTGTAAATAAAAAAGAAGATATATATGTTTAAATTTTCTTCTCCTTTTATTATTTCTACATGTTTATAATTACAATATTTTATGCATGTTGCTTGATGCTTGATCTTGTTCTCTTTTTTGCTAAGATGCTGAATAAGTCGGTCACTTGCAGAACAAGAGCTTTAAGCTCTTTCTAATAAGTTACCAGTATTATTAATTGTTTCGTTTTGAACTGAAATTTAATAATTAACAGACAAAATGGATTTAACCGGTCAAAATCCGATTGAATTAACAACTTTCGTGAATCCGCATTTGTTTTGGTTTATACTAAAAACCGACGCACGTTCCGAGCAACTTAACAATTTAAACAAGCAATTCCAAAAGTTTGATACATTCAAAAATTCCAATGATTCCTTCGAAATTGGAGAGGTAAGGTGTCTTTAATTTTCTTGCAACTAACAGTTAAATTCCATATATTTATTCTTAGTTCTAATGTGTTTATTGCAATTATTCTAGATTGTAGCAACTAAGATAAGCGAAAAATTCTACCGAGCTGTAATAGAGCACGTCGAATTCGAAAACGATAAATTATGCTCGTACTTGCTATGGTTAATAGATTTCGGTTTAATGAGGGAGAGTAACGATGTTTTCAAATTGCCTTCGTCCCTAAGGAAATTTCCTCCATTAGCAATACAGGCAGCCCTCAATAATGCCGTGTATATTCAAAAGGTATTTACATTTACCAATACAAATTATGAATTCTAATTATTATAATTTCAGGTGATCGAATATAACGAATTCGGCCAACCTTGCTCGCTCAATAAACATTACTTAAACCCTAATCCGAGGTGTAGGAATGAGTGTTATCAATGGTTATCAAAAACTTGCAGTCTCACTGGTTTGAATTTTAAGTTTGAGAAAAAAGAAGAAGGCATAGCTTTCGGAGACATTGTTCTAAATGATAATGCAGTATCATTAAGAGATCATTTAACAAAAATTGGATCTATGGCAGTTGACGAGGAGTTGTTTAAAGGTATATTGTCTTACCATAGAAGTACAAAGCATGTATTAATTTTCTTCAGGTTTACCGGAATTTATTTGCAACTATAAGGAAAATCACTTGTGGTCGATTTTCAAAATTTGCAAACAGGAACCTTATCTGTTAGATAAGGAAAATCGTAATAAACTAGAAGATACCTGTTCGAAGATTGTTTCAAAAGTGCTCGATGAATTCAATCATTCCGATTTACTAAACATCGAAGATGAGGTATATCTATTATGAAGAAATTATAGACATTTTTGTATTAATTGCTTCTAATTACAGATGTCTGAGCACTTATGGCGGTCGAACAGATCTAGAACTGATGACACGTTGACTTCTATAGAAAGTACAACTTCAGATAACGAGACCCCGATAAAAATAAAAACAAAAAAGGAAAAAATGATGGAGAAATTGAGGCGACGCAACAAGCCCCAACTGCCCGATGTGCCAGAGAAGAAACCCATTGACGGTATGCTATGATTTTGTCCAGATGAGACTTCGTTAAATTTTAAAATGTTTAAGTATTACTTGGCCAATAAATTTATTCTAAAGCCACAAAAGCTGTTTTAGTACGAGCTAAATATAAATTAATATTATGTGGTAACCATTTTAGCTCCCGAACCAGCCAAATCGAGCAAAAAAATAATCTTTTGCGCTGCCGGCAGTGAAAGGAGTTTCAACAAATCTAAAAAACCCACTAGTAAGTACTCGCTCTTCAAGAAAACTAATTTAGAATCGATTAACATCACTCGATAACATTTTAGCTCCTCGACGAGACACCCAACACTCCTCACGACAATCCCCAAACCCTTCGAAGAACTCCACAGGACCCGAACAATCCTCATCGGAAGCGAACCGCTGCACTTCGCAAACGGAAAACGAAGAAAAGTCTTCGATGAGCAGTTCCTCCGAGCACCACGAAAACCTCCATTCGGACTCCCCGTCCGTGGGAAAGATTAAACTCAAACCGTACTGCAGCTGCAAGCAGTGCCGCGTTTGGACGCAGGAAGACAACGTTTTCATTGAAAAGTTTCCCGAACGAAGAAAAACCGAGAAAATCGTAGGCCGTAACGATCAATTTCTGTTTAGGGACTCCAACGCTGCTAGTAACGTTAAAATCTGTTCGTTGGATTACGCCTCGATGACCAAAATGAAGAAGCAAATGATGATGAAGCTGTTGGTTCACAGGTACATTCTATTTAGGCCTTTTGCTTGTAGGTTCTTCATCGCAAGATACTTATAACAGTGCTTTGAAGTATTTTTATTTGACTATGATTTTTTTTTAGCGAGAGTTACGTCAGCCCCGTTCAACAGATGACGACTATCGCTTTCCACGAAAACATCCTCAACAGTCTCAAAAAGCACGAGTATAAAGAGCCCAAGCGCATCCAAAAGTACGCTTGGCCGGCCATTCTTCGCAACCAGCACGTTTTCATGATAAGCGGGCCGCAAACCGGTAAAACCATGGCGTATCTACCGGTGGTTTGTACGTTTTTGATGGAGAAGCGCGAGAGATACAGCTCGTTGCTCAAAGTAGCCGGAGGGCCTATCGTCACCATCATCTGTTCTAACACCAGTAAATGCGAGGAGGTGTTTGATTTGACGAGAATAATCTTCGGGAATCTAAAATTAAATGTCGCCCTTGTGACCTATCCTCTAGCTCACGTCAACACTGTAACTATTATCTCATTATTTCTCAATTGTATCTGTTAAATGTTGTACTTTTTAGAGCCATACTGATATGTTAATCACGACTCCCAGCATCCTCATCGATCTGCTGAAAAATAGAAGTATTAATTTCAAACGACTGTGTCATTTGGTATTGGAAAACGGCGATGAGCTCTTACGAGATCATAGCGAAGCGATGAATTCTATTTTTGATTTGGTGCAATCGATGTTGAAAAATAGAGTTTTCACCAAAGCTCTGCAGCTTGTCGTGTGTGCTGAACATTGGAACTACCAGCTCAAATCTTTGGCGGGGAAATTGCAGCAAATTCCAATGATATGCATCGGTCATTATTTAGAAGCTGCTTTATATGGAAATCTCGAATTTTCGATGAAATTTAGCAACTCCTCGTGCAAACTGCAAGAATTAAAGAGTATTTATAATGATATTTCTTGCGTTACAATCGTGTTATTTCTTGTGTTTGTAGATTTGTTGAAAGACACTTATAAAACGAATAAATCCATAGTAATATGTAAAGAAGAAGATATTGAAGAAATTCACGATATATTGAGTCTGAAAGGAATTATCAGTATTCCGGTTTATGCCAATTTGTCGCAGGAAGAAATAAATAGCTACGAAGAAGGCTGGACAGAAGCAAAAGAAGGTGCCTTTTCGGGTATTTCTCACAGCCATTATTAGCAAAGGACTTTGAGTAATATTGTTATTTTTTGTAGTTCTTATATCCAACGACTCCACTGTTGATACTTTACTAAATATCACGTGTGCAACAACACTAATACATTATTCGTTGCCCAAATCATGGTCTAAGTTTGTAAAACGGTTTAGTTGCCTCTTGGAAAATTGCAGCAGCCCTTTGGAAAATAAGCCAGTGAGTAGAAAATGTTTCTAAGTATAACATTTGAGTAAATAAATGTTTTTTTTTAGCGTAAGACCGTTTCCAAGAGCATAGTTCTCTGTGATGAAAGCTGCAAAGAACAAATGTTCAAGTTCTTCAACTTCATTAACAGTACGGATCTTAAGAAACAATTACCCGAAAAAATTCAACGGTTCTCCGATGTAAGTATTCGAATTAAATCATAATTCTAGTATTAATCCTTTATAACTGTGTTTTAGTCGTTGAAGAGAACTGAGGAGGAACAAAAGCTGGAAAAGGGGATATCTCTTTGTGGTAATTTAAAACTTTTCGGTAAATGTACGAAAATGAATTGCTCCAGACGGCATTTAATCGCGGAAAATTCGGATGTTTCCGATGATTTACCGAAATCCGGAAAAATCAAGTTCAAAATCGTAGACGTTGCTGATGTTACGACTTTTTCAATACAAGTAATTATAAAATATTTATTAACACACTCTGTTATTTAGCATTGTATTAAAATTTTTAGTTACTTCAACATGTGGACAATGACAGCAAAGTCTACGAACGTGAGGAATTTGACAACGTTACAGAAGAATTGACGGCTACTCTGCGATTAGGAAGGAAAATTATGTATAATCCTGTTATAGGACATCATTATTCTTTTTATAATAGCGACGAGCAAGGGGAATTATACCACAGGTGCGAAGTTTTAGACATTAAAAACGACTGCATTCGAATAAAACTATTAGATAAAGGAAGTATTGTTAATACAACGACCAGCAGAATATATCGATTGCCCAAAGAATTCGAAACTGATGTAAAACCACGAGCAAGTAATTAATGTGGCATTTTATGTAATTTTAGGGCTAATTTATTTTATTGTATTTTCCAGCAATTGACGCTATTTTAGCGAATTACGTGCCACCGTACAATGACGAAAATTTCTCCGCCAAATCATTCTACAATTTAAAAACCCTATTAGAGGAGCACAATTACAAAAATATAATTTTTACGGCCGAGGTGCACCTTCAATTAAATCAAACTTTGTGGCTGAAAGACGTCCACGAAGAGGTCATTTTATCTGATAAAATCATACCCGGTTTCCAACTATCGAGGGAAATATTAACCAAGAAATTGGCCCAGCACGACTTAGGGCAATTGATTTATTTACACCAGCTGTGTAAAGACGCGAATATTGTTCTACCGGATTACGAAAAACCGAAAGTTCAGTATTCGGTGAAAAAAGAGGAGAAAAATTATCAATGGGCCTATCTGGATAATGATGAGATCAACGAAGTTACGTTTTCCTCTGCTTTTTCTCCAGAGGAAATATACGTCCGGTTAAATAAATTCAGCGATTTGTAAGAATCTCTACATGAATATAAAAATCTAATTTACTAATTGTAAATTTTCAGGCTTTATACATTACAAAAGGAAATCCAAGAGAGCATTAAAAGACCCAACTACCCGAAACTCCAAAATGTTAATGTTGGAGAAGTCTATTTAGCTAAAGACTCCGTTAGCCAAGAGTACTGTAGAGTATTAGTAGTTAAGAAAGAATTGGAGCAAGTATTATGTTTCTTCCTCGATTTTGGAGATGAAACAGTTTTACCTATGAACGAATTGAAGTATATTCTACCCATTTTTATTAGCAAACTTCCATTTCAATGCATTCAATGCCGTTTACATGGCGTAAAATCTCTCTCTGAAGAATGGGAACAGGAAGCTACGAATGTATTATATGATTATTCTACCGAACCTCATACTGACATATTCAGGTAATTTGCGTCTTCTACATATTTAAATAACCCCGTAGATTTTTCGTTTTGTTTTAAGATTGTTGTATGCAAAAGTGTGCAAGAAAGAAAATCCGACAACTGGACGAGGAAATAAGTATTCTATTTTACTAAAAGACGGTTTCGGTGAAAAAAAATCCTTGCTTAATCAGCTGCTAATTGATTGCGGATTGGTTGCTGTAGAAGAAATGGAGGAGCTTAATGATTTTGAGATTCCTGTGCAGGAATACGAATCGTCCGAACCCGATGAAGAATATACGAAAATTAATGAGATTCTCACGACTACTAAAAATCTGTGTAATCACTTGCACAAAGGTATGAGTAAATGAGACATATAAAGTGTTATTTAATACATTATTGTTATTTATTCTTGTAGATGAAGCAGAAGAACACGAACCAAAAATAGATGATTTGGAAATGTTTACGTATGGTGATCCTATGGACTTTTTTTCACAAGTAAGCTGAGTGTTTATTTATTCATTTTGTTTATTATTTGTTGATAAACAGAATTGGCCATTTGCATCTTTCCATATATTAACGTGTTTTCGTTATTTTAGTTGATGAGAAGAAATGAACCGCCTATACAAAGCAACAGAGAATTACCTGCTATAACTGCCGTTCCAGCAGTTGATTATTACACACCAGATATAGTTTGGTCACAAGATGATGATACTATTAAGCTTCACATTAAATTAGTCGATGTCAAAGATTACACACTAAATATAGTTAAAGGGAGGATCTTGAATTTCAGGTAATTAAACTCTGAATTTTTTATGTAAGATACGTAATTTTTTTTTGTTTCAGAACACTCAAAGATAATAAAACGTATTCCGTAAAATTTCTGTTATACGAGATAATCGAAAGTTGTCAGGACACGCTTTTTGGGCATGGCATAAAAGTCACTCTGAAGAAAATAAAGAAAATAGAATGGCCGCGATTGACTCTCTCGCATAAGAAATACAAAAATATAACGTATGATTTGCAGACGCTTTGTGAGAACGAAGAGGAGAAGAATGTTTTGTTGCAATTACCGAAAGATCTGGACATCGAAGACGATGATGAATTGGGCGAGGACGAGCCTATGTATGTCGTTGAATCCGACCTGGATTCCGACTTGGACGTGGAACTTCCTATGGATTTTTTTTAATATTTCTTATACAAACATTGCGTATTCAACGCCTCATTTTAAAAGTTAAAGACGCTTCTTTAATTTGGCAGTTGTACATTGTTGTTTTGGAGTAATTATGGATGTTGTTTACATTAAAGAGGCCCTCTAAAGACGTGTTTAAGGTTAAAGAGGGGCGCTGAATATGTATAATTTTTATGCTATAAAAATTTATTTTTTTTTACGTTTGCGTTTAATACATTAAAGCATGTTTTTATGTTCCATGTTTTTTTATGTATGCGCTAAAAGTTTTCGCATGGTTTCCGATTCAAAAGGGAGGTTTGAATTAAATTAGCTTATTTCACATTGTATACATCTGTATTGCGCTTTTTGTTTGATTTTTATACATTTATTAGGTTTGATACCGTTTGATGGACAAATTGTATCTTTGTGAGCCCTATGTACAATTTATTGAAGTTTATTTGTTGTTTTTATAGAATATCATACTTATAAATATTTTTATTCAAAAACTTTTTATTTCTTGAACCTTGTGTAAATATCCGTAATGTTTAAGACCACGTTTTTTATATATATTTGAAAATTATTAGTAGTTCATTTGTATCGAATTGATCATTAACTGTTAAATTTGACACTGTTGACAGTTCTCGTTTTCTTCATAGTTTGTTTACATTATTAGTTTGTATATTTCAATTTTTTTCTAACTTTTAAACAATGATAATTAATAAAGACACCACCATAACGGGTCAACGTGTTATTTTAATTCCGTATAAGAAATCGCATGTATTAAAGTAACTATTTTTTGTCATTTATAACCTAATTTTACTCAAAACTTTATTGTAGGTATCACGAATGGATGAAATCCGAATCCCTTCAGCAATTAACTGCCTCTGAACCTTTGTCTCTCGAGGAAGAATATGAAATGCAAAAGTCATGGCTAATGGATGAGAATAGTTAGTACAAATCCTTTATATTTCTTATCACTCAATTAACTTTCTTTATATATCTATATTTTAGAATTAACTTTTATAATTTTGGATCGACAAAAATTCGAGGAAACTAATAACGAAATAGGTAGCATCATTTAATCTCAATTTACAAGATATTGATTACAAGTAAATCACTTTTTAGAGTCAATGATTGGGGACACAAATCTGTTTTTTGCCAATGCAGATGATAGACTTTGTGGAGAAGCAGAAATTATGATTGCAGAAGACTGGGCTAGAGGCAGAAAATGCGGTTGGGAAGCAATGCTACTCATGCTTCTGTATGGAATTGATTACTTAGGTGTTAAGCAGTACATAGTAAAAATATCGTATATAAATCCAGCGAGCCTAAAAATGTTTGAAAATATGGGTTTTGTTGAACTTAGTAGGAGTGAAGTCTTTCAAGAAATAACTTTGACTAAGATGGTAGACGCTATGTGGGTTACGTGGATAAAAATGACATTAGGCGACTTTAAAATAATAAATAAAAACAGTACTGATAGTTAGTTACGAAGAATTTTATTTCAACTGTTTACTTGAAAATGGTGTATAAATTTCCTATTTGTTTCCATTTGAAAATTGTTTCTTTCCTGCTTCTATTAAAGCTTTGTTGACTCCATTTTTAACTAATATCGAGACTACTCCTATTTTCTTAATATCTCTTATATTCCGCTCTTCATCGTCAAAAAATATCATTTGGTTGTAACTTAATCCAGACAAACTCTTAATTCTGAAACCATGGAATTAATACAATATATTTAAAATTCCTAATACAAACCTATTAAAATGCGTAGTTTTGCTTCCGGGAAAAATTTCATAGTACGTAAAATATTTATTCCATTCGAATAAATTTATCAACTGTCTAGCGCCTTGGATTTCTGATGTTCTCGAAGCCACTGCTAAAATGTAACCTTCTCCATATAATCGTTTTAAAATTTCCGGCACCTCTGGGTAACACTGAATGTGTTTATTGCGAGAATCCACAACCTTACCATCTGGTCTGTAAAAATTAAATTTTTGTCCAATAGATTATTTGATTTTATTATCAAGTGGTTAATAAATGATATTTTTGGAAATAAAGCTAATAAAGCAAGTCATTATTACATAAATTTTAAGAAAATATATCCCAGCCTTTCGTATTATATCGCTTTATGTGCAAATTTTTTACTTATCTACATACGCTTTTTTAAATGGAGGTGAAACATGTGTATCTACCCAAAACGGCCACAATGTGTAATCTAAAATATTATTCACGTTAAAAATAATAAGGATTAATTAATCACAAAGCAGGGTTACCTAAATCAAACACTATTAATTTTAAATTTTCTAAACTCATTTTCAAATAGGTACAATATTTCAAAATTAAATATAACCTTATTCTTCTTTTTAGTTTAAACTAATTGGAAACTGTACATATAAAGGTTATTTAGTTACTAAGATTTTCGCTCAATTTGCATAAAAATCCGTACTACCTATTGCTTTCTCGAATATTTTCTTTTTCCTTCTTCTATTAGAGCTTTGTTCACCCCATTCCTCACAAATATGCATACTACACCAATTTTTTCAACATCGCGAATATTCTGTGGCTCATCATCAAAAAATATCATTTGATTATAACTGAATTTAGACAATTCTCTAATTCTGAAAACTGTTAAATTATATAAACTTGCTTCCATAGAGTTCATATTTAGTAAGTACTTATTAAAATGCTCGGTTTTGTTCCCCGGATAAATTTCAATGTAAGTAAAATATTTGTCCCATTCGAGAAACTCTATTAGTTGTCTAGCTGCCTCGATTTGGGGCGATCTTGAAGCAACTGCCAATATGTAGCCTTCGTTGTGTAATAGGTTTAAAACGTCTGGAACTTCGGGGTAACATTTTATTTTAGTTTTCTGGGAATCCCAAATTGAACCGCTCGAACTGAAATATGCTTTTAAACAGTCAACAATTTTGTCATCTACTTACGATTTTCTTAAAGGCGCTGAAATATGGGAATCTACACAAAATGGCCACAAGGTATAATCTGTAACGAATTCACATTACTCTTAATTAATATAGCATGAATTAAAAAAATACCCAAATCAAACACTATTAATTTTAAATTTTCGAGTCCCATTTTTTACGTCAATTGTCAAACATTCTTCTTTACAGAAATAATCTTTAATTATGAAAAAATTGGCCTTTTACTGTGAGTGAAACTGCTATCACACTATTTTTCTATAGTTTTTGTTTATCTTAATCTTCCATCCGGCATCCTGCCTGGATTTTCTGAATAAAGATAAATAATTCAACATAATAGTGATAAATAACTTCCCACGTCGATCGAGGATACGTATGTACATATTTAAACTCTATGAAAATAGATCTAGCTCTGAATGTAAGAGATTTGTTAGTATAATTCAGCCTTTTTTTAGTTCATTTTGAACTAACCCAGGTGGAAACAACTTATGATATTAATAGTAAGTGTACCTCATAATTTACCAGATTTTTTTTCTGTAATATTGTTGAATAATTGAAATAACTATTTTTTTAGGATTTCTTCGAACGTATAATTTAATAGACATGGCTAGACTGCAATGGAAGAAATACAGAACAATTGCATTCATTAGTGCAGTAGTTTTATTTTATTTAATAATTCATTCTCAATCCTACGAACACAAAGCTTTCATATTTTTGCCAAAAGTACATCCGAACGCGCCTTGGGAATTTGTAGCAGACTTTAGCAATATGAAATTTCTAAATCCAACAATGTGAGACCAATTTACAATACTTTTGAATGAATATAACTTTCTCATCTTTTTCTAGCATAAGCTTCAATATACTAAAGGAAAGTGGTAACTACGAACATTGGAAATACACGACAGAATATTACGAGAAACTGTCTCATTGGCCTTACTTGCCCAATTATTCCGTGGCCCACTTCAATGTTAAAGCCTCGCCCAAGAAGGATGTATATTTTATTAATTCCGTTCACCAGACATGTTTGTTTATGGGGTATTATTGCTGTAAGTATAGAAACTTAAACATGTTAAATTCTGGGAATAGTTAATTAAAATTAATTTTTAGTGAACTCGGAAAGCGAATTCAAATTTTATCACAGTAATTCTTCCAAAGGGGCTCTGTGTGAGGAGTTTGTCAGGTATGAATGTCCCTTTATTCTCTCATCATTTTGTAGAAGGGAGGTGCAATATCAAAGAAATGCCATTATGAACAATTTATCGAAGAAATTTACTGGAAAATCTACAAATATTTTAAGTTAGTGTTAAGATAATGTAAGCAATTGTAAGAAACAATAATTATTTTATATATTTTTATAAATGAACCATTTTAAATTTGCGTTGGTGGTTGTTCAACCTAAGCAGTCGAAGTCGCTAGTTGGAAAAGAAGAATGTTCCCAAAATGTAATATTTGGGTAAAAAACTGATAAACCCTAATGAATTGATTAGGGATTATACCTTAGGATTTAAGAGTCATTCCTTGTAACACTGTACAAATAAATAATAACCCCTAACACTTCTTGTATAGCTATCACTTTTATTCAAATGCTTTCCTTGTCGTACACATACCTTTTCTTCGCACAGAAAATATTTCTCCCCACCCACCTGTCATGTCATGTAATGTCAATTGTCAGTTAGTGTCATGGCATGGCGTTTAGTGAGGAGCGATAAAGCGAGTGTTGTTATTTAAATGATTATTGTGAACTTAATGGAACCAGAACAATTTATTTATCTGTGATACTAAATAATATATACTTTAGTGCTTCTTACAGACTTATTTAAAAATGGGTAGGCGATCAATTAATACCACTAAAAGTGGTAAATACATGAATCCAACGGACCAAGCTAGTGAGTATTCCTTTTTCCAACTAATTATTAATTATAATTAATTTCTATTATTTGCATTTTAGGAAAGGAAGCTAGGAAGCAAGAGCTGAAGAAAAATAAGAAGCAACGGCAAATGGTTCGAGCCGCTGTTTTAAAAGGAAAAGATCCCCATCAAATTTTAGAAGAAATGGAAAAAATTGATGAAATGGGTAAGTTAAATAAACACATCTTTAATTAAACTTAGCATATCATATCTTTAGAATTCAACGTTAACCAGCCATCCCCATTAAATGAAAAAGTATTGAAAGATAAAAGGAAAAAACTCCGAGATACTTTAGATCGAGTTCTCAGTATGTATGTAAGTACCTCAACATTTCTTCGCAACATTCGTTATTTATTCACGTTGAAATGTTTTTAGTACAAAGACGATCCTGAAAAATGGTCGGATTTGAAAAGGAGGCAAACTGATTACGAGCAGAAACGAGCCCAACTCGTCGCATTCTATGAATCTGTTAAAAGCGCCCAGCAAGTCAGCGTTGACGAAATTCCTTTGCCACAATTACCCCAGCAACCTGCCACTACAACAAATATCCCAGCCCAAATTCCCCTGCCTGCGGCCGAAAGAAAACAAGAGCACACCATCTATTCAATTGCAACCGCTCTCAAATTACAAGCCTTGGTAAGTGCTTGAGTAATTATTGAATCAGAATAACGTTAAATAATCGTGTTTTAGGGTCAACCGGTAAGAGAACCACCTGGATGCCCGCCCGGTCCTCCACCTGAAATAAACGAAGAAGGTGAAGTGGAAGATTTCGGAACAAGACTAGAAGAAGTCAAGGAAATAGAAGTAGAAGAAGCCCAATCCGAAGAATCCTCATCTGTTAAACCGACATCGTTACAACAAAAAATGGTGGCTTTGTCGGGTCAAAACGTCGATGAATTCATTAAAGAAATGGAAACTGTCCAGAAGAAGATCGAACTGAACAGGGAGAACGACGTGAGGAAGTTAACAGTGAATATAGAGCCTCTAGTGCCTCCGGGTACAGAATTACCCGGTATTCCTACACAAACATCGGCTCCACCTCCTCATCTATTTCCTTCTGCTATACGATTACCTCCTGGTCCTCCTCCGGGCAGGCCTCTAATGCCTCCAGGACCTCCTCCCGGTTTACCTCCGAGATTACCGCTTAGATTACCTCAAGTAGCGCCTAGAATGATCAGGATACCTGGACCGCCCCAAATCATCCAACCCAACGTTCTATCTGCCGCTCCACAATTAATAAATAGGTATGCAAATTCGATGTGATAAAAAATGGATTAGTTATTAATTTGTGTTTTTTATAAGGTCTGAATCAACGAAACAAGGGGCTACGATATCCGCGAAGCCGCAAATTAGGAACCTCAGCGCGGATGTTACTAGGTTTGTACCATCAGCATTGAGAGTGAAGAGAGAAGATAAAAAGCCAGCTAAGAATCCGAGCGCATTTGCCAGGGAGATGAAGCAGAAGGAATTCAATATGCATCAAAATGCATTGGCCGGACACACCAAAGACGATGCTTACAAGCAATTTATGCAAGAAATGGAGAACCTGTTGTAATATATTAGTAGGATGTATATTTAGGAAATATAACAATTTAATTTTTCATGAGTGTTGTTCATCATAAATAAAATGAATAGTGCAGAACAAACCGGTAATAGTCCTTCCACGGAATTTATGAAGGTTTTGGATTAAATGAATATTAAGTTTATTGCTAATGACTGGTCTCCAACAAGTACATTAAATTGGTTGATTTGTTATTAATAACTTTTAAATTAGCCTCATTCTCGATGTATTTTACAACAAATACAATTTATGAAATTTAGTTGAATTGTCTGGTGCTATTCACTTGGATATGTACATTGTACAATTCAAATACCGGTGGATTACTGTCGATTTTATTGAAATTATTAATCGTATTTATCCTAGTCACAGGTAAAATTATCAGGAACCGACCACCTATATCCAGCAATTAAATAAGTTAACAAAATGTATTAAAATAATTTATTACTGAGCATGTAGAAGTTATGAATACATAAATTCTAAAATTCATGGAAATTTCGAAAGTTCTAAATAGCATATCAAAGAGTAATTTTATTGTTTCGATAATACTGCGAAATGAAAGTTATTTTATACAAACAGTAAATTTTTGAATTATATATTTTAAAACATGCAAGTATAATAAACCAATAGTGTAATTTCGGATTACCAGCTCATAGAAGTTACCACACTAGAGTAGATAAAGTGTAAATATTTGAAGATTTAGAATATGTATGTAAATTGTATGTAAAAATTCGATCTTAATATTAATATTTTGCATGTTTGGAAAACTCTTCTCGCAGACCTACAATTTTTTTCCAATACAATTATTAAAAAATTACCAATTAAATATTGTAGATCGTAGGTTTTCAAGATTAATTTTCCCCACTTTATCGTCAAAGATAAACGCAAGTTGTCAATAATTTATTTTTTTGGTATAATCAAGATCTTACAACATATGATAAAAATAGCCATAATAAACAATTTTGGACTTACGCGAAGTCGAAAACCCTATAACTAGAAAAATAACAGTACATACAAACAAAGCAAGAACTTTTTTTACTTTAAACATAAGAAATATAGAAAAACAAAGTACAACAGAAAAGATATTCATAATCTACACATGAATACCCACATTTTTTTCATAAAACAGAAACGTTTAACATTACATAAAAGCACAGCACACAAATGTGTTAAATTCAGCTAAACTTTTAATTGTTTAATTAATATAATACCTATTAAATTAGGAATTAATTCAAAGTTCTTGTTTCGTGTATACATAGGTATTGTTTTTAGAAATGAAACGTAATACATAGCACTAAGCCAACTATTGAATGCTACCTTATATAAATAGGCCATTAAAGTTCAAAATATCGTTTTATAAAAACAATTAGATATGTTTACTTTTGTTAAGGAATTGAATATTACACGTATACTGAGTAATTCAATATGTAAATAGATAGAATAGTTCAATATGAATAGTTCTTGAAAGAATTTGATTAATAACTGTTTATTAAAAGCATGCAATTTTAATAAAAGAAAGTTCCATTATAATCGAATAAATTTGGAATTTTAAATAAGACGAGAACACCAGTAATATTGTGAATTACGTTTAGAAAATCTCGGAAAACAAAATAAAAATAATAAATAATTTAAATAATCATTAAAATAGTAGGAGCTTCAATAATTTTGACTCGTTTTGAAAATATAAAGAAGTAATTGAAAATACAGGAGAGAATGGATTTTGAGTATTGCTGACAAAGTTTAGATATTTTGTGATATAGTATTTTAACTACATTTAATACACGACTAGGTCAAATAGAAACATATTTTGTTCATATTCACGTTTTAACTACCTTTGGGAAAATATGTTTATCGAGTTTGTATTAGTTCGCTTCCTTATTAGCCGCCCAGAAACTGAAAAATAACACAAATAAATATTCTAAGAAATCATTTGTACACCAACGACCTTACTTGCTGAATCTTGTGGTGACAATGGTCTATCTAGCACTTTTTGTATCACTTCAATCCAATGGTCTCTATCGTGCTCGGTATTCGCAGACAAATTATATATTCTATCGGGCGTAGTTAAAGAAAAGGAAAAACCCTGATCCTTAACTCCCACAGAAACACCTATTCGAATGCTATAACCATCCAAGGAAGAACCTACAAAAACCTTATTAAATAACTAACTAATAAAAAGTATCAAAAACTATCTGGACTGTAACTCGCCTACAAATATCTCTCCCTTTGGATATGCGTCCAATGGGTCATCGTGATACATCAATTTCCTATTATCTAAAATAAACCATCGCTTTTTGAATCCATCCGAAAGCCTCGGTCCAGTCTTGAACAGCCACCCTTCCTTGGCGAAATCCTCTGTTAAGTAATTAACCAGGTCGCTCTCGCTAGCCGATGGATACGCCACTTGCAGCCTGTGAAGCTTTGCACATCTTATTGCCATGTACCAATTTACGATAATCTCGGCATCATCGTGGTATACGTAAATATGGCGCGTTGTCCCGTCCTTCAGGAAAGTCAGCTGCAATGAATTGGGAAACCTGAAAGGAGGCGAATCGATAGAAATAAATTAGCTTTTAACGGTGCAACTGACCCTGTTTTTTCCGGTGCAAATACCACGTTTATTTCCGATATCCGAAGGATCGCCTTGGGTTCTTTGTTTTCTCTAACAAAGTACTTGAGGGTGTCATCAGCCTCGCTCAAAATGAATTTCCTCGCTTGATATTTGCTGTCTTCTTTCCCTCTCTTCATCAAGAACCCTTGCATGTTTCCGCTCGTGTACACCTGCCTTTCCGGATGACAGAACTCTTCTCGCTGGTACTTTGCACGAATCCACTGCTCGATTAGCACCCTAACGGATAACAATGTAAAACAATGTTTTAGATAATAATCTAAAATCTAATAACGTACTGAGGATCGTCTTCCTTGGGCCTCCTGTAACAAGGAGGCACTCTTTCCTCGTATTTTAATTTGGCCTTTATGTTTCCGACTTCCTTCATCCGTTCCACTTGCGAATCCTCCCATTTATCCAATTTGAGATGCTTGACTTTGCTTATGTGAACGCCCATGCTCCGATGGACCCCCGAGCATCTTGTGCAGATGAAAATGCCTATGTTGTAAGAGGCCCATTCCGGATCTGAAAAATATTTTTTTTAAATTGTCCTTCGGAAAAAATAATTTAACTTTTAGAATCAAGTTCATATATTGTGAAATTGTTTTGTAAAACCTTGTTGTTTATTAATTGGTGTTAATTAAGTATTGCTGGAAATGAAAACAATATTCAGCACACAATAATATAATTAAATCGTGATTTTATAACACCTATTATGCTTAGAGCGGTATTATGTTAAATAAATAATGGGAGAGACCAATAATCCCAACAAATCAAGTGAAGTTTAATTGAGCGGAATAAATTTTGAGAAAAGAAATTTTATCGTATCTGGTATGTGAATGTCAGATAAAAGCGTTTGTTTACTTGGAATCGGTGGCATGGATGTCATGCCTTGGAAGAATAATTAAAATATTATCTTACTTTTGGCTCCACAATCCGCACAAACGCTATTCCCTGGATATTTCAACAATTCGCTAAGAAATTTTTCATTTCTATCGACCATTTTATTGCATTATTTACAAAAACTAATATTTTTACACAACAAACAATCACCAGACATTTACCATCGTCTATACTAGCACATTGTTGCCAGATGTGCACTCAAAAAATTAAAAAAAACTAAAAGCTGACTTAAAAAATGTGATAGTGGGAAAAATGGTGGAATTGATCAAATGTTGTACTTAACGTACGATTAAATTTTCTTTTATTAGAAAAGTTTTCTTTAATTTTATTTTAAAAAACATTTTATTAAACTTGGCAACGTAGCATACACCCAGTTTAAATGCGTTCTTTTAGAACAGTTTGTGGGCGCGTTCCGAGCTTTTTCAAAAAAAATAATCGTTTTAATTATTAAGGTAAAATAAAAGTAATAGTTTTAATTAATTATCATTATTGCATTTATTTTATTGCTTTTTGTAACGAATATTATTTGACTCAGTTTTATTAATTCAAGAATTATAAAAAAATATGATACGTCAACATGTCATTTGTCAAACGTCTATTGTCTAATAAGCTGATGACGTAAACTAATGTTGATAGTTGATTTTAGTTGGGCAATTTCTAATATGGCGGTTTTAGGAATTATAATTTTTCATACAAAATAAATTGGTGTTTATTCGTGTTTTTTGAACTCATTTATCTTGGTTTCTTAAAGTATATCCATGTATAGAAATCAGTAAATGAAAATATACACAGCTACATTTGAAGAAAATATATCATATTACAGGCAAGTACTTAAAGAATGTTTACTCTGCGAGCACATTTTGTTAGCAACATTATATTAGTCAATAATTGAAAAATTTGCTATATCATTGTCATTGCTAACATTTTTACAGGTCTTGAAACAATGGATTCTGTAGTAATCACCGAAGAGCATGAGAATCCGGATAATGTTGACCGCATAAATAAAGAGGCTTCTTATTCGACCAATGCGGAGAATTTCAGTCAGGATATCTTCGCTGAAAATCCTGCAATTACTCCAGACGACTTCCACGACTCCAATAACATTTATCAGTTGCAGAATCAACCGGAATCCGTCTATAATCCTGAAGTACCTGTTCAGCATTTACAGTACGAAAACCAAGGTCAGCATAACATCGAAACGATTTCGGCTCAAACCTATTATAGTACCCAAGAAGCTCCATTTACGAGTACCTACGTATCGGAGCAATCGCAAGACTCCACTATAGTCCACGTTAATAACGGGCAAACTGATGGTAATAATACTGAACATTATACCGTTGATAATCCTGACAATTCCAATGCTACAGACTATAATAATGCTGGTAAATATATATTTAATAAAATAATTCATAATGCAATGTTATAATCTTTTAATGTAAGTTGCATAATACAGATTTTAAATTTGTAGGTATTGTACAAGATTGTACCACAGTAGATGGAACGTTCCCTCAACAAGGCTCTGCGGAAAGTAATACAGGCGACAGTTTAAAGATGGATGATAGTAATGTTAGTGAAGTAATATCCAACAGTGAAAAATCATCCATTGATGAAACTCCTGAAAATATCACTTTGGAATCCGAGAATGAGACTATCAATGAACAACCGTGTGTTGACCAAAATACTGAGAAGAACACGGAGGATAATGGAGTGAATAAGAAAGAAAATGATTCAATTATCGCAAATGATGAACATACTGAAGTTGATGCGAAAGTTACAGAAACTGATGTAAAAAAAGCAGATGTTAAAAAGACTTCTTCTGATGGAGACATTGTTGTTGAACAGTCTCTCGAAGACACTTCCTCGAAGGAAGAAAACAACGAAGAACAGGCGCAATTTACTGACTTGCAGAATTATCAGCCGCAGCCAGTAAGAAACTCATTAATTTCATAACTAACTTGAATTCTAATCAATTCTAATATCTCTAGGATGAATATACTTTCGTTGAGGAAGAATCGTTCACAGAACAGGGGACATCGAAGGAAGATAATGAACAACCGGAGCAACCCGATGAAATGGAAGCTTCAGACATTTTAAAAGATGAAGAACAGAACGAATCCCAAACAGACACTTCTCTCAAAACCGACAAAGGCAAGAAACCCAGAAGAACTAGAAAGCCCATATTCGAAGTACCGATGCATTTATTAGGACATGACATAAATAAACCGATCGAACAAATTCAGAATGGGAGACCTTTGCCTAGACCACGATTGGGAGTAAAGGTATATACCACCGATTTTTAATTATATAAGTGTATTATTAATATTTATACACTATTCCAGCTGCCATGTCGTAATTTGACGAGTCAAATTGTGTCGAAAGCGGAGATCGAGCAAGTTATTTTAGAGAGAGCGAGGGCCAAAGAAGCCAAAGATGCTTCTCAAAAAAGCAGCAATAAATTTACTAAAAGCATGACTGAAAGGTTGACCAGTAAAATGTTAGGGAAGAACGTAAAAGAAGAATCAAAGAACAAACAATCCAATACTAAGGCAACTAAAGATGACGAATCTAAAATCAAAAATGATGATGATTTGTTGGCTATTTTGGAGGGCGACGACGACGAGTTATCTACAGTTTCTAGAGAAACGTCTAACGAGGTATTTTCTCATATTTATATTATCAAAATACTGCATATTTTTACGTTAAACTTAATTTTAGATAGACGATACTAATATAAAATTATTAGAACGCGAGATAGCGTTGCAACAGCTCCAAGAACTACCGTTACAAGAGCCTAAAGAAAGAATACAGAAACCCAGGTTTCCGACTGTTAACAGAACCTCTTATAAACGCGACACCCCGCCGAAATTAAAATCCGAAAATACAACACCGAAAAAAGTATCCACGCCAAAATCGGTATCCTCAGTACAGAAAAAGTCCGAAATCGATTTGGACCTTCCGCCGGTCCTCAAAAAACAAGTGGACGTCGAACCCCAAGTTCGAGTCAACATGGTATTGAAGACCTATTCTAGGAAAAGAAAGCCTTCCGATGTGCCCGAATTCGAAGTGACCCCCTTAAAGAGGCTGTCGTTCGATGATACCGATCTGCAAGTTGACGATTCCCCTAAATCTGATCCACTGGCCGTACAAAATGTTTACATGACCAAGAGCTCGAGGGTCATCAAAAAGAAAGTTATTTGGGATCCCGATGACGATCAAACGTCAAAAATTACCAAACCAACCGTCACGAAAATCGACAGTACCAAAATTCTGCAACCTAAGATCGTCAAATCATCGCCGATTGTGGAGAAAAAGGTCGTCGAGAAACCTGCGGAGAAACCCAAGCAAGAACAGAAGCCTGTTAAATCGCCTGAGAAGAGTACCGAAAAGGCCGTTATTAAGAAGGTAGTAACCAAAAAATCGCCAGTTAACAAACCAAAGAGGGGTAAGCATTAACTAATTTATTCTAACAAATTTTAATTTCATACCGTTGTAGCATTATCAGAAATCGATAAACTGCTGATGGATGAAGGCGCAGTAAAAATGCTGTACGACCTTAAAGGCGAGGCCAATTCGGAGAAGAGGAAAAGACACATATATTCGGTGGAGAAAGCTGAAAAAGATATACAAAAGAAGGCCAATTTGTTGAAAAACGATCTCGTTCAAAACACATCCACCGAATCGATGAAAACCCTAAGAAAAAAGGACAGTCCTCTAATATCCCCCGCCAGAACTCTCCCGGTTTTGGAACGCAAGATGTCCAAAGACTCCACGAGAAGTTCCGTGCATACTCCACCCAGATCCCCTACTATGTTCTCTTCTCAAGCATCGATGTTAATCAGAAGAAGATCGAGCAGCTCTGTGTCGAGCGACGATGAACTTTCCTCGAAGGTACGCAGTTCGCTTCGAACTACAAGCATCGCATTTACAAGTTCTACATTTCAGAAATCTTCCAAGCCCAAGAAGCAGAAGAAAATCTCGACTTCTACGGAAGAGGCGAAAGAAGAAGCCAACGCCTCGATCAAAGACATACCCAAGCCGGTGAAAGGGGCTCAATACAAATCTTTCGCTATGAAGAGATGCGGTAAACACGTTTCCATCGTTTTGAATTACGTCGACGATTATTGCTATTTTACCACTGAGGTTTGTGCTTTTTAATCGATGTATTCAGTACGTTAAAGAAGCCTTTTGCAGGTTCTCGAGGAGTTAATAGCGGCGTTGAAAAAGTTGGAGAAAGATAAGGAATGCGTTGTTGTATCTGTAACTTCAACAAGTACTGCTTTTTGTTTGGGTCTCGATTACAGCACGTTGGTATCTGATGATAGTACCGAACGTATTGATAAAGCTAAGAAATTAGCTGTATTAGTGAGGTATGTAAAGTGTATTTTTTGTGTATTCTATTACTATAATATTCTCTATTTTTCAGGGACTTGTTTTTCAACATCCTGAATTTCCCGAAGATACTAATTGCCGGAATCCAAGGCAAATGCGAGGGGTTAGGCGTAACGATGTTAACCCTCTTCGATTCGGTTATAGCCAGCGATACAGCCACATTTAGCACCCCTTATGCGCAATTGGGTTGTTTGGGAGAGGCCACGTTCTTATTATCCTACCCCAATTTGAGTAACAACGGATTGGTGAGTGATAAATGGATTCTTTCGAGTGGTTTATTACATCGGATTTGTTGCTTTTAGGCCGCGGAGTTGTTGTATGCGAATCAAACGCTGAAGGCCGATGAAGCTTGCAGACGAGGATTGATATCCAAATTGTGCTGGCCGGAGAAATACAAGGAAACTTTGAAGACTTTCTTGTTCTCGATTTCGAAGGGTTCGAAACAGGTGAGGCAACTAATATTGAATATATCTCGAGTATTTAATGAAAATGTTTTTTTTTTGTAGAGTTTGGAGAGCACGAAAAGGCAGCTTCGAGTGAATTTGAAGAAGGAAATAGAAGAGACTCTTGAAGCTGAGATGGATACGTTAGTTGAACATTGGACGAGTTCGGAGTGTCAGGCGAGATTCTCGGAGATTGCGAAGTAAACGGAACAATGTAATAGAATATTCGCAAGGTACAAAAAAAATAATAATCAAACGTGGAAAATTGTGGAACGCGTTTAAAAGTGAAAAAAGAAAATCGTTCCGTAAATATTTATATAATTGAAAAAATATTTTTTTATATTTTCATAAATTAGAGTCTAAGTAAAACGTAAATTTATCCTGTTTTTAGGATTAGATAAGTCGTAGTTATGTAGTGGATATTTCGATTTTTAAAATGTTGAAATTTAAAAATTTCACCGACTGTTAGCACATTAGTTATAAGTTCCCAAAGATTGGTGCAATTTGCAATCATACGAAAACGTATTTTTGGCCTTTGTAACTTTATTGCGACTTAATATTATTGTTTTACAATAGTTTAATGCAATCGTTTTAGTAACAAATATACAAGCTTCTTATGAAAATATACTTTTACTTTTGTGCGACTATTTTAAAGCGAATCGGATTCATTTTCTTATAGGGGATAAGTATTTTATAAGATGGATAATAGTGTATTTTTTCTGAAATGTTATTAATTCATAGAAAATTAAATAGTGTTTATTACGATAAAGAGTTTTAAATGTTGTTTTCTCATTCTTGTATGTAACTTTTTTGTTAATTTTTCTTCATGTTTTAAAATTAATCTTTCTACGCTTGAATCAAGTTTCTTTAAAGTGAATGATTTAATTCGTGTAATTTACATTAAATGAGTTACTTTGCATTAATGAGTGAATACTTTTTAAAGTGCGACGAGCTGTATATAAAAAGAGATATTTTGTAAATATTTTGATTATTTTAAGGTATTTGAAAAATGTATGCTTATAGTTTTTTAATCTAATTTCAAGTTGGTCAAGTGAATTTCGTATATTTGGGTTAGTAGAAGAGTTCTTTTTAACATATCTCTGTTTTTAAAGCCGAGTATTTCTTTACTATGCTTGTTGAAGAATTGAGTTGTTGTTTTATTGGTAATAATAATAAATAGATTATACAAAAGTTGCTTTATTAATAACGTTATTTTATTACTTGGAGAGTACAAGTTCCCAATTTAAAGTAGTGTACAATATTCCATTTGGATCGAATTTCTCTCCCATTAATATTCCGAAATTTTCCAAACGATATTTAATGACGCGGAGCTTTAAACGTGAGCTTTTTCTTCGTTTTGCTAGAATTACGAATTAATTTCCACAATCCACGCGGGAGAGCCATTCAATGTTGAATTAATAGGCGAAAATGGGGAAATGATAGTCTCTACCAGTCCTCCATTAAGAGGGAATAATTGAAATTGGCAGATACACCGAACACTTAAATCTTCTCTTTCAATGCTTATTGATCTAACATTAACCGATTTACTTACATCCCATATTGATTGCGTTTCTATTATGAAAAATATCGATGCTAAACGCTTTTTGATCTGAAAAAGGAGATCAATATTAACCTACCTTCGTCGACCAAGTTTATTTAAATACAGTTTTCGAGATCCCTGTACTAAGTATCGAAAAAAAACTCACCCTCTATAATTCTGATGCTTCCGTAATTCTCGATAAAATAGAATTACTTACCTGCTATTCCAATTGCATACATAATATAATACTTAATAAAATCTTTTCGTTTGCCTAATGAAAATAAGTGTATTTACGTTTAAATAAATATTCTGGGTAAATTGAATAACTCACATGCTGTTCTATAAAAAATACAATACCAAGTAATTTTTTTTCTTTAGCTTAATGAAGGACCAATTTTCAAACTCTTGCTATTATAGTTTCTATAAAATAAATTTGGCTAGACCGCATACTAAACCGGATGCGGTTGGGTAGACCGGCACCCAATGTTGCATTCATAGTTCTAAGCCGTAAGTACAATAATTATGCAAAAAATTCCAAACATATTTTATCTGTTAATCCCATTAGCTCCCTTACGATACATCAACTGATGCGTATATTAGGAATTAGGCAGTGTCCTTTTCCGATATGCGCACGGGGCGCAAGCCCCAGCAGGAAGGACTCCTCTGTGGAAGGACCTTCTTCAACGCAAGAGTTAAAATTGCGCGCCGCTAGTGGTTGGCGCGTTTTCAAACTGGTAACACCGAGACAACGTAGAAATATTCCGTTGACGAAGGACAATCGGCGGGAAATTCTATCAGGAAGGAGCAGACATGCCGCCCGACAATAAGGACCCGCCGCTTTAGGGAAGGTATGGTTGTCTGTAATATTATTTTCTGGGAAAATTCGCTTCTGAAAGTTTAAAATAATTGCGGGGGTTGGTAAAAGGTAAAAATAAATTGCGCGTAATTTCTACTGAAAAGTGGGTCCCTTTGGAATCGCATAATTCCGATTAATTTTTGTTCGTGAAAATGAATTTTTAATTTAGCAAAAAACGGGCGTTTACTGTAATTTTCGCTTATCTAGCATCAGGACATTAAACACCTGTAATTTTATTGCGTTTTTCGCAAGGTCGAGGAGTTTAATATTTTCATTAACCCATTTACAATTACCTACTATGTATAACATTTCATAATCATTTAAAAAAAATAAAAACCGTTCGCTTTTGAATAAATTTAACGGGATTAATCAAACGTAAGAATCTTAAAGGGGCTTCTGTTCGAATGAGGATAGACATCGTTCTAATTCAGTAAATAATTTCAAACAGATCGTCCTTTTTGTGATCGCAGAACCGTGAAACAAAGCCGATAGAGATTTGAATGGCTGTTTCAACCCTGATCTTAAATGACCAAAGGCCTGCCAAGTATACGTCGTACACGAATAATCTCAAATTTTATCTTGGTAAAAAATATTTGCTTCATACAGGGTGGCTCAAAATTGACGCTCGTCCTTTCCAGTTATGAATCAGGAGACTGAAACAAATGTAATCGTAAGAACACAAATTTTACGTTTTGTCCTTCGATTTGTTGATAAAAAATATCTACAATTCAATATGCCCAAAAAATGCCATTCAATATGGCCAAACTACTTATAAAATTCAATTAACTTGGAATTTATTCTTTATTTCATTCGACAGATCCAAAACTACAGATAAGTATAAATTTGTATAAGTATAATTTTTGTACGCAAATTTATTTGCAATATGATGAATTCTATGAGTTGAACAAAGAAAAAATATTAAAATTACAGTGGTTAGAGTGAAAAAGTTGCCATTTATGGGACACACTGTATACTAAATTTTTCTGCAATCTTTCTTTATTGACATATCCCACTATTTTCATCAATTTACATCGGTTAAATTTCTGAGACACGAAACATCATTTTTATTTATGTATCATCAAACGCATCTTAAAGTTCCACTTATTCTTGTATAATGCCAAAAAAATTAATTTGTCAAATCTATTAGTGGAACAAAGAAACATTATTCAAATAACAATTGTTAGAGTGAGAAAATTGCAATCCCACTATATCACTCTTTCATTTTCCTTTATATCAGGATGAGACTAACGGAAGTTGTCTTTCTTGCACCCATAGACCAAACTGGCTTAATGGCGTAATGGTCTTTTACTGACCAAACTATTGAAATAACTGGCACATAGGTTACTATGATGTTAAAAATTTATATGTAATTAGTTATGTCAACTGGTCTAGTTGCAGCAGTGACATTATCATGCGAACCTAATAATTTGAAAATTTCAACGCATTCTCGATTGGAATAATAACGTTACATTTTTAAAAGAAACAACCGTATGAAATTATCCTTCTAAATATTTCTCAATTTTTCTTTTCCTATCTATGAAAAATTGAATAAATAAGTTTCCGTTTGATAATGATCCGAAATGTTGTTTAAAGCGAAACGACGCCAATAGGGCACGTTTCCTGCGTTTAGGCACGATTGCTGGAAACTTTTGCTGACAAATTCTTCCAATAATCTTTCTCGAAACGTCCGCAGAAACGTTTTTGGGCTGTTTCACTCGTTATCGAAAATCACCTCGACAGCCGGGATGTCTCGCATATCCCCCGAAATACAACCAACACGCGGCCTTTCGAGAAACTTCCGACGGTTCTAAAAGGTTTCCCCGACAATTTTTAGAGAATATTCTCGATTTAGTTACAATTTTTTTGCCGGAAATTTTCCAGCTCGCGCGCATTTCCGTTTTTTCTTTGTGCCCGACCGGCCGCTGCGAAATAGCGCGGCTGTTTATCCGAAGCATCCGAGCTCAAAGCCGAGCGTTCTTCAAAGCGTACGTGCTTTTCTTCCGCGAAGTTCCACGTGGAAGGCCTTTGAGCCGGCGATTTGCCTAAATAAACGCGAAGGTATACGAATGATGTATCTTATCGCGCGCTCCGGCCGCTCGATGTTTTAATAAACCCGGCTTATTTAAACGGCGAAAATAGAGAAATCCCGGCTCGCCGGCGAATTTTAAATTGCATTTTTTGCTGACCTTCAGGCGCGCTTGTTTTTCTGTTTTTTTGTCATTACGAAACGCTTTCGGAATGTTTCATTACTCGGCTTTATGGAAATGCCGGTTTCACGTGGATCAAAGCGACACACGACAATAATCCTCTATTAAATTACCTACCTACAAATGATCGTACATGCACAGCAAACATTTGTCCGTAAGCAAACACAAAAGCTCATCAGCAGGTATTATTGTCGTTAAGAGGATTAAACAGCACTTCGGTTAGTTTATTCGATGAACGGATGTAAATTGGCCGAAATATAAATGTTTATTCTATAGGTAAAGTAGGCGTAGAGTCCCCAGAAAATAACTGCAAATTATTCTTACTTTGCTCTTCTCTATTCTCACTACACTCTACACTCCATACTCTACACTCTTCACTCTACACTCTTCACTCCACACTCTACATTCTACACTCTACATTCTACACTCTACACTCTACACTCTACACTCTACACTCTACACTCTACACTCTACACTCTACACTCTACACTCTACACTCTACACTCTACACTCTACACTCTACACTCTACACTCTACACTCTACACTCTACACTCTACACTCTACACTCTACACTCTACACTCTACACTCTACACTCTACACTCTACACTCTACACTCTACACTCTACACTCTACACTCTACACTCTACACTCTACACTCTACACTCTTCACTCTACACTCTTCACTCCACACTCTACATTCTACACTCTACATTCTACACTCTACACTCTACACTCTACACTCTACACTCTACACTCTACACTCTTCACTCTACACTCTTCACTCCACACTCTACATTCTACACTCTACATTCTACACTCTACACTCTACACTCTACACTCTACACTCTACACTCTACACTCTACACTCTACACTCTACACTCTACACTTTACACTCTACACTCTACACTCTACACTCTACACTCTACACTCTACACTCTACACTCTACACTCTACACTCTACACTCTACACTCTACACTCTACACTCTACACTCTACACTCTACACTCTACACTCTACACTCTACACTCTACACTCTACACTCTACACTCTACACTCTACACTCTACACTTTACACTCTCTACTCACTATGTCTACTCTAAGTAGGACCCAAGGAATTCTGGTGAACCCCAATATAACTTTCTCTAATTGACTATTATTTCCAATATCCTTTTTCTTCTTTTCCTAAAATACTCTTCCAGGTGTAATAAATATATTTTCGCGCTCAATTTACCGCCGTTATATTCGATAAATATATTTAACAAAACCTGCGTGTTGATTCCAGACCATCGAGAGTATCACGGTAAAAACATATCGCGGAAAAAATGGCGGACTCGGATCCAGATGGGCAGAATTGCACGGAGAATTCCCACAAGCCGGCCAAGGGCGGCGCGGAGCCCGAGAAGAGATCGCCCAACAAGGGCAAGGAGAAGAATTCGAAGACCGGCAAGGAGAACGTGACGCGGGTGGTCGTCGTGGCGTTGACTCCGGAAAGGCGGAGGGAAACGTGGAACAAAAAAGTCGAATTTCTTCTCGCTGTTATCGGATTCGCTGTGGATTTGGGAAACGTCTGGAGATTTCCGTACATATGCTATCAGAATGGTGGCGGTAAGTAGTACAGTTTATAAACACAGGGTGTCCAGGACGTACAGAACATTCTAGGTATCCAGGAACTTGTATCCAGAAACCATTATTGTCAATTCTATGAGTTGAACAAACCAGAACAAATTAAAATAACAGTGGTTAGAGTCTGTCTACTAATTCGAATTTAACAGATATTTCAACAAAAAAAAAAAACTCTACAAACCCCCTCATTTTTAACTACCCTGTCATCCCCCTATATTTTCCAAACGATCTGTGCTTCCTAATTACCCCGCTGTTCGCATATATCGCAGCAGGACTTTTCAAGGGCCGCCGTAACTCAATAAAAACGGGCATAAAACGGGAACTAAACTTATTGCGACGCCCGTTTGCGAAGGATTCGGATTAGTTAATTCAATAATAGCAGAATATTCAGTGAATAGGACTGATTAACTACTTAAACGAATATCAATAAATAAATTTCACGTGTAAGGGGTAGATACGATTTGGCTCTATTCATGCACGAAATTTATTATAAAAATTGTGTATGTGTCAATATTTATGTGTTTCGAATTAAATTTGATGAAAAATAATAACTATATCTGCAATATAGTAAATACTAAACTACTGATGCAAATAAAAGTAGATAGAATTTTATTTAAAGTTTTTATTAAGGATTTTTCTTTCTAATTGTATGTTTCAGGTGCTTTTTTAATACCATATACGATAATGTTGATTTTTGGGGGGCTGCCTCTGTTTTATATGGAATTGGCGTTGGGTCAGTTCCACAGGAGCGGCTGCTTGACCATTTGGAAAAGGATATGCCCAGCTTTGAAAGGCGAGTGACTAAATTTTTCTATAAATTGCAAATATTTCAATCCCGCTTTTGATTTCTTCTCGATCTGAGAAATAATTCAAAGAAAAGAAACCGGTGAAATCAATTGACTGGAATTGTTGATCTCCCGCATTTACGATCGAGTGCAAGAGTAAGGTTTGTCAAGTGGATTCATTGTTTGCGAACTCTTTTATAACAATTTGATAAGAATCCTTTCCGAGAATTAAACGTCAAGAACCCCGATGAATACAGGCTTAATTAAATTTTGTTTACACCGTCGTGGAAGGGCGATTGAATTTCTATTTAAATTAACCCACTCGTTGGATTTAATACAATTTTTTTATTTTCATTTTTCCGCTACCTACTCGCTTTTACTCCGTGCAAGCTGGCGAATTTCCACATGCCTATTCGACCATTTTATCACCGTTGTTTGACCAAAAAAAATCAGACTTTCAAATGATCGACTTCATATGAAAGTTAAAAGTGGAATTTGGAAGTGAAACGTCGAAGAAGCCGCAAACAGCAGAAACCTTTTAGTCAGTATTGGACTGGTAATTTTCCTCATGTTCAATTCATTAAATTGTTTATCTTCGGCGCTTTTTCTCCTCTATATAAATGAGCGTATTGCCTTGCGATAGTGACGACTCGCTCTTTAATATTAATGGAAGGGAAAAAATTTCAATTTCAAATCATTGTTCTTATCGAGATTGCCTATCCCTCTTTGACTTCGTATTTCCTTCGGGTTACCGCGAAACTCCGGGCTAATATATTGTGTTAGGTGTAAATTCAGAAGAAATGTGTCGAGATACTTGATTGCCGATGAGAGGTATTTTTGGTGTTCTACGGCGAATTGTGTGGTCTTCGGTATAGTAATTCTCGAGGGGTTTCCATTTGAATTTTCCTCGCGTTGTCTCCTTCGCTTTCGAAAGCTGAAATTTTACACTTGTGTACGTAGTAAATACGCATTATGCATTGTGGCGGCTGCAGCAGATGAGGAATAAGCAATTTGCAAATTGTCTCACCAAACGTTAGAGCGGAATAAACGGCTATTGTTCGCTCTCTAAACCCTTACAATAAGATGCAATTTTTCAACAAACATCTCTGTATAAATAAATTTATTTTAACGTGTATAGATATTATCAGATTCGGTCGCACAAAATAGAAAAGATTTTTTTTTCTAAATGGACTTGTCAATTCCGAAAAATCCTCGGCGCATTTCCCATTTCAGGACTCTCGATGGCGTTTCAATAGGGAGGCTTCACGTATTAATTTGTCCGGTTGTGTGTGGTATTTTCAATGGCTCCAAGCTATCAAACTTGCGGTTAGGGCCGGCGACGTCAACACAAAATGCTGAATTTCAAAAATAGAACACAAAAGGCTACCTACGTTTCAGCGAACTGTCTCTGAAATAGATTCACCGCCGCCCTGAGCCTAAATGTGCGCTCATTCATGTAGATTAGCTTTATATCGTCGATATTCCATATGGGCGATGAATGGAGTGTAAATATCACCGTTTTTTAATAACCCCGCGTTATAAAAATCCGATGCAATTCCAATTTTCTACGCTGTTTAGTAAAGCGTAAAAAATATCCGTTTTTGCTCGACTATACCTCAACAAATGCAGCTTGGCAGTTAGAAAAAAGGGTTACAGAGAGTTCAATTGATTCTCAACGATCGAAGAGTAAAGATCGAAAGATTTCCAGTGGCGTAGTTGATTTATATTATCTATTTTCACAGCGATTTATTTACTTTTTTTCAAAATTTGATCATTTGCGATTCTAATGCAATTTCCAACTGTCAGGCTACGTTTGGTGAGGTACAATTTCGAGTGTTATTGACTCGTTAATCAATCCTTTTCAGGCGTGGGTTATGCTATATGTCTCATAGACATTTACATGGGGATGTATTACAACACGATCATCGGCTGGGCTCTGTACTACCTCATAACTTCCTTCCAATCGGAGCTACCTTGGACGACGTGCAAGAACGAATGGAACACGATTAATTGCAAGCCGGTGACTGAGCTGCTTCCTAACATTACTGCTTCCAGTCCGGCCAGGGAATTCTTCGAGTGAGTTGTAGATTTTTTATTTATTATCTGGATTTATTGCGGTGTTGTTGCAGACGAGAGGTTTTGGAACAATACAAATCCGACGGCCTGAATCGAATGGGTCCTATCAAACCAGCGTTGGCCTTGTGTGTTTTCGCCGTTTTTATACTGGTGTATTTTTCCCTTTGGAAAGGAGTAAGAAGTACCGGCAAGGTAAAAATTCATTACTAAATTAATATTTAAATTCTTAGCTTATTCGCGAGTGTAAATAGCGAAATATTGTCCTGTAGGGAGTGTTGTGAATTTATAAAACCAATAAAAGTGCGAAAATTTGTCTCGCGATAAAGAATTTTCGGCACCTGTGGCATTTTTGTTCATTAAAAATATTTTATGAACCCATTCCTCAGGGGATTTTATTACGAGCACAATGCTCCTGTATCGAGTAAAATTTTACCGATTCATTAACTTAATATTGCCTATCAAAAAAGAAATAGTTTATTTGGAGAAATTTTATTTTAATTATTGAAAAATAATTGTCCATTTCCATCAATTTAAATGCTCATTTTATATTAGGCTGTGTGGATTACTGCCTTGGCTCCTTACGTGGTTCTGATAATTCTGCTAGCAAGAGGAGTATCACTTCCCGGAGCAGCCGAAGGAATCCGATACTACCTCACGCCCGAATGGCACAAATTATACAACTCAAAGGTAACAACTTTCATCCCCCTTTTCACCAAAAATCACCCCTAAATACATACGTTCAAGGTGTGGATCGACGCTGCATCTCAGATATTCTTCTCGCTGGGTCCGGGCTTCGGGACCCTACTGGCGTTGTCCAGTTACAACAAATTCAACAACAATTGCTACAGGGACGCCATTTTAACCAGCAGCATCAACTGCTTGACTAGTTTCTTGGCGGGCTTCGTTATATTCTCAGTTTTGGGGTACATGGCTCACGTGCAGCACAAGAGCATCGAGCAAGTCGGACTGGAAGGTAAATGTACAAACCACGCGCTTGTTTCATGACTTGAAATCGATTTATTTATGGTAGGGCCTGGACTGGTGTTCATTGTATATCCCGAAGCAATAGCCACGATGAGCGGCTCGGTTTTCTGGTCGATAATCTTTTTTCTGATGCTCATCACGCTGGGTCTGGACAGCACGTTCGGGGGCTTGGAAGCCATGATTACCGCCCTGTGCGATGAGTACCCCAAAGTGTTGGGAAGACATCGAGAAACGTTCGTAGCAGTGCTTCTGTTGGGTATATACATTTGTGCCTTGCCAACGACCACATACGTAAGTAAATGCATTTTGTATGCGAATAGATTGATTTATGTGGATGTGTTTCAGGGTGGTGTTTACTTGGTGAACATGTTGAACGTTTACGGTCCAGGTTTGGCGATTTTGTTCGTCGTGTTCGTAGAAGCGGCCGGAGTTTGCTGGATATACGGAACGGATAATTTCGCAAGAGACATCGAAAAGATGATCGGCCATAAGCCCGGTTTGTTTTGGAGGATCTGCTGGAAGTACATAAGCCCTGTTTTTATATTGGTACGGTAGATATTTCGCGCGAAAATCGAGGTGATTGAGGACGTTGTCTCTTCCAGATTATCTTCATATTTTCGATGGCGAGTCACGCGGATATGCTTGGCACGGAGTACCATTATCCCGATTGGAGTTTGAACGTTGGATATGCACTAACTGCATCGTCTATTATGTGCATACCGATATACATTTTGTACAAATTTGCTATCACTCCGGGAGTTTTTTCGCAGGTATTATTTTTGCTATATTACGTTAGGAAAATACCAAGAAATCTTATATCCACTTGAATATTGATTCCATCTTGAGTCGTCTTGTGTAAATATAAGTTGTATCGTCCTAAGCAAACAACGTTTTCACTGCGATGAAAATTAATTTTCTATGAATTACCTTACTATTCGATCCGGTTCAGACTACTTTATTTTGGAAATATATAAGTATTTGCTTAACACTAATTTTCTAGCTACTTTAGTAGCTCATTTGCCTAATGAAATCCGCTTTAAAGTGTGTAGAACTTCTCGTACGCGAGTTAATTACCTGGCATTTTGTAATTTCAGAGGTGGAAAATGATTTGGCAGGCGGAGCATTCGTCCGAAAATAGTACCCTAACTTACTGTGGAGGTACAGAAGTGTGACCTGAGAACCTCACCAAGTCATATACAATCGAATGGTTAGTGTAAGTTAAAAAGCTATTTTCTAGATCAGTTTTTTTATTGTGAATTTTTCACCTGAATAAGGCAAGATACCAGCCATATTTTGTCGAATTTATTAATTCGTTTCTTTTATTGATATGCGCGTATGGTTAAAATGAAATTTACAAATTCATGTTAGAAATGCATGTGTTTGATAATGAAACGATGTACCTAAGTAGAATTAAAGCCTATTTAGAAAATATAGAAATGTATGTATAGATGTAGATTGTTTTATTGTTTCTACAAACAAATGTATTTAGCAGCCAAATATTTCGTTGAAATTTGTTTTGATACTTGGTTATATTGTTAGATGTTGTGTATATTTGAAATATTTCAAGCTAGATATGGAAGATCTCATTATTTGATCTTCTTTTTAAACATGTACCTATACGATAAATTTTAATAGAATAGTAATAGTGAAGATAGTACCTATAAATTGAATGTTTGTATTTTGTAAAAAACGTGTCTATAATGTAATTTCTATAGTTGACAATACATATTTGTATAGATTTATCTTTAGAGAATCTTTTGATGATAAGTCTGGTATTCAGCCAATATCAAACTTATCGAAAACAGAACATAGGTGCTACAAACTATATGTTAAATCTACAAATGAATATATAAATACAATAAAATTTATGTCATGTAGATTAAATTTATGTTTATGTTCCAATTTTTTTTGCTCGAAAATGAAAAAAAAATAAAATTATTATGCCAATCTTATATTGTTAATAAAATAATAATACGTTAAAATTTGATTTACTCATATATTATGTCGAGGTAACTGAAACATGAAGGGCCTTATGTTTAAGATACCTCTATTTTTAATAGATTTTTATTAACCAAGTTAGAGCAACTTTGAGTAAACCAGGAAACATGCGTAGCATCAAATTTACTCTATAAAAAATGATCTTTTTAGTTTTCTTTGTATTTACGTAAATATTTTAAAACCCCTATTTTCAAATGATAGACGATGTCTTTTTGCTACGTTTGTATATTTTACAACATAATTCTAATGCAGTTATTTCGTTTCGTATACGTATATTTTTCCATTTGCAAATTGGCACTAATTGTGAAATGTTCGACTAAAAATGAAAAAAAGTAATTTGGCACACGCGGACACTATTATATGAAATCCCAGCCATATTTCATTTAATACAGTCCAAAACCATTTTCGAAAAAATCGATTTGTAATTTAATCGCGAGGGTTTTATGGAAATTAATGTTTGTGCGGTACCTATAACATATTTGCTCTGGTTTGTACGATAATAAAAATACCAATTTAATTATACTAATATCCGACAATTTGCCTAATTCGTTGACTTTAATTGTTTTGCGCATTTTATGTAATTGTTATTTATATTGTAAGAAGCTTTTTTGGGATATGTACTAGCACATACTTTCAACGAATTGATTATATTATCTCCATTTTTACAATAGGAACTTAGTTATTTTTACACGCTCGATTTCTACTTTGTATATTAAATTTTCCCATACAATCATTCAAAAAACGAACAACGGTCCCTAAAATGAATTTCTAGACGCTTAATAAAATTATTTTAGTATAGATGATGTGATAGTTACCTTTAAGTTAAACAGCCATAAACTTAAGGGTAGCGAGTTGTTGAATGTTTAAGCTTCTAAGTAGAAAAGCATCTATTAAATGTGCGTTATCCGATGTAAACATACTCATATTTTTTGTAACGAGTTAACTTTTATTTGAATAAATGTTTATTTTAGTTTATTCCGAATCACCTACTCGACGTTCCCCAAAAAAATTAAATTTACGCTCCGACCGTAAATTATGCCGTGTACAAAATTAATTTGCGAAATAAATTCGTCCTGAGCTCGTAAAAGCTAAACCAGTTGCGGTCGACAGTCGAGTGTCAACTCATCAAAAACCCACCCCTAAATAGGAAGGTATTGTTTTTATAATAAAAATAAACGGTAGACCCGTGTGAAACGAAAATCCCAAACACGACGTCTTGTCCTGTTTGGGATCCAAAGCATATTTTTCTAACAAATCCTAAGTAAATAAATATCAGCTTATTTTCTCTACCATCAGAATGCATATAATTCCGTTTTTATTACATGCATACCTACTAATGCAAAGTTAAACCACATTCCATACCTATTTTTTATTCGCATATAGAAGTAAAAATAAAAATAAATCACTTCGATTTCGTCAAATCTTCGATTAAAGCTCCCGATGCCAGGACGGTCATCGATTGGCAGGACCTGCAGCTTTCGCTGTTCTTGTTTAGGAACAGGTCGCTGTCGAAGCTCGTGGATCTTTTCGATCGATAAGGCGCCGTTGTTCCTTTGTAGGAATGAACGAACCGCGGCGGTCGTTCCAGATAGTGTCCAGACGTTCCTATCTCGCTATTGTTCCTCGAATCTTCAGTTACCCTATCGAACGATTAGTTAAATTAGTTTTATTGGATGGGACGGGGCCACTTACCAGACTAAAAAGTTCGGTATATTTGATCTGTAAAGGTGTTGAATGCTGAGGATTACAAAGGGTATTAGGGATATTGTTAGGGTTATTATGAACAAGCAAACGTGCGTGAGGGTTTGGTTTAGGGTGATTTCGTCTTTAGGACTATTATCCTAAAATAAAATATTGTGTATATAAAATATGTAGATAGCGTTACAAGATTATTTACCTCTATAAATTGGTCCATGGAGGAAATTAAGTATCTCGCAAACTTAATAAAAAGGAACCATAATCTTACTGTATAAAAATACACCCAATGGAAGAAAACGTCCTGAAAGTATTCACGATTTAAAAACCGCATTAAATATGAATTAATCAAAAAAATATACCTTATATAAGCGTGTCTTCCATCTCGTGTATGAGCTCGTGTAATAGTGAAATTGGAAATAGAGAAGAACGAACATGCAAGACATAAAAACGAGGCTCGGTATGCAAGAGTACGCGTTTGCGTCTAGCCTTGCGGTGGAAAATGCATCTTGGACAAATTTATCGTGAATTTTGAATACGAAATTCATTTGAAATGAAATTCGGAGGTTTATTTTTCGTGTCAATTATGTCATTTTTTGAGTGAGATCTGATGAACCATTTAAACATTGATAGATAAGTATCGAATGTAAGATTACCTCGAGTCAGTGCAGTTTTTAATGCACCTTATGCTGCATATAGTTTGTCAAAACGTTCATGCGAGGATACTCATAAAAGAAATAATGAAAAATACACCGTTTTATTCACAATCCACCAAATTTACACCCGTTCCTGCGCCAAAAATTTAAGTAAAATTTTATTAAAGATAAATAGATAAACTTTCATACAATCCTTGTGCACACAACAAATGAAATAGGTATTAATGGACATGTATTAATAATTATTTTACTCATCATCATCTGTTTGTGTTCCTTCAATCTAAACAGAAGCGGAGAGGTGCTTAATTGTTTTTCTAATACGGTCTATATTTAACCTTAGGCATTCCTAAAGGAAATTATAAAAATAATCGAGGACTTCTACGAGCGCCTATTGGTGTCCCGGACGATTTTCTTAATTGTGGGTGGAGCGGCTCGTCAAGCACGCCTTCGGGATTTCTTTCGAATGTGACGCCCAATTAGTCAAATACTAATTGTGGATTAATGAAGTCGAAACGGGTGTGATTCTGTGTTGTTGGGTTATTGTTATTTTGGTAGGTACCCCTTCGTTATTAATATTTTTTTATAAATTTTACTTGTATACACTTTGATGCACCTGTAATTATACAATTCATATAGTTTTCTTAACAGTAAAAGTCTTTAACTATAGCTTGAACCGAGAGAAATTTCTTTATTTATTCTAAGTTTTGCTAAAGTCTATGAAATTTTCAATCGAAATATATTGGTTTGTTGCATATTTGGTTGTATATTCGATAAATATGATAAGTTTTTGATTGGTATAAACAAAAAAAATTAAATTTTAAAGATGAAGAATGCCACGAAAGAAACGCTGCATGGAAACAGACTCTGAAGACGAACACGACGAATCGAAACGTCCCCAACGTAATGCAGCCAACGAAAGGGAAAGGGCCCGAATGAGGGTGCTCAGTAAGGCCTTTTGTCGCTTGAAAACCACCCTTCCGTGGGTACCAGCCGATACAAAATTGTCCAAATTGGACACTTTACGCCTAGCCACCAGCTACATAGCCCATCTTAGGGCCGTTTTAATGGACCAACCGGTTTCGGATAGTTTGCCCAAGCACCCCTTAACACTGGTAAGGAATAGCCTAAAATTAAAATTTGTAAAAATTCAATGCTTAATGCGTAAAAAAATAAAATAAATGGTAAACCAGGGAAGGTAGAAACTCGAAAAGAGTATAAGAATAGAATTATAAATTTTATTTCCTGTTTTTACAAAATGATAGTTTAACATTTCTCTCTACTTCTATCTAAACTTTACTCTACTTTTACTCTACTTTACTCTACTTTTTACTCTACTCCACTTTACTTTAATCTACTTTATTCTACTTCTCTACTTTACTCTACTTAACTCTACTTTATTCTACTTTACTCTACTTTACTCTACTTTACTCTACTTTACTCTACTTTACTCTACTTTACTCTACTTTACTCTACTTTACTCTACTTTACTCTACTTTACTCTACTTTACTCTACTTTACTCTACTTTACTCTACTTTACTCTACTTTACTCTACTTTACTCTACTTTACTCTACTTTACTCTACTTTACTCTACTTTACTCTACTTTACTCTACTTTACTCTACTTTACTCTACTTTACTCTACTTTACTCTACTTTACTCTACTTTACTCTACTTTACTCTACTTTACTCTACTTTACTCTACTTTACTCTACTTTACTCTACTTTACTCTACTTTACTCTACTTTACTCTACTTTACTCTACTTTACTCTACTTTAATCTATTTCATTCATACTTTACTCCACTTTACTTTACCCTACTTCTCTCTACTTTAATCTACTTCACTCATACTTTACTTTACCTCACTTTACTTTACCCTACTTCTCTCAACTCTTTTACTACTTTTAATCTACTTTACTTGCGCAAAATGTACAATGAATTTTTCTGAATAAAAAATGTGTTATTTAAAGATTTTTAAAGCTCGTCTTCGCGGACAAACCAAACTTTTAGTAGTTTAGAATATATCATCTTACACGGGGAATTAACTGCTCGTACAACGCGCGTAAAAAACATTGTAAACAAGACACAAAGGCCGAAATGCCGGGATATAAATTTGATTTGGCACCGGACGGGAATCCGTAAAATCCGACAGCTGGGCGCATTTGTCGGGCGCTTCTAATTATTTAAAGAGCGCCCAAAAGACATTCAAGATGTTTGTTTAAGCGAAGTGCTGCCACTCCGCCGTATGCAACTTGTAAGCAAACGCCAAATTTATCCGGAAATACACAATTAATGTTTCCATCCGACATAACTCGAATATCTTTAATTAATCGCACACAAACATACTACTCGTATACTCCAAAAAATTACCTATTAGAAACTTTTGTTAATTTTCTATTAGGTTTTTCCCACGTTATAAAATATTTCTCTTTTGAAGTAGATATATCGTATGTGAAGCGTTCTATTTTCAGTCCCCAAACTGCAGGGCTTGTAAAAATCAATCATTCTAATTGTCTTGGAGTTTTTAATCTTCACACCTAATTTGTTGAGGTTTAAACGCCGAATTTCAACCATCAGTTAACCGAGAAATTAATTATGATTTGCAGACGTGGCCGTTTAGCTTCCAACGACCCGAATCCGCAACAGATGTAGTCGAAGAAAGGGACCCGCAATTTTGGCCCCACGACGGCCACATCCAGCCCATCATCAGGGATAGAGACAACATATCCTATTACTACTAAGTCTAATTTATTTTCTTTTGCATATGCACTGTTAGCGCTCGCCATAGTCGCGCGGGGGGCTACTGTGTTTAATATTAAATTCTGTTTTTTCGATGGCTAATTTGATTTTTGTGAACTGAGTAATGTGTTTCTACGGGCGTAATTATTATGTAATTAAAATAATGTGGTGAATAAGATTGATATGAGTGTTTTAGAAGGTTTTTATTAAGTGCGCCGGCTATGGCAAGTGTTGAAAACGGGGATGCAAATCATCCATCATGAGACAATCACATAAATTTGTGTGTAAATTCTATATAAGGAAGCGAACTTAACTTTTTTTATTTATTGTTTAATTTTTAGAAAGTGAGATATATTATACGTTTAGGATTAAAGTGCCATAAAGAGATTAATCCTTGTTTTACTAAAATATTACCTTAATAATCACTTTCATCTTTTTGTTCGGTTTTAAGTTACAAAGGACTTTTGTGTCCAGATTTACGTCAAACATTTCCACTAACAAAAAATTATGATCGAGAGAAGTGATTCTAGGAAGATTGACGTAAATTCCTATTTACTTGCTAAAATATATTTTAAAATATTAATTTACAGGTTGTCAAGGAACATCTCTAAATATTTCCCGAGTTAAATGTGTTGTAAATATTTTGAAAAATTATTAGGCAATATATTACTCAGAAAAAGAAAACTATAGTTCATTCGCTGAACTTATGCTAGTTTCTCCCTGACTTCGGGTCAATTGCACTAAATGGGATAATAAATTTTTGATGAATTTTAATAAATTAGGATATTATAATCAAGTTCCGATTTGTTTAATAAATACTTCTTATTAATTCGTATTATACAATTTAAATACAATTCGATTTTATTCATAATTATTTTGACCAGTTCGTACCAGCTAAAATATTTCAGGTAAATTCTTCACTGTCAATTCAGCGCATGGACTATAAAATACCCAAATAATTAAATAAAATATTTATTATAAACGATACAAATAAAGTAAACGCAAAATCCATTTTACAATCACAATAATAAATAATTAAACGCTTAAGAAATAGTAATGGCTGTTCTTCGTACAACAGCGCTCAGCAATTCGTTTTTATCGGGCTGCTCCGTCAAAACCTTAACTTTGACCCATTGCCTCGTTTGAGACGACTCTCTGATAGCGCTCAGAACAGCCTGAACGTACAGACCGTCTTCAAAGGTAGCTGCGGATTGGACGGGCTCCTTGATCCAACCCTCCTTCTCATTATTGGGCAAGAAAGCCTCCCTTAGAGCCGACACCATCTTGCATAAGCCCTTCACGAACGTTTTGGGCAATATGGAATTCGTCACGGGGCACTTCAAATCCTCCACGTCCAAATACAGCACCTCCTCGTTGCCTTTGTTCTTCCTCCCGAACAAGTCTCCGCCGCGTACCACCAAGTGCCCCGTGCTGCTGCAAATCATGACGTCCTGGTTGAAATTGGAGCCCGCCGTGTGGCTGTTGATGGTAGCGGTAACCAAAATGCCGCTTTGCAGCTCCATTTGGAACGTGCAAAAGTCCGGAGCGGATATGGTTCGGATTCCGTTGATGTTCGATGTGTTTTTCGTGAAGGTCCGCACGACCCCGTGCACTTTTATGGCCTTCTGGCCCGTCAGGAATGTTATTAAATCGACCACGTGGCTGCCGATTAGGTTTAGGGTTCCTCCGCCCATGGTGTCGTCGCATTTCCAATCGAAAGTGTCCGAATCGCTGAAGAGACAGCCGCTCTGAATTCTTATATCGACCAACGTAATAGGCGATTGTAAATAATTATCTTTGAGGGCTTTTTTCATTTGAACGAAAGCAGGGAGAAATCGAAACGAGTGGTTTATTAAGGATATTAGGGAAGGGTAGTATTGCCCGGCTCCCACCATTTTGAAGGCGTCTAGTTGGTTCAATCCAGCTGGTTTATCGCACACTACGTGCTTGCCAATTCCCAGCGATTTTACAGATATTTGGGCGTGTAAGCTCGGCGGGCATAGTACGAATATTAAGTCGACGTCCTTGCGAAGCAGCACTTCGTCGATGATGTCGGTGTAAAAGGGTATATTCAATTCCTTCGCGGTTTCTTGGGCTTTCTGCTTCGTACGGCTCCACAAAGCTTCTATTTTGAATCCGTTTTCGCGCAAAATCGGCACTAAAACCTTTGTTACGGGACCAGTGCCGAACACACCAATACCCGGCAGCATATTTGATTGATAACTGGGCTTTTTTCGATTTAATACGAAGGCATTCTACATGTATTTGTAATGTAAACAAAACAAATATTCATAAAATAACCAAAAATTACGAAATGTCAAAGTTGGCACAGCGAATAATTCTTCTTTTTTAAGAAGAGAGTAACATATTTTTTGAGGTTAGATTTTAATCAACAAACCAAGCTTCTAAAAAATATATTTTATAAAGGTAATTAAAAATGAAAATAGCTATAGAAGGATGTGCTCATGGAGATTTAGAAAATATCTACGACACCATTTACGCTTTGGAGCAGAAAAATGGTTTCAAAGTGGATTTGCTGATTTGTTGTGGTGATTTCCAATCCACTAGAAATCAAAGTGATTTAATGTGTATGGCTGTTCCTCCCAAATATCGACATATCTGCACTTTCTACAAGTGAGTTTTCTATATTTAATATATTCTTAATACCAGTATTAATTTCTATTTTTTCAGATATTACTCGGGCGAAAAAACTGCTCCGGTTCTGACAATATTCATCGGGGGTAACCACGAAGCATCAAATTATCTTCAGGAACTACCGTATGGCGGTTGGGTAGCCCCAAATATTTATTACTTAGGTTATGCTGGTGTAATTAATGTTGCTGGTAAATTTACTTTACTACTATATTAACTCAATATTAACTTGCTGTGTTATAGGTATACGAATAGGGGGCATTTCGGGAATATTCAAAGGCAATGATTACTTAAGAGGCCATTATGAAATACCACCTTATACAGAACAATCTAAACGAACTGTATACCATGTTAGAAATTTGGAGATTTTCAGAATAAAACAAATCTCCGGTAAAATGGATATATTTTTGTCGCACGATTGGCCTTCGGATGTTGTTAAATTCGGAAACGTCGAGCAGTTGTTGAAAAGGAAACCTTTATTTAGGTAAAACTATTATTATTTTTTCATTATTTATTACAACAATTACATTTCTAGGGAAGATATTGACAGAGGTGAACTGGGAAGCAAAATGTACAATGATATTCTTTACCAGTTAAAACCGAAATATTGGTTTTCGGCCCATTTACACTGCAAATTTCCTGCGCTAATCAAACACCTTGACGATTCCATCACGAAATTTCTAGCCTTAGATAAATGCCTTCCCAAAAGACGATTTCTACAAATCGTAGATATACCACACAATGAAGAATCAAAGGTAGAAATCAGTTACGATATCGAATGGTTGACAATATTATACAAAACAAATCATTTATTATCGACAAGAAACAGTTTCACCTACATGCCAGGTCCCGGTAGTGGAGAGAGGTAAATCAATTACATAATTTTTAGCAACAAACCAAGCTAATTGATTTTATTAATAGATACGACTTCACTCCAAATGAAGAAGAGAAAAACAACATCACTAAAAGATTCAACAGTAATCTGGTTGTTCCGAAAATTTACTACCAAACCGCTTCTCCTTACAACTCCGATACTCCATCGAAGAAAACTCAACCAGCACAGCCCGTTGTAAATCCCCAAACTACTACACTGTGCGAAATACTTTCCATAGACGATCCGCTAGCCGAGGCGTGCAAAAGTAACGGAGCTGAGTTAAATGTTACTGTAGATCTGAATTCTTCGATCAGCTTCCTAGACGATACTGTGGATATCGAAGGCTCTCTCAACTCGCCTCAAAGTGTCTCTCTAAGGAAACTGAGCAGCATTCACCTGCCGGATCCGAAACTCGACGAAAGCGACATCCAGCCAATACTCGAAGATGAAGATACTAACAGGAGCATTTCGGTTTCTGAAAAAATCGATTGCGAAGAAGACAAACTAGCTGAAGAAGCAATTAATCCTGCTGAAGAGATGGTTAATCAAGCTGAAGAAACAGCTAATCTAAATTCACCTACTCCAAAAAAATTCAAACGCAGGAACAAAGAACTCTATGCGGGAGAAAACGATCAAGGTAATAATTGATTTAAACTTTTTTATTACAAAATTATAAAAAATCTAGAACGATATTAAATTTGTAATTAACACTTATGGTGTTCTGTTTTCCTGAAAAATCGGTTATTGTTGTTTTAAAGTGTCGAGATTCTTCACGCTCGACGTAAATTCTATAATCTAATTTTTGAAACCTCTTCTTGCTTGTACAAAAATTCATTTTATCTATTCTAGCGTACAAAAATACTACATTTAAAGATGCGAGAGCGCTGATAATTTTTTGAAAGATTTGTTGAGCGTGGTGATAGTAGCTGATGTTGCTTTTCTGCTTGGCTATCCAATAATAAGCGCTAATGTTATCAATTACAACTAAATTAATATTGTCTTTTACTAGAATCAGCCTTTGGAGATTCATTATTGCTAGATCTAAATCTTCCGGGCTGTAGCAGTTGAATATTGTGAGATTCTTCAAAGCGCTTTCGAGAATTTCCTTCTTCGGGTCCAATACGTCGTTGCGCTTCAGATGAGCCTCGATCACTTTGATTATCTTAAATATATTCAATTGGTGTTCGCAAATTACCAAAACTGCTCCGGACGATTTCCATTGGGAGTTGAGATCACTCGGTAAAATGCATTTGACTATAAAATCGAGGAGCAAGTCCGTTTTATCAAGTTTGAGATCCCCCATAACTTCTATAGACTCATTAGGTAAAGGGCCACCATTTGGAAAGTAATGGCTGTTTATGCCGTTGAGATCGTTTTTTCTATTCACTCTGGTAAATAACTGGATGCCCGATTCAACTTGTGTTGTACTAGTATTCATTTTGGGTGAAATTATGTTAATTAACAAAAAGGATGTTGCATTTTTATATGTTTAAAAGTATTTGGAGGTTAGGTTAATTCGTTTATTGTAACTGTCAAATTCTTGGTCTTGTATTTATAAGGATATAAGCCATTTAAATTGTTGACCTATTTTTTAAAATTGTTGTGGCCTTGGACTATTTTGAAGTAGAGTGGAGTCAGGGCCGTAATGAAAATATTTTTAGACCTACACAGGATTGTTACTAAAATTTTTGGACTGTAGTAAAACGCGTTCTTCATTTACGTATGTATTTTCATTATCTTAATGAAATTAATACTTTTTTTAGTGCATAATTAAATTAAATAGGGTTCCTCATTTATCGCAGAATCAAGTAATTAATACAGACTTTCTGAATATTATTTCCATTTTTTTTATTTTTAATAATCCAGATCGAAGCATGATTGAATATGCCCAAGGTTGAACATCATTATACGACGGAATTATTAAAACCGTTCAGTTCTTCAACTATTCCTCACAATTAGTAAAATAGAAATAGGTATAGGATTTACTTTTGAAATAATACAAAAATCTGCGCCAAAGATACAAAATATATTTTTTTATTAATTAATCATCGATTTTACAGTAAAAATCTTGGCGCGTTTGAATAAAACGTGTATATTTTTTTATTATTGTAAACAATTTTTTTACATGTTTTTTTAATTAATTTGTACTTAAAAATGACTTAAGTCTATATTATTTTTACAAATCATGTAAAACCGCATTAAGATATATTTGACAATATAGACAATCTTAAAAACTATGTATATAATACTAATATAAATACTTATTCTACCAAATAAATATACACAATTGCAACAAAACGACGGCATTGACAATTTTGTCGTGAGAGAAACCAGTTGAAATAATTTTGAGTTCAAATCACCAGCCAAATCGTACAAAATCTCAACACTTAAATAACAGAACGTACAGTCCTAACTGCTCATCAAATTGTAATATTACAATCAGACTTCCAAATATCATGTTGACATTTTTAATCATCATTTAGACGCATTTAAATAGCGACCTACACAAAGTATATTTCGCTACAAACTATTGAAAATTTAACGATATTTGATATTCATATCTCTTCGTTTATATTCAATGAGTCTAAACGTATATTCTTTTAACGTACACAATAAACTGAAAAATAAAATAAAAAATCGTACATTCATATCCCATAAATCAAATGTTTCAAAAACAAAAACCAAAATAACGAAAAACTAAATTCACTTACATATTTATCAATTATATCACATTTTTTTATTTTCGATATACAAATATATTTACAAATCAACGGACGCATAAAAATATATTTTACGATGGTAGGACAGAAGTAAGTTTGTTGTAATTTTCCCTTTATAGTCATTAAAGAGTATTCGAAGATTCACTTTGATCTTGTAAATAACTAAATCATATTAAATAGAAATTACTACTAAATTTTAAGGATATTAAATTGTTCCGCTTTCATTATTTATGCATTAGTTGGACCAAAAGAAAAAGTTGCCGATCACAAGCGAAATGTAAATAAGCGACTTAAATAATAAAAATCTAATACAGGATTTAGAATTTACCTACAATCAAGTTTATAATCGCCTCTCCGCGGACTATAATAAAGAGGAATTTAGGATATTAGCGTCCCCAATGGTTGACGTTGATAATGTGAGATGATCAAGAATTTTTTTAGATATATGTACAGAGTGTAAAGAGACGATAATTTTGATTTAATTTTTGATTACAAAATACCAGCGAAACTTCAAGGAGTCTTTTAATTGATTGTTGTTGAGAATGCATTTACAGGCGTTAAAATTTAACTACTGCTGGAATAGTAAACAAATTATGAAGAAATACTTTCTTACATAATAGTAATTTATGATAAATGTTAAAAATAAGATCAAAGGAAACATTTTATCTGCTATATAAAAAGCCCTTAGCAAATAAAGATCTCTGCATCAATGATAAAATTTTGCTGGTATTTTTTATCAATTTTAGTACCTATTAAATGAAATTAACAATTTTTACCTACTTAATTACTATATTTTTTTGCTTAAAGTCGATTTTTTGATAGTATATACCAACTGTTTCTCTCACTTAGCATACAATTTGGCAAAATAAGCATAGTTTCTTAGCATTTTTATAAAAATTCATACATACATTACATTTTTTTAATTATCCAAAATTTGTAATTCGATAATGAATTATTTAAATAGTTACAATGAAGCCATAGTTTTCACAATTTGATGATTAATTTTTATCGAGATTTTTAAACCGATTTCCCGCTGATTTCCCGCGATTTCCGGCAATAAGTGACTAGTATATATTCAAAAAATCGACTTACATATTCTCTGTCGCAAAATAAATACCAACTATAATCTCGTTACAGACAAATAAAACGCATTAAATGAGCAAACTGATAGAATACAACACAAAAACCAAATCTATTGTTAGATTTACCCAAATTCTATCAAATTCTATTATATTCTATCAAAAAAAAGAGAGAAGTTTGTTAACATAATAAAATAAATAATAAAAATTTAAAGAAAATTAAACTTTTTGTTTACGTTTTTTTTAATCTTTTTTTGTTTTGTTCATTAGTTACTACAAATCTAAGGCATTATGTCGATTTTTATATTTTATAATTTTTTTTTCTATACCTATAAAACAACTTTTACGAAATTAATAATTTTTTTGGGCCGACACCTGCCTAATTCAAATATTAAAAAGAAATGTGCGAAATCATTTGAGTTACCGAATCTGATAAAGTTGATAGAATGTCGTTTACACGTATTTATATTGCTTTCTGTTCGTCAACACACCAGGCACATATGAAAGAAAAAAATCAACTTCGTTACGCTTCGTAACGCGGCAAAAGCGAATCTAAAATAACCAAACAGTTCTACTCTACCCTACCAGACATCTCGTTATTGCTTCATGGGTTTTTTACGTTTCGTTGAATTATTATTAAAACTATTGTGAATGTTCATGTGATGTCCGTTCGTGCTGTGATGATTGCTCCTGAAGCCGGACTTGTTCTTGAAATGCTGCACCTTCTGTTGGGCCTGGCGCCGCGGCGTGTAATTCATGTTAGGGGACGTGTCTCTCGTCGGTACGTCCGATCCCTATTAAATTCCATCACAATCACGATTTAGTATAAGAGTATCGTTGGAAATATCATACTCACTTCTGAACTAACGGCGCTTTCCTCGGTACTAGAACCAGTCGATCCGACGCTCGAAGACCGGGACGGTTTCAATCGAACGCTATCCTCCACTCGCTGCCTTTGAATTATCACATTTTTCCTCACGCGAATTATCCTACCCAGGATGGATTCGTACGTGCAATTGTTGAACATTGTGAACGGATGTACTACGTTCGTCAGCACTATGTAGGCGTACTCAAAGGCTCGTTTTACCTACAACAATTAACCGTAAGAATATTAATTCGTTTAAGGGTTGATAAAGTCGATTTATTATTACCTGTAAAACACCGTAACTACTTCGACCGATATCATTGGACGGTTGTAGGGGATCCTCTATGCACAACATGCTAGGCCGATGCCCGTCCGTCATCTCCTTCTGCATTTCGTCTTTATCCAAGTAATTGCCGCCGTCCCGTATCCGAATGCCAGTCTTAATGTAATTAAATTTCCGTCCGTACAATTCGAAAAATTCTATTAAAAGCACACCGAGATTCGCATTGTTGGTCCTTACGTTTTCCTGTCGGGGGTGCAACTGTAAAAAGCTAATGCACATTAATATCAAACTGTAACTGGATATGCCGCCGGTGAAGACTTCGTTCAAATCGCGTTCTAACAGGAACTGCTTCAGGACGTACACCAGTTTCGGTAAAACGGGAAATTTCTCGATAAACGTCTTAATTAATTCGGCCGATTTCACACCGTTGCACATGTTAAACGAAATGTCCACTTTGATGTCGGTTTTTTTGTCAGTCAGCTTTACTATCGGCACCGATGCCTTGTCCAAAACTTTGATGCTGTCTTGAACAGCGATGTCTTTTTCGAGGAATTCCTGTTCGAGCGTTCGCAACGGAAGATTCGCCCATTTGCCTGGAAATTACACGGTTTTTAACTATTACATCATTCGAAATTATGAAAAAAACGCGCATTTAAAACATCCCTTGTCACAAAACGAATTCCTTGTTCACTTTCTCTTGTTCCGCCAGCCATACGACGAATGCATTAAATATTTATGCAACAATCAACAAATTGTAAATGGAAATTTTAGAACGTTAAACAATCCAGTTTGTTTAATTAGATACTCTTTTTTGTATTGCAAAAAATATTCAAAACAATGATAATCACAATTAGATAGTACTATTGTTAATTATTTACTACAATAATAAGCGTAATAAGGCAAATATATGTAAAATGCTCAAACTACCTACTAAGGCTATAGACTTAGAAAAAAAAAATCAAATTATATCGGGTGAAATTTACGCTATGGGTGCAACAAAAACACCTTTCATTAGGCTCATATAAAGGAAAAAGAAGGAACGTTATTGTGGAATTTGCAATTTTCTCACTCTAACCACGGTTATTTGAATAATCTTTCTCTATTCAACTCACAGATATGGCCATATTGCAAACAAATTTGCACTTATCAGTATACTTTATGAATTACATTAGAAACTTACCTATGACTACAAGATCAATATCACTAGTGGGAAGATACAGGCCCGTTCTATACGAGCCGAAGATCTCTACTTTGGCTTCGGGCCATTTGGATATAATAATTTTTTCGATTCGAGCAACAACTTCCTCACGAATTTTATCCTCTGCTTCCGTAGGACTCATGTAATGGTAAAAATGCTCTATCTCTTGATGCAACCTAAACATAAAACAAAACGAAATTAGTATTCAGTTAATTTGAATATATTTTATTAAATTTATTACTAGTATAATTAAAAAAAATGTTGATATAGATAAACAATTATCTCACCTCCACAACATGTTTCAACGTTATATTTTTTTGGTAATTTAAAAAAATAATTGGATGTATTCCTTTGAGGCAATAAATTCGTTGCTAGCCGATATTTTTGCACGAGCAGCAGAACCGTTTACTAAATATTTTTGACTTTTAAATTATCAAGATAAATAACTTAAATGATATACTGTTTTTAAAAAACTTTTTATGCGAATGTATATTGATAAAATTATCGGTTCAAAAGTATTCTATTCTATTTCATTAGATAGGTGGATGATAAAAATAATGTATAATTTGAAATTGAGAACCAACGATATTGTAGAATGAGAGCGAGTGAGAGAGTGAGAAATGGAATAATTAACAAAAACCAGTCGAATGTATAGAGTGTAGTAATTATTAAAAATAGAAATTTAAGATTTTGTGTAGTAAAATATAATTTTTCGATTTTAAAATATAGCGTTTCAAAGTTACTATAAAATTGTTTGTAGTGTTAATTTATATTGAAATGAAGCTGTTAACACCATGTATTGATAAAATTTCGGAAATATGACCTTGTCACAAGATTTTTCAATCACCCTGTAATTATTAAATGTCAAAAGCGGCAAAGATTCAAGGCCATCTAATGACAACCGAAAGAATTACAAGTAGCAAGAAAGTCAAATAAAAATTTTATGGTTAGAATAGCGAAAATGAGCGGAAAGCGCGATATTGTGGCAATTCAATCGAACCGCTTACCCCATTACGCCCTTCGGATAGGAAAACTTGGGCTTTCTCCAAGGGCAACCTCCGAAATCGCCGCTCAACTTCCTATGCACCGATCTGCTGGCGGGCCTGTCTTTCCGGCGCCTCGAGTGAATGGCATTTTTGTCCGTCTTGCCGTTTATCAGGCCGACTTTGTGAGTCGCGAACCCGTTGATGACACTGTCCACTTCGACGTCGCCGTCTTTTAAGTTCATGTTATCGGATTCCTGTTGAGTCTGCCAAATGCGAAGCCACAATTGCTTGGCGGGTCCTTCTTGTTCCGGTTGCAGCCAGGAGATCGAAGGATCCATCAAACGGCGCGCGAGGGCTTTCACGAAATCGCCACCATCAGTTCTGTCTTCACTAAGTAACTCAATTTTATAAAGATTATTCCCAAACACGCTAAAGTCACACCTTCAGCATATCACACGACTGAAAAAAAATATGACAGGTTGGGCTAAGTCGCATTTTCGCCGCTTGAGGGACCAGCTGGCGACGTTTCCGCGAAATTTAAAAGAGTAGTTCAAATTTTAATTGTTAATTGTTAATAGACACTCACTTCGATGTTTGGCCTTTCTAACAATTCGTTAAATTGCTGTAATATAAAAGTCTACAAATCGCACTAACTGTTATCACAACCCACTCGCCCAATACAACAGAAAAGTCTGGAAATTTAATACTGTCGGATGCGTCCTAAAAAAGGTGGGAAATATAATTCATCCTACTCTTTCACAACGTCTTTAAGATTGCAACGTTGTCAAACTGTTAAGGAAATCATTGAACTGCCGAAATAGTAAAGAATTTTGCTTCAAAAACAAGTTGTAGCATTAGTATTAGAAAGTTTTCTGAAAAAAACTATATATAAGAGTCTTTTGCAAATCTTATTAAACAATATCGTAATATTTACAACACATTTAAAATAATATCAGAAATTTTCACTCGTTTCACCTCTACTAATTTTGCAAATATGACAACACTAAATATGTCAAAAGTGTTGCCTACATCGCAATAATATTCGAAATTATGGCTAAAATAAGCCTTTTCTTCGTGAGCCCTAGATCGGTTTTTACCTTTTTTTATGCACAAAATTTTCTCTCTACTTTCATGGACAATTCATGAACTTCGCAGCTGGATACTTTAATCCGAACATTATTTTCGCGATAAGCATTATAAATTTAGTCATTATTTAAATAATAAACATACAAAATACTACCAAATTAATAAAACATTAAAATAACACCTAATTAACACTTTATTTAGTAATACACATATAAATATTTTACGGATTATCTCATTTCTTATCACTTATCACATTGCTACAAATTATCATCTACACAAAGATCCACTCCATCAATACAGTTGATAATTTATTTCTATTCCCTCAATTATGATGGTATATGTTGGTATTAGAACGAGAGTCCTAATACTTGGTTGTCATTAAGCAAGATTATCCCATCCTAGTTTTGACAATGCGATTTTCGCAACATAATTTTCCTGAGCAAATCCAAGATACAAATGCTTCTTGAAGATAAATGCTTCAGTAATTCCTTTGATTTTCCCATTTGTGTTATGGACACTGTCCAATATTTTTCCATGCTTTGAAACATGTAGAACGGAAGTTCTGGATGAATCCATTAGAGAAGTTATTGGATCAATTCTGCCGACCTAAAAAAGTGGTCCATTATCAAATGGTAACATATAGTAAAATTAATAAAATACATACTGTGAAAATAACAAATTTGCTTATTTCATTCGGGAGATATTTATCTAATGTTTCAAATGTCCACTGAGTGATACTAAGAAATCTAGCGATAATTTTTCTACCCCAAGGAAATCTCAGTAGATATTTCGCAACATTGATCTGATTAGAATTAATCGGATAAGAAAGGGGTACCAGAAAACCACCGTGGTTATCGGAGTTAATGTTATCCGGATAGCCGGGTAAACCTTCTAAGAAAATATCATAAGTTCCATTTTTAGGCCCCTTTAAATAATATCTGTATATTCGGCTCGTAATCGGTTCTGATACTACAACAAACTCTTCGTCATCGGATAGAGCTACTCCACTAGCAGCACTGATGTTATCTATAAGTACCGTGTTGATTTTAGTCGCTGCATTATAATGTACTAAACTAAAACGAGAAGTTGGTTACTTAATAATTCTCGAAACAATTTTTAATCCACATACCGACCCGATGGATCTGATAATAATTCAAACAGACCATTATTTAAGGTGAATTCTGTAGAAGAAGCGGTCCAATAAATATCTCCATTTGATGCTAGACTTACTCCGCTGAACCATTTGGTCTTTTTACCTTTTATTATTTGGTCAGGGGAAACTATTACCTGCTTTTCACCTGCAATATGAAAGGCATTTTATATTACTCTTATTTATATGGCCGAACTTACCATCATCGACTAGTATTCTTAAAATGCCGAAATATGCATCAGCTACGTATAAATAGCCGTGTTTTCGGAACTTCATTCCTAACGGTCTCCCGCAAATGTGCTCCTCGTAATGTGCTTTACATGGTTTACCGGTCTGAGCAACGTGCATTATATGCTTGCCGGTTAACATGACGATATCGCCCCCACTGACACCCGCGTACAAATCATTGTTGTACGTTGCGAACGTCTCGGGGCCCTGCAATTGATTTTTGTATAAAATTTCGACATTATTTAATCGAGAATTTAGCGCGAGGGTTCCAGTTAACGGCTTAGTCGGAGGCAAACTACAATTAAAAAGCGAGGTTATTTAGTTATTTTAACTATGCTATCTGCGTAATTACCTTATCGATTTCGAAAATAGTGTATGAGGCGGTAAATTGGGCGTGAATAATATCACCGAAACTATAAGGAAATATTCCAGTAACCTGTTAAAAATAAAATTAAAAACTTGCTTGAAACATTTTCTAAATTCCATTTAAGGGAATGTTTTAATTTTCATTTAAGATTATTAGTTTGTTTTCTTTTATTACTTTTTTGATACAAATATGGCAAATGTCAGTTTTTGGTTGACCTTTGATTTGACATTACCAAAATATTGACGTAAAATTCTTCTTACTGTTGACAAATAACTACTAAGTAAAAGGCATAATTTACTATTTTTACAGAAGATTATTTACGAATTCCCGCCAAAACAAAACGTAGCCTAGTTTTATTGAGCTTTGGTTATTCCAAACGAATTTTCGATATTTTTAAGTGCATAGTGAATAAACAATACAAAAATGGAAGGTTTTGATGATCCTGGAATGTTCTACAGTGCCAATTTCGCCGAAGACGATACTCCAGTTGGAACTGACCAAGTTAATTTACAAGCCATCAAGAAGAAATTCAAAGACTTCCTTCGGCAATTTCACACCGAAAATTTTAACTACAAATACAGGTACTACTTCAAAGGCTAATTACAGTCGAGCAGGTGATTTACAATTTATTTCTCTAGGGATAATCTAAAAAGAAACTACAACCTTCGCCGGTTCTACCTCGAAGTCAACATAGAAGATGTGGGAAGCTTCGACGAGAATTTAGCAGATAAACTGTACAAGCAGCCTTCAGAGCACCTGGCCTTGTTCGAAGAGGCAGCCAAGGAGGTCGCCGATGAGCTAACAACCCCTCGACTAGAGGGCGAAGAAGAAGTGGAAGATATCCAGATTATGTTGTCGTCCGATGCTCACCCTTCTGATCTGAGATCCTTAAAAGTAAACTTGCGATTATTTCAATTTATTTCATTTTTAACTCTCCTCGTTTCAGTCGGACGTTGTATCTCGATTAATCAAGATACCCGGCATTATTATTAGTGCCTCGGGGATAAAAGCTAAAGCTACTAAAATATCCGTTCAATGCCGCACTTGTTCCAATGTTATACCCAATTTACCATTAAAACCTGGATTGGAAGGATATCTCTTACCTAGGAAATGCAACACGTATGTTTATATTCCATTTAAACTTATTGTTAGTAATAATTGTATAATATTTATTTAGCGAACAAGCCAACAGGCCGAAGTGCCCATTGGACCCTTACTTCATCATGCCTGATAAGTGCCAGTGTGTAGATTTTCAAGTACTGAAGCTCCAAGAGCTTCCTGATGGTATACCGCAGGGTGAGATTCCCAGACATATAACTTTATATTGCGATAGGTATTTATGCGAACGAGTTGTGCCTGGCAATAAGGTGCAAATTCTGGGAGTGTACTGTATTAAAAAAATCAGCAGACCCACAAGAGTAAGTAGTGGATTTTTCGACATATTTAAGTAGTAAATACGTTTTTGTAGCGTGAAGGTAGAGAGAAGGCTGTAACAGGAGTACGAGCAGCCTACATGAGAGTCATAGGCATTCAGCAGGATAACGAAGGTATGGGAGCGTCTCGTTTCTCGATCATATCATCAGAGGAAGAGACTACGTTTAGAAGATTAGCAGCGCTGCCTGACATCTACGAGAAGGTAGCTGCTAGCATCGCTCCGTCTATCTTCGGCGCAACCGACATAAAGAAAGCCATAGCTTGCCTGCTATTCGGCGGTTCGAGGAAGAGGTTACCGGACAGCTTAGTACGTCGAGGCGACATTAACATTCTACTGCTCGGAGATCCAGGTACAGCCAAATCTCAGTTGTTGAAGTTCGTCGAAAGAGTGGCACCGATAGCTGTGTACACATCAGGAAAGGGCAGCTCCGCCGCCGGTTTGACTGCCGCCGTTAAAAGAGACCCCGCTTCGGTAAATTTTATTAATCACGTAAAAATATCGCGTTGGTAATTTTTGTGTTATTTTTGCAAGAGAAATTTTGTTATGGAAGGGGGCGCAATGGTGTTGGCCGATGGTGGGGTGGTTTGTATCGATGAATTCGACAAAATGAGGGAAGACGACAGAGTGGCCATTCACGAGGCGATGGAACAACAAACTATTTCCATAGCCAAGGCTGGTATCACCACCACGTTGAACTCGAGGTGTTCCGTGCTGGCCGCAGCTAATAGTATCTTCGGTCGTTGGGATGAAACAAAAGTAATTTAATTACGAGTTACTTATTTATACTGACAAATTATCGTTTTTAGGGAGATGAGAATATCGATTTTCTACCCACCATTTTATCTCGATTCGATATGATCTTTATCGTGAAAGACGAACACGACCAAAACAGAGACATGGTAAAATCTTTCTCGTATCTCGTAGTAAACTTTCGATTGATAATCTTTGTTGTAGACACTCGCAAAGCATATAATGAGCGTTCATATGAGCGCAGGGGAAATATCTCAAGAGCCCAAAGAAGGTGAAATGTCGCTAGAATTCATTAAAAAATTCATCAACTTCTGTCGAACGTAAGACACACATACACCAAGTGAATATTCAATTAATATTGTATTTTCTAGTCGGTGTGGACCGAGATTGAACAAAACGAGCGGTGATAAACTAGTAACACGCTATGTAAACATGCGCTCCAACACACACTCAGATAAAAAGCATTCTATTCCTATAACAGTACGTCAACTGGAGGCTGTCATTAGAATATCGGAGAGCTTGGCTAAAATGCAATTGCAACCTTTCGCTTCCGAAGCTCACATAGAAGAAGCCCTCCGGCTTTTCCAAGTATCCACTTTAGACGCGGCCAGAAGCGGAAGTCTCGCAGGTAAAAATTTTGTATTAAATATTATGGAGGTCTCTAACGTTGCTGTTTTTTGGCCAGGCGTCGAAGGGTTTACCACAGAGGATGAGTACGATATGTTGACGCGCATCGAAAAGCAGCTGAAACTTCGGTTCGCCATCGGCACGCAAGTATCCCAGAGTGTTATAATCCAGGATTTCGTCCAGCAACAGTATCCAGAAAGGGCCGTAACGAAGGTCATCCAAGGGATGATCAGACGAGGGCAATTGCAGCACACGATGCAAAGAAAAATGCTGTACCGCCTCAGTTAATTACTTTGAATATTATAAGCGGTTACATTTTTTTAATAGAAGTTTTATACAATAATCTTATTTGTCTCGAATTGACTTAACGTCCGTTGACATTACAATTAATAGTTTTCATAAATAAGAAATAAATGGGTATTATATTGGACAGATTGTTCGATTATCCTTTAAAGACGAGCCGGCCTTGCTTTTTTGAACCCGAATTGCCAGAAGGTGGAGGAGACTAATGAAATAATTGTATATTAAGAGATGTTAATATTTAAGATGAAAGTAGTGGGAATGATATTCGATCCAGATATGACCAAATCGTTGATAAAATAGAGAAGAAACTATTGGAAAAGCGAAATGAAAGTATCTCGAACGTTAATGAAAGGAGTCTGTTAATGAAATATCCCGATTGGAATGAGCCCACAATCGCTTACTTGCAAAGCCTTTTTTTAAATTTTTCTAATGAAGAAACTAAATTGGTAGATTTCGAGGGATTGTAAGTTTGTATTGGGGAATATTATTTATTCAAAATGGTGCATTCACTGAACTTTCGCTGCTCTCAGTTTAAAATTTTGTACTGAATTACAATGTTGGTACAATCCAAATTTTACCAGTTTCTTGGGTAAATATAATCAACCCATTTAGTTTAGTTGACCAAAATTTTGGGAAAAATTGACCATTTATAAAAATATATCTTGAACGAAATCTGCGTAAGTTGAGTGAATGGACTCTAGTACTTTATTTTTTTTAGCTCCTGTTTGCTAAAATGCCTGTCTCCAGATTCTGAAGTGAGTGAAAATAAATGCAGAAAATGTTTTTGTCTAGTCGATGCTGATCATGATGGATTTATTGACTATATTGCTTTTCTAGAAGTAAGTTTCATAAAAACAATCATAAGAAATTAAATTGCCAATTAAAGAGTTCGATCTTTTTAGATAATTTACAATTTCGAAAATATCGCAGCGTCCGTTAAAAAGATACCGGAAAAAATCGATTTCATAAACGAATTATCCATCGGCGAACAATTAGAAAACGGGCTATTCTAAACGAAACGCCAAAAATACAGTTTTTTAACAGGTTCAACATTTTATTCCGACTTTGTTTCCAGTCTGAGTACCCTCATTTTCCCCGAATCGACCAGTATGCACGCGGCATCGTTATTACCACCGCAATACTTCGACGACGAAAACACCGTCAAGAGTTTGCCCTTTTGCAACAGCTACAACAATAATCCCATAAAAAAAATCAAAACACAACGAAAGCGATAACCAATCTACCTGAAATCCGGCCACGGCTACCTCGTGAGCCCTGACGAAATGCGTCAGTTGGTTCACCTTCAAAAACTTCTCCAGAGCCTCCACGCTGAACACGTGAGCCGTACCCCTTCTAGTGTTCACCGCGAATCCTTCGTTCGCGAGAAGTTCCACTTGCAGTTTCTCGTCCATGTTTTTCTGCCTGCAATTACCGGCTTACAACAACGCACCCGCCTATCCAGTATCTGTTACCTGACCGGATCGTTCCACATGATCTCCCAAGCCAGTGAGCTCTGCGCGTCCGGCTGGCTCAGGGGCACTGGGATCTCGTTGATGGCCGTTATCACGGGACAAAGCCACGGCGGAGGCACTCCCCCGTGGCAACAAAAAATCTACAAGTAGAGCCAATAACCCGGAGCAATTTAATATATCGGTAACTGCACTCACTTTGCCATCAACTGTTGCAGCGATCGGCATGCAATCGAAAGCGTTGTTCAACGAATTCCAAACTTCCAATCCTAATTTTTCCCCAAATTTGATAGCACATTCCCTAAAAAAAATACTCAAACAACGAATGTAATTATTAACGCCAGTTATAGTCACTTTTGAAAGGTAAACATCTTCTGGATTTCCCTAATCTCGTGGTTGCCCCTCAACATGCAGATTTTCTTGGGGCTCTGCAGCTTGTACGAGAACAAGTACGATATCACCTCGATGCTGTAAGCCCCCCTGTCGACGTAGTCGCCGAGAAAGAGCAACGTGCACGGGCTCAATCCGGGGCCGATGTGCCAGAGGTTCTTCTCGAAGTAGAGCAGATCGGCCACGTTGCCGTGGAAGTCGCCTGAAACGGTCGCGTTCAACGCGTGAGCTCGAGCGCAAATTCAACGCACCCATAATGTAGACGGGCGATCGCAGCTCCATCAGCCTGGGCTCGGCCTTGTACACGTCCTTCACCTGGAACGCCACGTTCATGACGTTGCGCGCGAACTGGGCCGGGTCCAATTGGCCCCAGGTGTAGTTCGAGCCCGGCTGGGACACCTTGTTGATGGAGGTCAGGTAGCGCAGGCCCTTCAGGACTTCGTTGGTGATCGATCGTTGGCTGAAGATGTCCATCGACAAGCGGCGGGCTTGCTCGTTGAGCGGCAATTTCATCGTTTGCAGCGATACCGCATCTGCATATTAAATAATTTCGATTCGAATGCGATGGAAATTGGTTTATTTGAAGCACCTTGGATTTGTCGCAGTTCGTCGATGTTCAACGCTTGACCGCTCCTTTGAATCTTCACTGTATGATGCGCTATTAGATAATTTATGGTTCTTACAACTTGCGACTTTTCACCTAAGAATCAATACATTATATCAAAATCTATTCTGGATCCTTTTGGTGCATTAGAAATTCCTACCAGGTTCAGGTGCGGCGGGAGCGGCAGCAGGAGCTGGGGCAGAAGGGACCCCGGCGACCTTTGGTTTGGCACTAAAAATGGAAATTCGGGTGTTCGAATAGTTAAAATATCAGCGGTACATACGAATCTTTTAAAAATTGGAGGATTCCCGTGGGCGATCTGAACAGAGCGCCGGTTCCGCGAAGCTTCAAATCGGTGACGGCTTTGAGAAAATCGTGTTCAGTTATGGGATTCCCTTCGGGCATGCCCATGGATCTACAACAATTATTTATAGCAAACGAGTGGATTAGATGGGAAGGTAATGGCGAGTAGGCGGCTACTTATAGGACTCGGCAGCTTCTTTCGCGACGGATTGGGGATCCACCGGATTTTTTTTCACTTTCCTCAAATCCGCGATGAGGCTTTTGAAGTCTTCGCCTTTGATTACACCGTCGCGGTCTTTGTCGTAATATCTGTTGAATTTCTGGTTAACGCGAGTTTGCTGGTGAATTTTTTTGGATACCTGAAGATGTATTGGCTTCTAATATCAGCGTACGGGCCGCCGTGCGTCGTTTGCGGATCCACGCCCGCTATAAATACCAGAAATTCCTTAAAAGACAGCCCGCAACGTCTGTTAATGTCGGCCGCACTGGAATTAAAATCGCGCGATTCTAATGAAAATAAAGGGAGATAATCGGAGAGTCTAGTGCTTACAAAAATAGGCTTTGGATGTTGTCTTTACTCCACCCCAAAGCGACTGCAACTTTCGAGAACGGTATTAAGTTCATGTAATAGGCGGGGAATGTTAAGGTTACGAATTCCTTTAATATCATTTCTTGGCCTAAGGATGAATTGGTTACGAAAATGTAGAGTAGGACGGTAACGGAACGCACCCAGCATGTCGATTCCTGCGGCCTCTACCATTTGGGAGTATTCCGATTTACCGGTGGCGAAATTTTCGTCCGTAGTTTCCAGCAGGTTCTGCAGGTACACCACTTCCTTGGCGTGTTCGTAATTGCCCGGCACCATTTCCTGTCGTCCCAAGAAGAAAATCTCGATTAATTCGGGGCTCTTTAAACTGTGACTTTGGAGCAGCTTCGCCAGCTCGTTTTGCCCCACCCAGCGGCACTTTCCTCGATACTGAAACGGTTTCCACGTGGGAGTTTACTTCAAGATGTGCCGGTTTTGCTCACCTTTCCCATGGTGTTCTTCGACTTGCCTTTGGTGTTGTTGTCGACGTTTAATTGGAATATAACGTTGAGCACGTAGGGAACCGTGTGCCAGGAAATCTTCAACTTGGATATTCGCAGGATTTTAATTTCCGCCTTTTGGTCGGGTCCGAATATCTTAAAAGTGATCGACACGTGAAAATCTGACCTAGGATATTGGAGAGAAAATTTAGTACTAACTTCGGAGATTTCTTTCATGGCGGAGTTATTCCATACGCTGCCGATTTCTTCGGTGCATGGGAGCCAAAGCTCGTTGTTGTTTTCGATTAATAGCATGGTGTTGTCCGATTCGGAGAAAACAGCCAAAGATATGACATCTTTGAGGTCGTTGGCCGATTTGAACATAATTTTGAACGAAGGAAAATTGTTAACAAGGCGAATTTTTCGGTTTGTTTGACATGACAAGCCCTTCGACCGTAAGTCAACGAGCAGATTTTGTCATAATGGCGCTTAATTATATTCGTATGTGTTATTAAAGTTATTTTATACAGTGTGTTACACTGTAAAGAAGTATTAGAAATTCGAACTTTTAGTGCAGTTGTAAGGAAAACTTCAATATTTAAGGACCTTTTTTCCTGTTTCCAAATGCTTATATTACATAATTGTGTGCTCACTTGCAGTCTGAGATCTATAGATATGGACATTTTTTATTTTCAATTATGATTTATTAATGTACAGAAAATATACAAATGAACGAAAATCGCTTGGATTCATACAAACTCGTTCAGATAGTTCTCGAATAATATGTTGGACATTTTAACGATGTTACAGCGAACAAAAAGTTATAATTCGGAAAATTATGTAAGGATGTTTAATGCGAGTTACAAAAAGAAAAATTTAGAATTTCTATCATCGATAAACGAGAAATAACGAATCGAGTTTGTATAGATTTAATAGTTTTTTATTCAGTTAATACTTAACCAAATCTGGAAAACGTACGAACTCTAAAAAATTGAAAACCCCATTCGTTTTCCAGACGACAACACATTCCAGACATCCACGAGTTTCTAATAATTTTCTTCTCACCATCCGTAAGATAGAAAACTAATTTTTTCTTTTACGGGTTACAAACTTTAAAAAAAATTCTCTATTTCCAACGAAGAGTAACAGACAATAGTAACGAATTTTAATTATCTACAATCGATTTTTTTCTAGATTTTATATGAATAATTTGACTAATTTCTCCATAGAGTTGTAATTATGAAAAGGCAAGACTTAAAAACCAGATTGATTTCTAGGCAGAAATTTAAAATGCTCAAAATATGAAATATTTGTAAAATTGCTTGTGTTGTAATTAAAAACGAAAGAAAAATTATCAACTGGACATTTTTCGGAAAAATACTTTGATCTTTTTTATGTAACAGTAATAAATAACTCTAATTACAATATATTATCTTAAGCTGGTTGTTTTTAAGAAATAATTAAAAGAACAAAATGTGTTGTCTGGAATGCCGTGAGCCTTATTCGTTTAAAAAAGCATTACAAACCCACTGAAAAAAAATGTACAATTACTACTAATGAAACTAAAAAAATCACTTACATAATTACATGCGATAAAAATTGAAAAGTGTATACTTAAACTTTACATAACTGCGTACTAAATTAGAACTGGTTTATCATTTGGGCTGGCTAATGCTTTTCAAAACAAAGCGCGACTCGCAATCGATAAAAATCATATACTTTTTCATTTTATTTCAGGAAGCAGTGTCATGTCGTTCAAGAATTTTCATGAATTGTGATGGATGCTTTGATTCATAGCGGGCCTGCCCTCTAGTTTACTGTAGTCCAAATAGAATTCTTTAGCTACTTTCCGCCAATTTTGGGCGTCGAAAAAGTAGTAAGTCCCTCTCTCGTAAGTCGATGTCTTTTCTAACAGCACCATACCGGGCACCTGCGTGATCCAGACCTTCTCCTCGGTATGATACCTCCACTCTCGGCTATATCTGAAACACATACACCAATCAAAAATCCGTTCCATTGAGCTCCTCGATTCGGTTATTTACAATTCTGAGGCGGCTGCAATTTGAAGAATATCACCAACGTTATTATAAAACATGAAGAATAACAAGTCGTCTTTATATCGACTCAACTTCATAGAAGCCAGTTTATCCCTAAAAGTTCAAAAAATCATGTTAAAATTCACTACAACAGCAGTAGTTCACAGTAGTTCAATCGAAAGCAAGCTCACAAAGTTTTCGCAATGCTAACAAAGCCTAACACGTTCACTGCCATGGATAAATTAACGTTGTATTATTAGATCATATTTATAAAAAGAAGCATAACCTTTTGCTTTGAAAAAATGAAGGAATTAAAACCAAACCAATTATAGAATTGGCACCATGCTAAAAGGTTTCATGGTTTTAAAACCTTTGTTGAAGGTTCCTGAACTTGGTTAAAGTTGAAGGTTCCTGAAGGTTTGTTCAAGGAATTTTTAACAAAGGGTTTAAAACCTCTTTTTCTTTCTTTTTGCTTCTACCTTTTACTTCAAAGTAAATGCTTCATTTTTATAAATATGGAGTATTGTAAGGATGTAGAATATGGCTCCAGAAGGACGGTTCCTTCTTTTGAGGATCGAGCTTGTCCAAAGGCAGTCAACGTGTTAATAAATCAGAATCCTTTATACCTGATTGCGTGGTTAATAAGATACTCGGGCGGTACGTGATAGTCGATGTCCTGCGGCCGACAGGGGTGCTCCGCCCACGGTCCGGCGAACGTCGGATACAAGTTATCGGGCGAGTTGAGATTCAATCCGAGCGCCGTGAGATCCTGTCCCAGGGCGAGAGACACCAAATTCGGATCGGTCTCCGCCGCCCTGATGAACGTCAAAAGACCTACGATGCCGAACTGGTCGTTCACCATGCTGCCCGGGATGTTCGTCACCCTTCCGTCCGGCGATGTTTGTATACCTACGACGAATAAAACGAGTTTATACGCATGGTATGAGCGACGATTTAAGTGTTAATTACCCGATTTCGAACCGTTCTTTTCGCCCTCCCTCGAACTCGTCCCGTCGCCGGCGCCGCCGCCGGCGATTTTGTCGCCCGACGTGTTGCTGCCGGGCGAGGCGCCTTCCCTGTTCTGCGTGCCCGGCAGCGCGGGGAAGTCCTCCGAGGACATGGTGAACTCGCTGGATTCGGATATAGGCTGCTTCACCATGCCGACGTAGGGCTTCGCGCCGGGCATGGGGCTCGGTTGGGGCACGTTGTCGCCGGAGTTTCGGTTCGTCAGCGAGGGGAACTCGCTGAGGTCCAAGAGAGACGGGGTGTTGGTGTCTCCGGACCCGAACACCGAATTAAAGGAACTGTAACCACCTAATGTGTTCATGTTGCTCAGTTGATTCGAGTTCCTAGAACATAGAAATTTTTACGTTAATCGATATTTAATTTTTAACTGAAGTAAATGTCACATCGTATTGTCTCGAGATTACAATGATGTTTCGGATTATTACTCTTGTCATAATAGAGTGTGTGTAAATTGTTATTTACTTGATTGCATGATTCAACGAAGTAAAAGGCCAGATGATTAAATGAAACCGATTCTTTAAGCTTCGATTAACTCTCCGCACGTTATTAAATTAAAGAATTAATTACAATTATTACTGTTATTTAGAAATAACGTGAGATATTCCAGATTTGGCAGTGATTACATTATTGTTGATTTGCTTATTCTTCAATTCTTGCTAATACAGGATATAAATAGAAAGTGAACAAAAAATTGAGATTTAAATAAAATACCATTTGCGCAGTTTTAGCGTGTAAACATAAAAACTTCTCATTGAAGTAAACATGCTTGATAATTCCAATAGAAATTTGTATTAACGACAAATTTGTGTACTGATACCGTAGCTGCGTAATTATGTTAATAATATTATAATTATATTAAAAACAAAACAAACATAAATGCTATTTCTGCAATAATTAAAAACTTTTAGAAGGTTAAATTGTATTATTTAATTTCGCAAGATAGGATAGACAAACTAACTGACTAATTAACAATTTTAGCGATGAAATCCTGTGGAAACATAAAAATTTCTTAGAAAAGATCGTTAGAAATAGTGTAAAGTCAACAATTTGATCAAAAAAATTAGCGTACCTATTTTTTTAAATTTTATAAAATACATAAGTTAGTACATAGTAGATGAAGTAATAAATTTTTTATTTACCCCACTAAAGGAAGCGTTCTCCTTTCCGAAGGTGTTCTTTGTCCGAAAACTGGAGTAACATGTCCTGACATGGAATTATTACCGAAACTAACAGTTGTTCGTCCGATATTGTTACCTCCAATATTCCTCGTAAAGTTTAAATTCGCCATAGCTATCTTCGATAAAGTAAACTACATTCAAGCATAACGAAATTGACAAAAGGTCGGTTGATTTATTTTCGCAAAATATTTCAAACAGTCCAATGAAATAAAAATGTTTCACGATGACATTGTTTGAAAGGGTAAATCGCACCGGAGAAAATGAACTGCAACTGAGTTGTTTTGATGAGCACGCGATGTTTAAGCCTTTTTCGCCGAAAAATAGTTTAAAATACGCTATCCGCAGAAAATTCGACTGTGGTAAATGTTATTGTCCACCAACAAATCGCCATTAAATATAACTGTCAATGTCGTCAATTGTCATATGTCGTTAGTCTCTCGGACGTCAATTTTTGCTTTTAGGCAATTTTTCGCCACCTAGCTGGATGTCTTGGTTGATAAGAGGCACGTGAATTAAAAGGAAACGTCAAAAGTCAAATTTAAATTAAGATTTCTAACCTCAATTATTGTTTATTTTAAAATAAAAACCGAAAAGTGTGTGTTTATTTTTATATTTTCTAATTTGCAAATTACTGAAATTCTCATTAAAACCATTTCCAATCCAATTATTCAAAAATATATGAATTAAACCACTGAAATTGGTGGGGAGCATGTGTAAAGGAAAAACACCAAATAGTGGAGGTGGAGAGGGATTTTACCGATATAATTATTAACATCTACATACCTATCTCAAATAATTATCTACCAGTTTTGCTATAAATAAGTGCGGTACAACAAATTTCGTTCCATAATCGAAAAAAAATAGTCATGAATCTAACGGGAAGAGCACTACATTATGTATTTAAAATTCCAAACAGGAAGGAATCCATGAGATTCTACAGAGATATTCTGGGAATGAAATTGCTGAGGCACGAAGAATTCGCTGAAGGTTGCGAGGCGACTTGTAATGGGTTCGTAATTAACATTAATTTTTTATTATAATTTAGTTTTGATAATATTTATTTAAAATTATTTATGCTTAAGAATTATCAAAGGAAGTTAAATCAGTTTGATTATTGATTTTTTTATAATTTAATTAGCTATTTACTCAATGTAAATAGTTGATTTTTTTTTCAATGGTTTACGATTGAAATTTTTTACGATTATATTTTACCTCATTCATTATTATTTAAGTAGGTTTGTCTAGATTATTTTAATATCATAGTTATTGATCAGACATTGTTAAGGGGATTTTATATCTATATACATGGAGATAAAGATTTTTATCTTTATACGTGATAAAGATGAATACTATTTTCCCGCTTTTAATTGCTCATTAAATGGGTTAGTTAAGACAATAATCGCCTATTTAATCCTATAACACTAAATATACAGTCTGGAAGTGAATTAATTACTGTTTGTCACAACCTGCAGTATATTATGATTAATAAGATTATTTTCCGAACTTACACAATTCATCCGTAGAACAATTAAGTTCATCATTGTTTACCTGACCTTGGAATATTTGCATTATTTACATTCCAATGATTTGAGTAACAACATGGAAAGGTTCTAACTGATAGGATTTTTTTACAGGCCTTACGATGGTAGATGGAGCAAAACCATGGTGGGTTACGGTCCGGAGGACAACCACTTCGTAATAGAATTGACCTACAATTACGGCATAACGTCCTACGAAAAAGGAAACGATTTCGAAAAGATAACCATCAAGAGCAAAGAGGCCTTGGAAAGGGCGAAACAGCACAACTGGCCCGTCAGTTTCGATAACATCCTAGTAGCACCCGGTGGTTACAAATTTCAAATAATCAATGAATCTCAACCGAACGATACCGGTAATAATCCATACGATTGTAGCGTGTATAGTTTAATAATTGTTTCGCTTTGTAGATCCTCTTCAGTCAGTTACATTGAATTCGTCGAACCTGAAAAATTCAATCGACTATTGGAATGGGATATTGGGATTAAAAATCTTCCAGCAATCTGATAAAACCGTTTTGCTTGGTTTCAAAGAAAACGAAGCTAAATTAGAGCTAGTGGACATTGGTGAGTGAAATAAAGCAAGATAATAAATTATTATTACAAACTGGTAATTTTTAGGTAAACCTCTCGATCGTGGACAAGCGTACGGACGTATAGCGTTCTCCATTCCATTTGCCGAACAGGACCCGTTGGCTAAGCTTATCGAAGAGAAGAATGCTAAAATATTGACGCCTCTGACGGTGTTACCCACTCCTGGAAAGGCTGACGTGTGTGTCATTATTTTAGCGGATCCCGATAGCCATGAGATATGCTTTGTTAACGATGAGGGCTACAGAGAATTGTCCCAACCGGATTACGCAAGCGAAAAAGTGCTGGAAATTCAAATGAAGAAAGATAATTATGACACGTCGAGCTAAATGTTTTTAAATTGTTATCATTTTTCGGATTTTATGTTTTACATTAAATGTTTAATTAGAAATGTTTTTGAATAGAATTTTTGAAATCCGGCCCTGGTAGGAATGCGAGTATTTCCATATTTGGTCAAAGGATGGCGATTTTTTGACAATTATGACATTTTGACATTGACGCAAGATTAGACATTGACAAATGGTGATATCAAAGTTTTGTTTTTATTGTTAAAGTAGGTTATTAAAAAAAGCTAACTAATTAGTTAATTGGTTCATTTTTACGCTTAGTTTAAGTTGATACGCCTAATTAATCGCCATAGCCATGGACGATCATCTCGGTGAGTAAAAGCTTTTATTAATCAATACATAACCTAATTCTTAGGTGGTGCAGTTTGTTATTGAAGGAAATCAGTTGTTGTTTCTAAAATAGAATCAAACCAAAGTAATTTCGGATGTTTATTGCTCTCTACTACAGTCGTTAGTCTCTCAGAATCACTTATTTTTAGTTTTTACGCTGATTGATGTCGTAACAATTATACAAACATATTTATGTTTCGCTCTAGCAAGGTGTGTAGTTTTAATGAAATAATATTTTTTTCAATGGCTACAGGCTATATTTACTTTTATTAATTGATAACACCTGCTCACACAATCGATTTGGTTTGAAATATTTTTAAATTGAAGCAAATTTTAACTTTTTGATGGGTAATCAAGTAGGAGCAGCTTATTTTATAATAGCGTAAATTTATTATAATAAGGAGGAGTGGCATTTATAAAGTAAAATCTCTTATTCTATAAGGTATTCGAGATTTTATAAGAAACCTGTAAAAATTGGAAGGAGAAAGCAGAATTAATTAACATTAAGAACTACAAAATCTTCTTTAATTTATATCTTATCAAGTAACATCATGCCTTTTTGTTATTGAAGTATTTATAACGCACTTATGTTGTTTGTTATTAACCTTTCACACCAATGTTGTTTCCATTTAAACTCGTTTAACCAAGCAAATATTTAATATTTATTACTTCACAACATGCAGGCAAAATGAATGTATTTTACCATTTTACCACATTTTGTGCACGTTTAACCAATAAATGTTTAGAAAACATTTCATTGTAATGTTGTAAATGTTGTATTGTGTGATTTTTACTTACATCTTGTAAGTATTCTAACTATTCAGATTTGAAAAAAATGTGGTTCCTTATAAGAGTTTTTCAAATTTGTGCTAAGAGTTCTGATAAGTTTGAGGCTAACAATTGTTGCTTCACTTTAGCTTATTACAACATGTCTCATATATACAGTATTGACCGATTAATGCGTTTAAAACTTGTTTTATTAACTTGACATTGGTAGTCGTTTGCCATCCAATTACTTCCAAAAACGAATCTAACACTTTCGTTTCGATGTTCACCTTGTATTGCTCATTGTTGGATAAATATCTCGTAAAATCGTGAGTCAAGTTTGATTTATCTGGGATCCATTATAGCAGTAATTCCTCGATTTAGCGAGATCACTTGAACGAAACAACCAAGCGTACCCCACACGGTTGGTGCTCAGCTTCGACCGAGCGAATTTGTTAGTTTCGATTTTTGTTTTTATGTTTTATACACACTATTGTGGGATCTTTCTAAATCTGTCGACGGCGAGAGTGCGCGCTGGCTGTTTTCACCGCGACAATTTCGAAAAATAAAAATACGACATGTAACTGTTAGGTGAATCGTTTTCGAATAAGTTTGAAAGAAGTGCTAGCGTGCGTTTTTGCATTTTCGATCACGTGGTTTCGTGCATTTGATCGTCGATTGGCCAAATTTTTGGGTGACGTCGCTATTTTGATTTATCGGCACCGGTCGGTGTTTTTTTTTCGCAATGGATCGGTCGATGTACGGGAAGTTCACCCCAGGGTCTTTGAAACCCTACCAATGCTCGATAAAAAGAGGGACTTCTCCTGGTTGTAAGTACATGCTTTTATGATCCAATAATTGTTTCATGTACTTATTTCATACACTTTTATACCTGAAAGCTGAAGAAGTCTAAGAGGATTCAGTTCTTCAACATTAATTCACTATAAATGCTTTAAAAGTTTTATTATTTCGCTACTAAATTGTCCATATTCTATCCCGCAAATTGTTTTTATGTAAAGTGTTATAAGTTGCTCATTTAGAAGGCAAATGGGTAATTCAGTTTATTCACATTTAAATTTATAATTAACACGTTATTAACCCTACCAATCCTCGTTAAAAAGAGGTACTTATCCTGGTTGTAAGTACATACTTCTAATCAAATAATTGTTTCATGTACTTAGATATTTCAAGAGAAGATTACGTTCCTCAACATTGATTGACTATAAAATGCTTTAAAAGTTTTATTATTTCACTGTAAATTGTCCGTATAATCTCCCGTAAATTGTTTGTATGTAAAACAAAAATTGCTCATTTAGAAGGCAAATAGGTAATACGATTTATCCACATTTGAATTTATAATTTACACGTTATTAACTCCAAACGTGCCGCGTCGATTTTTTAAATATCTTTGGAATGACTTAAGTTCCATTTATAAATAAAATCGAGCAGTAAAAATAAATTTATATGGAAATGTCGTACAAATCAATTTAATGTATTTAATCGACTGGTGTTTAATTCAATTTAGAAATAGAGAACGCGAGAAATTTTCAATCGATTCGGCTTTATGCTTTATGTTAGTTGGCTTGATTTTGCGCGGTTTCAAAAAAGATTTATGAACTTCCTATGCCAAATACACAACATAATACAAGTACTTATGTGCAGACGTTGTAATGCTAGTTAATGATCTCTACCTTTTACGTTTATTTCCAGTATTTTGTAATTTATTGTGCTTCCTTCTTAACTTTTACTTATTGTACGAACGGATTTACTAAAATAGAGTACAACATCCTGTTGTGTTATTAAGACACCGTTAGTCAGTTGTCACATTTTCGTAAGTTATGTGAAAAATCTCCGGTTAAAAATAAACGCTGTAAACATTTTTTTGCTCTGTTAATCTGTTTGTAAATAGAACGTTTACCTACGTAATTAGTCTGTGTGTAGTTTTGTATTTAATGACATTTTTTGTTGAAAAAGTGCGCTAATACTAGTGAAATATTATTAACCCTCTGGCGAGGGAAATTACGGAACCATCCTCGTATATTAAGCGAAAATCTCTTACTCAACAGGTGAAGGAAGTGGATTAAAACGGCGCAAGAAAATCCCGATTTACGTAGTGGAAAACCACCACGAGGTGGTACCCTTCTTGCACAGAAACATCGGATCTAAACGTTTGCCCATGGAAGGTTCCACCTTCGTCCATTTCGACTCCCATCCGGACATGCTTATACCCCTAGAGATGCCGGCGAACTCCGTTTTCGACAAGGAAAAATTGTACCAGAGCATCAGCATCGAAAATTGGCTGATGCCCCTGGTGTACGCCGGCCATTTCGGTCGCGTCGTTTGGATCAAACCGCCTTGGTCTCGACAGATCCAAGACGGCAGCCAAACGTTCCACATCGGCAGAGACAAGCACACGGACGAGATTAGATTAGATTGCAAGGAGAATTATTTCGTATCTGAATGCTTGTACGAGCGTAAAGAGAACATGGATTGCGTAAAGACTGCAAATTTAGATGTTTTAACGTTGGGAAACGCTATTGGCGGTGATGTAGATGATGCCAGCGGAATTATAAGCTTGCTAGGAAATTCGGATGTACCTTTTGTGTTAGATATCGATTTGGATTTCTTCAGTACAGGCAATCCTTTTAAGAGAATATACGAGAAAGCTGAGCTCTACAACAAACTTAAAGATATTTACTTCTTCAACGCCCCGAGTCTTCCAGCCGAAGATAATGTTATGATCGAAGCTACCGAAACCAGGAAGCGGCAGATTTCCACGCTCCGTTCGTTGTTCGAGCACCTGGAAAAGCACCGGCGCATGCCGGAATGCGAAACCGATTCCGATCTGTGGAACAAAGTGGACGCCCTAAGGAAATGCGTCTTGGACCATTACGACGACAAGGACGTGGATTGGACGCTAATCCACGACGCCGGTTGCACTTGCGACGAATCCGAATTGCCCGATCACGTTTCCACGCCGGAGGAACTGGAAATTATGTTCGGCGCGTTCCGGGCGTTCGTGGAAAGCGTCCCGAGCGTTCCCACGTTGATCACCGTTTCGAGGTCCTGCGAGGACGATTACACGCCGTTCGAAAACGTGGAATTGATACAGGAGACCGTGCTGAGTTGTCTCGCGAGCAAATTCGATTGCGACGAACCCGTCTTGGACTATTTAGATAATATCACCGATTAATAAACGATACTTTGTTATAGAATTGCATTCCATATTCCAGTCGCTTTATAGTGGCTTTTGAACTGCCTGTACTTTTTATGTCGTTATTTATAAATTACGTATTAAATTAAACGAATTAACCGAACGAGAAAATTGTTTTTAATCCCAATTGCTTCCACCCACGTGGCTCGATTTCGTCACGGATTTTCAACGAAGGATCGGAAAAACTATCGCGCGCAGTGACGCGATTTCGCTTTATTTACCAACACATTTAAGTACATTCGGTCGAATTATCTCCGCGGTGAAACGAATCGACGTTCAATCAATTAACATAGAATTAATACGAAAAGAAACGGCCCGTGGGAGTGCATCCTTGATCGAATGCTTTTTGGGAAACTCGTGTTCCTTCTTGTGTAAGTACGCACACACAAACACACCGCCAGTCGTGAACTTTTCTGCATTATTCATGCACCTGTTCGGTCAGCTGTGTTATATTAACTGCGTAACGAGTTGCATTTGCGAAGTTACGTTATTAATGAGTTGCGTGGAAATTATAGCATTTTAATTACGGCTAGAAAGTTACACCAATATCGATAGAAGTTTAATTAGTTCGGGCTCGTGAAAGTTACTCTCGTGCCGAAAACTCTGTTCACCTGTATACAATTTACGTAACGCTAAGGTGAAGTATAGTCGAATTCCCGCGAAGATCTATTTTTAAAATCCGCATCGGCCGACAAAACTCGCCAAAAATCCCAGCAGGAACGGTTTAGTCATAGCCGGGATCTTCCGAACGATTCGTTTTATTTACCCGTTATCAATTCGCCGATCCTGTCGCGTGTGACGGGCGCCGCGACGGTGGTGCCGAGTGAATCCCCCGAGAGTCGAGAAAAGAATCGAAAGATGAGCACTAAGGCGCGCATGCGTACGCCGTCGCCTAAAACCGTGACTTTCGATCCATCGCCGCCCACGACGTTGGAGCGGAAACCCAGGAAATGGGCGTTTAAGAACCGCTCCGAGTGGGAAAGATACCTCGGTAAGTTAGAGGGTTCTTAAGGAAAACTCTAAAAGCACCGCTGTTACTGAGGAAACCACTAATACTTCAAAATGAACGCTTTTTATCCGAAGAAATATCAAATCTTCTCAGTAACATGTCCTTAACTCTTCAAATAATAAGCAAATGAAACCTTACTTATCTTTAGAAATACCCTGTTTTGCATCATATGTCAAATTTTGCTGCAAGGAAGTATTAAAGAACGAGTTCATGGAGGATATTTTATTTATTTCAGATGCTCTTTTGGCCGATTTGCAGAACACCGTTTCGGGTTCCTCTGGAGTAGGATCGAATTATTCGGGTTATGGGCAAAGAGGTGTGAGATATTCGCCCGATAGCGAGAGTCACATTTCTAAAGCTGAGAGCTATGTCTCCAAGTCGGTAAGTTTCTGTGTAATTGTTATTTTTATTGAGTTCATTTTCCGTTTCTCCATATTTTTTTGGTTCGCAATAACATTGAATTATCGAATTAGTGGTTGTATTTTTTTGGTTTTGGTTCATTTGTGTTGTCGACATCTATCGTTCCGTTCATTGAAACATTTCGGATATAATTTTGAAAATACGATAGAAAATTTTAGTGCGTATTTTATATTTATAGAATGCTTTCGATAGAAATCGCTAGAGATCGCGATGAGGTTCAGCTTGCATTTTGCCAATGAGTTCGTGTTTTGAATTCTTTTTTTTTATAATTTTTTCGTCGGCTTTTCGAATTTTAATTTTTTGAATAATTAAAAAAAATTATATTTTCTTCAGCTGTGATTTCACATTAATATTTTTATGAATGATCCATCTGGAACATTTTTAAAAATAACTCCGTTTCTAAACAGAACTTACGTAATAATCACAAACGCAATAAAATGTAACAAATTTTTCTCGAAAAAACCCAAAAAATTCGCAATTACAGCATTGTTCGATCCGCTCGCAATTGCATCGATAATTTTTTGCGGCAACCTGTTGAAGTTCATCAACAGGTGCCTCGAATCTGGTTGTTATACCTTTTATTCGGAAAATTTTCGAACGCCGCATCGTTAAAAATACCGCCGAGAATCCGTAACGGAAAACATAAAAATATTCGCATCACGAAAATAGATGGCAAAGTCGTTTCCAATCCACCTACGTTGATGTTTTTACTGATACTCGTAAAGATAATATCTAAACGACTAAAATTAAAGAACAACCGTGCGCAAAAAAGTGTCAATTACGCGGATAATTATCCAAGAAATTGTCTTTTGTAAAATACTTTCATTGCAAATGCGTCACGTTTTTCGATATTTATTTGTTGATTATTTTTAAAATATTTTTGTGATATCGAATTCTTTGATATTAATCTTTCTTATCTTCTTTGATCTTTAAATTTTCACTTTAATCTGTCTTGATAATAAACTTGATATTTATTTAATGAAAAAAATTTATTAGACATTTTTTTAGTACCTACAAATCGGTGTTGCCAAATTCGTGAAAAAGTAATTGTGTCAATGATAATTAGAGGTCACGCATTTTAATTTTCTTTGATTATTATTATTCGTCTCATTAAAATCTAGTCAAATGTTGCCAAATCCAGACTCCAAACAATTTCAATGGCAACTGAAGGCTACGTTATTTTATTTTAAGTATTACAATTTAATACTAGAAACTAGACTGTCCTTTTTCTTATTTTATCGCCGACTTTCCATTCGCACCTAGCGCATATTTATCGCCACAGCTGGCCCGATTTTTCCGAACCTTCGATTTCGAAATTTCCGAAATTTTCGAAGTCGAAAAATTCGTGCCGAGCGCACCTCTCGCCCAATCCCGCTCGATCGACTCCTCTCTCTCCCTTCCTCCTTCGTCGCAGCGCCGCTCGTCTCCCTCTCGCCGACGTCTTTTTTCAATTCTAATATAATAACATAAACGCGTCTTTTAGCGATTTGCGAAAAGCCGTTCGCTCCAAATACGGATTGACCAAACACCGCTCGAGAACAGAATAGAACATACAAATGCGTGTGGAGCTTCGGGTTATTTTCGGTAACGTCGAAAATAATTCAATTGATACCGGATTTTCCGAACGGGCGGTATCGATAATCGTTTTGGATGTTCGATTGGGCAATTGTTGCGTCCGGAACTCGGCCCGGGGACGGCCACTTGTTGGCTGTTTGGTTAACAGGTGGTTGGTTGTTTGCACGAAAACGTCTGTTATTGCGATGCAAATTGTAACCAAAGAGTGAAATTTTAATATGCGATTTCCACTTTCCTATGCTTGGAACACTAAAGGACTTTCTGGTTGAATCGCGGAGGCTTTCCAATTACCCATCAAGTTTATAAAAAAAATCTTAGAATATAAAAGGTTGATTCAATTAGTTCAAGCATATTCAATCAATTTATCTTTATTGGATTTATTAACATCACTACCTACATGTACACACTTGTTTGAGAACAAATAAATTCCCATTGGAAATAGTGTTAATAAAACTTTTGGTTTATAAAATTTATAAGCAACAGATCTACATTATAAATATCCAGTTTTATGAGATGATTACAATTCGGATGTATGTATAAATTTTCGTCATTAACGCGTGGCTAACATTAAATTTTTAATCTTAACATGTGTATGTATCTTAATTTGAGATCCTTCTATTTTTGCTCAAGGATAGTCCTTTTCAACGGTCCACTAGTAAATAGAAAACGCCCTGTATATCTCTATAACTATGTAAATCTGATTCAATTTCGTTAAATTTAGCAAGTAAATCATAAGGTTACCAACCGGAAATTGTATTTCAGCGAGCATTTCCTGGAATCTCTTGCATATTTGAAAATTCGTTATCGAATTTTTACGAGTAAATAAGATTATGCGGTTTTGCAAAAGTCTGGTGACGCATTTTTTTCGAAATATCGATCTTCAATATCACCTCAACAACACGAAAAAGTAGATAGACGAAATAATACGTTTTGAATCGGCTTCGGTTCGTTGTAATTTTTTTTTCGCGATCATCAGTTGACGAATTTTTCGAAACCGCAATTTCCGTTTCCCGTTGCAGGGAAACTACGGCAAGGTGTCCTCTAATTCGGGCAGTAGAAGCCCCAGTTACGGTATGAGCGGCAGCGGCACTCACACGGGCCCCACGTCTACGCATTCGACGATGGAAAGGAGACCCTTTAACAATAATCTGGACGAGCTGGATTCGCTGCTGCTGGACCTTAGCAACAGCAGGCACAATGCATCTTCCGGTAGGTGTATATACTGTCGATTTTTGGCGAAAAATTCTGGAATAAGGTGATTTGTTTGCAGAAAACATGAATGGGTCTGCGAGTCCTTACAATGGATCTCTTCATGATTCTTTAACCCCTCGTAGTCCTTCTAATTATTCGAAGCCGTCGAGTGCCCAAAGTACTTTAAATAGACCTACAGTCGATAGTTTATTGGAAGAACTCAACGCTGGGTAAGTGAAAATTACCAGTTAAAAATATATCTGTATGTTTGTTTATACCTTTTGTAACATCGTGCTTAAATAGAACATCTGGACAATGACGAGCTAATTGGACAATGTCATTCATTATTTGTTGTTGGCAAAGGCGTCTATTTTTTTATTTTTTTTTTTTTTGTAGAATGGGCAAGTCAGATTTTTTTTGGCAATTAATTGTATTCGTGTTCATCAATTTCAATACATCTTAACGAGGATTCTCATTTAAATTTGTTTTCGGGGCAATTAATTTCCCGAAAACTGTTTAAAATATTTGGAAACAAATGAAATTTAAAATGCTACTGTAAATTATTACGTTTTGAAATTAGAGTATTATTTAAAATGTATTTTATGTCCATGCCAAATCCCTTCGAGCTAAAAAGTTTGTTTTCATTTGAGCATTATTTTCATTCTAAATGCACATTAAATAATGTATATTTACATATGTTTTCATTCGACTGTAATTTCGAATGCAACTCTGGCAAAAATCGCGCATAATACGCGATGCTGCATTAGAGCGATTAATCGAACCAAATTATTTTCAACGAATTGCATTTTAATGTGTTTTTTTTTTGATTTCGCTAAAAATATACAAATTGGCTTTCGGCTTAAATACACGTTTATCGGTTTCCATAAAACGTGTCAAGGATTGAGAAACTAAACGTAAAGGTTATTCGTTAGTTTTTATATTTTATATATAGAACGATCCGGTATATGACTCACGATATTTTGATTCTCCGATAAACTGGAGCGCTGCAAGAAAAGAAAACAATTAAATGTTATAATAGTTGGTAAATTTTCAAATTAAAACCTACAGTATAAAAAAATAACACAGATTACACCTATGTATTAGATAACTTAATATAAACTAGTTTAAATTTAAACGCTGCAAAAATCATGTTCTATTATCACCAGATGTTTCGAGAAAAATATATGTAGTTGACTTGAAACTCCTGTAAATTTTCCTCTTTGATCAACACGATGTACAAGATGTCCCGCATAAGAACCGACACAGGGGACAGAGTTTATTTTATAAGTACTTTGTACTTTAGGTTCTTATAAGTAAATATTTACATTATTTTAGGGAACAAATTTACACTGGTCCTAAGAAGGTGGTGATAACCGTGAAGGAAACCAAAACCGAAACAGGTTTTCCTGGGGACACTGACTTGGTTTCATCGCACGTAACCCAAACGGCTGCTTCTACAGCAACTAGAGAATTGGACGATTTGATGGCCAGTCTCTCCAATATTAAAGTAAGATTTCATATAAAATTAATTCCTTCGAATTTTTCAACGATTACAAAATGATTATTAAGAGCTGTGGTTTAGTATGTGGTTAGTTAAGTAATAGGGCGTGGAAAAATTGCATTTGAAAATTGTCCGTTTGAAATCCAGGGTGCTGAGCAGACCGGAATGACGGAGGACATTTTCATCGAAGAGAGAATTACCGAGGTTTGTCCAACAATATTTATGCCAGAAAGTTGGAAATTAACATCATTAAAATATTTTTTTGGAATGAGGACTTTTTGTACCTATTTTTTCCATTAAAAAGTATACAAAATCGGAATTCCAACTTGTTGAAGATTGGTTTATTTTGGGCAATTTACATTCAAAATATTTGAGTAAGAGATTAGATTATACTTAAATTTGTTTTGGTGCTATAAGGGAAACATATTTATCTTTTTGTAGTATAAAGAGTCCTTTGTCCAAAATTATTAACTTTCTAAACTACCGTATATTAATAAATATATGTAAATATGTTACAAATTAAAAATTAAGGCGATTAATCTGTTCAAAAGGTTCTTAAGGTAAGTAATAAATGTTAAATGTGTACAGGCTCTACTGCAATAACTTTAACACATCGAAATAACATTTGTTTATATGTAAAAACTTTGTATGTCATGGAAAAAAACTTATCCAGAAAACAAGAGAGGTTTCTTATTGAAAGTAACTTAGATTTCTTATGGAAAGTTACTTAATGTGATATACCAACAATAAACGTTTTAAACAGAAATAGTGCTCCTGTAAAACTATCGGAGCATGTTACAAATCGTCTGTTTATTTTACGTCGAAGAGACAAAATTAGATTTTCCGCATTTATTCGAGCGCTTTTCGCGGTTCGTTGGGCGCATTTGGAATAAACTTAATTTCCACTGCGATACGTATCTAACATACAAACGCAGGTAATCCATAATTTTAATAACCCAAGATTTCGCTCCGCGTCGGGACCCGTCCTATTATAATTTGTGACATAATTCGAATATTTAAGACGTTCCCGAAATAACGCGACTTATTTACCCGAAACTCGACCGCGCTCGTCCGTCTCTCTCGCAAGGCACGAGCGCGACGGGGACGGAAAATCGAACGTAAACTGTTCCATGACCCTGTGCGAAAAAAAGTGTCCAGGCGCGCATCCAGGATAATAAACGCGCAGAGGAGGCGAGATGAAGGGTAGGGATAGACGTGGGACTTACTTAACTTTGTCGAGAAATAAAACAAGCTGGCTTCACTTTGATAATATTCATCGACTGCGGCGGCGGTTAGTTACTAAACTACTATAATATCATACACTTTCGTAAAATCGCATCGTCGTCGCGTTCTAATTTTCTTTGGTAACCTTTTGTAGGTAAACCAAGGGCCGCAACACCAGACCGTCACCGATCACCAGTACGCCAAACCCATCAAGGCCACACGGACGCAGAGCGCCCCGCCGAAGCAGAACTTGGATTCGATGCTAGGCAACCTACAGGCGGACATGAGCCGACAGGGAGTCAACACCAGCCAGAAGGGCTGCTGCAACGCCTGCGACAAGCCGATCGTCGGCCAGGTGATCACGGCGCTGGGCAAGACGTGGCACCCGGAGCACTTCACCTGCGCCCATTGCAGCCAGGAATTGGGCACGAGGAACTTCTTCGAGCGCGAGGGCAAGCCGTACTGCGAGCCCGACTACCACAACCTCTTCAGTCCCAGATGCGCCTACTGCAACGGGCCTATTCTAGACGTACGACGCCTCGCACCGAACGCTCCGGCGGCTAATTTAAACGTTTGTTTGTTTCTTTAGAAATGCGTGACGGCTTTGGAGAAGACCTGGCACATGGATCACTTCTTCTGCGCCCAATGCGGCAAGCAATTCGGCGAGGAAGGGTTCCATGAGCGCGAAGGGAAGCCGTACTGTCGCGACGATTACTTCGACATGTTCGCGCCCAAGTGCGGGGCTTGCAATCGCGCCATCATGGAGAATTACATTTCCGCTTTGAACGCCCAATGGCATCCGGATTGCTTCGTTTGCCGAGTAAGTACAGCGCAATGAACGATGGTAGTTTGTTGCTGCAGGTTTTGAAAAATACGTTGTTGTAAAATTTGGATTACTAGGATTGCAAGTTGCCGGTACAAGGAAAGTCCTTTTACGCTGTGGAAGGTAAGCCAGTATGCCCGGGATGTATCGGAGCCGACGAGGAAGAGGACGAGTAGACCCCTCCGACTTTATGCCCTCTTCTATCTCTCAATTTATGCCCTCCTTGACCCAATGAACATACACAAAGCCACCCCGAATTTTATTGTATAAAGTATACGTAATGGTATATCGTTTGTATTTTATTTTAATAAAATAGATTTAAAAAAAAAGTAAATAAACAAAAAACAAATAAAAACACAAAAACACGTACAAAATGCGAAAGAAAGCGACCACGACGGGGCGATTTTACATTTTTTTTTCAAACGCACAAGCTCGCGTTGTACGGTTTATTTTCGGACGCGCCGGCGTTCGGATCATTTATTTTTAAAAAAACGAATCGGATCCCGCTCAGCTCGCGGTCGCTTTCGGGGTTTCTAACACGAACCAGAAGCCGTAAACGCGTGCATTATCGTACGCAACTCGAAGTAAATTGTACTTCGAGGCGAATATCTAACCGGGAGATATCCCGACAAGTAGGCTTTACTTCGAGTTGTGTACATTTAAATCAAAACAGTCATGAAAAAAGTTGGTAGGGCGCGTTGAACAAGGAACTTTTTGTTAGGGCGAGCCATCGAGCTGTCCATCATTGTACAATACATCTGATGAATGGATGTCATAACTTGATGTGTCGAATTTTCCTCAAAATTTAGGTTCCTCTCGTCGAGATATAGAAGATGGTAGAAAAAAACCTCCCACTGAATAATTTAATAATTCGACACATCAAATTATGGCATCTATCCACAGATATGTTGTTAATGAAGTAATGAGACAAAACAACCTTTAATATACTAAATAAATCTACATACTTTATACATTAAAATTCAAAAAAAGTATCCAAACAAACAATTTTTCTATCTAGAAATAAAGACTTATTACTCAAGTCTAGTCCCTTTACAGGCGGCCTAAACATACTCGTATACAGCCTTGAAAACCCCTCATAGAATCCAATGCAGTTTGCTAAATCTGCCCTGCCTTGTTTTAGGATTGCAGACAGCCATTCATAGGGGGTTCGTTCTTCGACCACGAGGGCCAGCCGTACTGCGAGACCCACTATCATCTGAAGAGGGGCTCGTTGTGCGCGGGATGCCACAAGCCCATATCGGGCCGGTGCGTGACGGCCATGTTCAGGAAATTCCATCCCGAGCACTTCGTGTGCGCCTTCTGCCTCAAGCAGTTGAACAAAGGCACGTTTAAGGAGCAAAACGACAAGCCCTACTGTCACAATTGCTTCGATAAATTGTTCGGTTAGAACAATGGGAGTTTGCGATGTTGAAATTTCGATTGCGTTGATTAAAAAGGTTCTGCAATTGCTATAAGACTACATACAATAATTTCGTTGCAGCAACGTTAATCGGAGATGGCTAATTATTTTGTCAATTTGTACTTCTCGAAGATTATTTTAAGTATTTGGTGCAATTAAATGTCTTCCATTCGAGCCTACTGTGTAACTAAATGTATCGAAATTTTGGCATCGTGAATTGTTAGTTCACGCTAGAGGTAAAAATAAATTGAACAAATTACTCGAATTTTCTGAATTTAGACTAAACATGATTCAATAAGTGCCATTATGAAAAATTAATATATCGGAGAAATAGAGGTGCATTTTATTCTTACTTCTAGCATGAAGAGTGCTATAAATGTTTTTATCATTCATTTACGTATGTATTTTGCTTTAATGTTTTGTTTTGCTTTTTAAATACTAGAAATTCGTGTTAGTCTTTTTCAGAATTTCTAGCAAATAATCGATTCGCATTTACATATTATAACATGATTTTTTTTTAATTTTACTAGTCTGGGTGTTAGGATGATGGACGAATTACATGAAAAAAATTTACTAATTTCGAAAATAACGTTTATTTTTATTATATTTTGTTTTGATTAATTTTAAGCGCAACTTTTATTTTGTTTTTTTTTATTATGTTGTATTTTGTTTGAAATGTTTAACTGTGATAGGCTAGGCACAAAAAACGTTTACTTAATTAACGAAAGCAATTAAGTATCTATACTTTATTCATTAAGAAAATGAGAGACATAAATCAGTATATTATATGAATTATATCCAATCTTGCCACGTGAAAATAAAAGTTTTTATTTAGTCATGTGCAATAGGAGTTCCACTCGAAGGAATAAACTTTACGGCTCGAAAAATGTCTAGGTGGCGCCACTTTGTAAAAGCTTTAGAAGCTGTTTGAAAAAATTTAATTTACTGATTTAACTAAAGTACTTTTATGTCACTAAAATAATATTAATTTCATACATTTCAGTTTCAATCAACTGCTATACAAATGTGACAGCTAATTTTATGCTCCGCATAACACAGGCTATTTTGTTATTGAATTAAATAATTTATTGATCGAAGCTCGTCTGCCATATTTCCATTATACGTATTTCATTCGTTAATTCGCACATTTTAATAGAAACTTTAATATGTCTTAGGTATTTTTCTAACCTGTTGATTCATTTATTGGACGTCGTCAATTTAAGATTTACTTGTACGAGTACTTAAATGGGTAAATAAACAGTAAAATTTTACACAGTGTTTCTTTGAGTGCTTTAATTTTATTTAGCGTTTATATTATATTGTAAACTATTAGTTCAGTGAACCGTTGAAAGCGGATTATTCTGTTTATTTTAGCATATTTTTTTCGGGGAAACAGTAACTATAACTTGAACAGTTTTTTTTGTATTTCCAAGAAGTTCCATACGAAAAAATCGCATAATTTTGCAATCAAGTCGCAATCGCAAACAATTTAAATTCAATCAATCTGTATAATGTCAGCCACAATACCCATAAAATAAGGTTTTCCGGATAATTGCCTTTAAATAAGCCCATATTAAGGAATTTTCGGAACGGTAGGGTAGGCAATTTTGGGAACGAACAGGTAGCTTCTAATGATCTCATAATAGGACGACAATTCACTAAAATGCAATTACAAATCGTTAAGGCTCTTTTAATTGTGTTCGATGTCCGGGGGGATTTTTGGATTACCAACCCTCAGTCGAATACATTCGGGCGATGCGAATAGTAATCGCAAGTTAGTGTGCATTGGAAGTTTGTTTAATTCGTTTTACATGTGAGAAGTTCTAGAAGAAAAAAAATCATGTTGAGAGACTTTGTGAAGCAAAATTGTTGTGTGTGTGTTAAAAAAGAAGTTAAGGATAATCCTCCAACAGAAGATATCAATGAAGGTAAGTTTAGTTTTAACATTTTTATAGAAAATATGGGCAATTTGAATATAAATTTCCCAAACTAGGAAGGTTGGACTATCAGTTGGACAATAGTTTGAACTACCTAACAGTAACTCCTTTTTTCCTTGTTTTATTTATTCATATTTAACGTGCATTAGCATATCGTTACGAATCCATATATTCGCGACCACGCGAATTCTTGCAAGTCGATTTTTTCGATAACTGTAGCGCAAATAAGGCAAGTGACATGGCCTAACGTGGGCTGAACGAGTTTACCTGTTCATTTCGAAAAGATCAAAATTAGCGTATAAACAGGTTTAAAGAGATCGGCATCTTTCGAGAAGCTTCGCCAATTAAACCTTAATTGAACATGTGCGTATGAATAAAACGTAAAGATGGGATATCTTATTTTTGTGCGGTTATTGTATCGAAAAATGCGCAACCACAAAATCAGTTATTGTGGTTTCTATGAGTCGCATTTCTTTGGAAAATCTCCTACTTACACTCTCTCTAGCTTAGTCTTGGAAGTCCCCTTTTATGATGTTCTCGGAACATTCAAATTCCAGGCCGGTTTTCGTTATTTTTTCCTATAATCCGCATTTTACGTGCATGATTAAATTTTATAGGCGATTGGAAGGGATTCAGGTCGAATCCTTTCTTTTGTATAGGGTTGTTAATCGCCTCTATCGCCTTTATTTTATACAATACTGCTTAAAAACCCAAAGACAGTAATTAAAAAAGTTACCGAAAGGGTTTTGTGCTTCTTTAGTTTGATATAGTTAGCCTTGCATGTCAAAATTGACAGTTTGCACAGCAATGCCATAAATTTAAGTAGAAATTTTGGTTTAATTGGTGAATTGATGGCACAAATAATTGAAATCCTTAATTTATTTTGAAATTGTGGACACACTTGAGTGCATACGAAACGCTACTTTGCATACGTTATTTGCAAAGAATGTGGATGTGGATACATGTAGAAGATTAATATGGTTGGCCTTGGATGTCAAAATTGATAGATGCCAAAAATGACACTTCTACAACATGAGCACATAAGTATTTAAAGCAGAAATTTTAATTAGTTAATTCATTTTAAATTTCATTGTTATTCACAAGTTATGGACGCAACCGAGCGTATAACACGTTATCCTTTCGTTTGTCCACCTTTAGCAACGTTAATACGTTCAAATTTCCATGGACTGGTTCGATTTTGTTTCATACAGCGGCGACTCTTGATATCGTCAATATTACTCACTGATAACAACGGCTCGAGATCGGTTTTTGTTCGTTCGAATGCATTTAAGGTCGATTGCCCGCCGCAAAATCCCAAACACAACATTCCAGCGTTCCGTTCGTACGTAAGTTTACAAGTGAAAGTTAGCGGTCAGGTGACGCAAATCGCTAAAACGCCGAGCGATCTTAGGCAGGTTTGCGCTAAGCGAGTATGTGCATCGAAGTTTACGTTTAGTTAATAACAAAGTCTTCGGCTCGGTCGCCATGTAGCGCGATGAATCCGACTTGTTTTCGTTGAAAAATGGACGTTGTCGGTACCCATTCGAGAAACAGTTCGGGCAGCTTGGCTTCGGAAAGCTCCAATTGCACGAGGTACGTGAAAAATCGACGGAGGGACGTCGGGGATCTCGGGTGACCGTTGCGTCGGATTCCAAAGTTTATTTGAATTGTCCGGACGATCCGGGCGGAAGTTCCGGCGGGATTAGTGCGCGTGGTGGCCGCGATACAAAGGATTTCGATAGAGTCGGTCGTTCCATAAGGAAATCCAAGGATTTGCCTAAATTGAAGAGCAGGATTTTCGAGGATAGCGTTGAGAGTCAGGAAATATCTTTTTACATAGGTATGCTGGCTCATACACACTTTAATTCGTTATCTCTATTTATTCCGATATTGTTCGTAAAAAAGCTTAAGATAATTCGGTTTTTATAGGCCATGTTATCTCCCTTTCATATCATTTTATTTAAATTACTTACCTACTTATAACTTGAAATATACCATTTACATTGTATAATACCTAAACAAAATAACATATTAAGTAGGTACCTACAGAATAATAGTTTATCTCACTTTAATTAAAAAATACTCCAGGCTTTTCATGTGACATTAATTTTAAATCGTAATCCCGCCTGTTTGTTTTGAATACAGAGGTAATTTTTCCGGTGTAATTCCTTTCTGTGTTTCCTATTACGTCTAGTAATATGTGGAATTTAAAGCCCTGTAATTTAATTCTCTTTTAAATAGATAATTTTTGGATGGAATACCAAATGAACAATAAATTTTAAATTAAAATTGATCGAAATGAAAACATTAAAATGTTATTTATGATTATTGTTATGCAAGTAGGAAATTGAAACAGTTTTACATTATGCAGGCGCTGGTTAATTGCACAACTTATAGGCGAATCGCATTATTAAATAAAGCATGATTAAATAAATTAAACAATACGAGCATCAGGTAGTTGTTTGTTACTACATGTATAGTTCAATTATTTACTTACAGACCTTCTTATACATTATAAATTCTAGCTATGCAAATACGAATTTTGGCTTATCTCTATATGCCTTTATATTATTCTCAATACTTGACAAGTGATGACTTGAATGTTGATTAAATTCTCTACAAGTATAACCCACTCCTTAAGCAGGTGTTTCTAAACTACACCTGCCCAAGTGCCCAATTTGTCGCGCGTTTGCGTTTTCCTTAAGCAAGCAAAGGCATCGCCGATAAGTTGTTTTCTGTACTATTAATTCAGCTGTTGTAATAATAATGATTGAATTGGTTTGTAATTGCTGTTGTTCTGCCTTTCGATTATACAGTGTAGAAATGAACAGACAGACCTTCGTATTGTCGGCTATACAATAAATTCGTTCGCGCGAAATGATATCCATTGTTCTAATAAATAGACAGGCTGAGTATGAATAATTCGACGAAACAGCGTAATGTCGGAATGATATTGGGTAGTAGCTCATTCCCATAGAGCTCGGAAAGGCTTTAATGAACAAGGGTTTTCTCTAAAGCGCTTTTCTTATCGACATATTTCATGTTATGCAATATTATCTAAAAAAAATAGTCTAAGACGGATCTGTCCTCATAAGTTATTCAATAAATTACAAAATTATTTTTGCCTAACACGAGCAACCGGAACCGTCAATTAAGAAATTCCCGAGCAAGGTATATAGAAACGAACGAATTTTTTATTTTCCGAATAGAGAACGCAATAATCCTTTTTCGGATTTCTGCTTTCTATAAACACTATAGGTGGAGAAGTATTTATTTTGCTACACACACACTTGTATTAGTCACGCTTTGTGTTCCTTTATCATGGCTTTATCTTGCATTTGGTCGAGTGCTAACGTCTTACTGGCCTGAACTAATAAATATTTTCTAATTTCAAAATCTTTGACCCAATTTAATGTTTTTGATATTTAATTTAGCTTTACAAAAAGCATTGTTCGGTGGCACTTACGGAAAATAAATAATTAAATATAATTTGATAAACAAATAAATAATTTAACCTTCACTTTCTCATAATTTTAAGATTTCTTCTATTTTTTCGCGGCACTGGAAATTTAAATAACTCATTCTAAAAATACTACATACATAAATGTTATTTGTTTATGACCATTGTTGTAGGTTCCCACAGTTTGCATAATCCTATTAGAATTTTACTTTTGGAAAATCAAGGTAAATTAATTACGAAATAAAGTATTAAAGTGTAGGTAGTTTCAGAAATTTACGAAATCAAAATTATTTAATGAATGTATCGGCCAATTCTTACCTTCGAATTTTATTTACCGCATCTCTCGCAACTTTTCCACCGGAAAGTTCAAAAACCAATCGATTTGTTTGGAATATTCGTTTGACTAATAATAAAATTGTTATCGTTTCACCTTTTCGAACATACCAGTAACCGCCAGTCACTAGGCATGCAAAACAAAATGAATATTTTTTAAATCATTCGATATTCAACATGCATTCGAAAACTGCTAGTTTTTCGCAAGTTCGAGTTGTGTGTAGGCAGGAAAGAGAAATGGGCGAAAAGAAGGATAATTAAATTGCGATATGGGCGGTTGCAGTAATTTGATAAGGAAATTCAGTTCTGGTAAGGTTTATCGAAATTAACTACATACATAAAATAAAATAATTTAAAATTGTTCATGAACCTACCTACATTTATAGACAATTAATAATTGTGTTTATTAATAATTATAATATCTATCTTTAGGTATATTCAAAAATTAGAGTATTTAGTTCGTATCAAATAAAAAGTAGCGAAAGTATCATATCAACATCTCTTTCACGTTATGAATATGAATAACAAACGGAAAAGAAATTATTGGTTATCGACAGATAGTGCTCAAAATGAGTAATATTTAAATCGCTCGAGAACAGACGGTAACCTCAATCTTCCTATTACTTTCTTCAATGCTTTCCGGTCATTTTTATTTGTACTTTCAATACGTTTGACATTTGGAAGGCTTTTTTTTAATACGGTTTATCTCATGATAAGTAGAAAGCACCTGCGCTATATCTACAATTATTCATCTATGTAAAGACATTTTTCATTGTATAAATAAATTAATTTAATAATAGAAAGCATGTACCTAATGAAAAACTGTCTCATAGAAATTCTTAAAAAGTAGGTACATTAATAAGTAATCTCTTATTTTTATGAAGTATTTTTCCCATATGTCCTAACCTGAATCTAGATCATATCAAACAGATAGGTATCACATAATTTAATATTGATTTGATTTGTGCAAATAACTTTTTCAAACTAACACATGTTCTACTCTACTAATCTTCCTTTTGTACCAAATCCACTTCAATTTAAAAATAATCAATTGATTCAAGATATCCTCTACTTTTTTGAACTTCCATAGTTCCATAATATCTGTAGAGGCAAATATTGCAATAGATAGATCAATAATATAGATAAAATAATCAACAATAGCTAAAATGTAGATCAATGTTGCATATATTGTTTATAGGAAATATACCTATGTAATTGACATTTTTTTCTTTGAATATTTGAAATGGCTTTTTTGGAGTTATGTATCCAGCGAAATTTATTTGTTAGTCACACAAAGCCGGAATTACCAGCAATAAACAAACGCTTGGTATACAGAAAATAAAATGCCATAACAAAGACGATGATTTCATGTAATGTTTTCCTAATTGCATACATTGTTGTAACTGTTGCATTTAAGTAATCTTTGACGTGTTTGTTTTTTTTAAATTCTGTTTTTTTGGAAGCATGTCGGATTCCAGGATGACATTTAATATTAAAAATATACAGAAGACAATATCAGCTATAATAATAATTTATTAATCGTAGAACATGTAAATTAATCTCTTCGAAACAGTTATCTTATCTCATCGTATTGTTCCATTGTTATTACGCTTTGTGTAAATAAAAAATAGGTCGCTTTATAACATTTATTTAATTCTGTTGTACATACATATTTTACAGGAAAAAAATCAGCAAAACTGATGAATTTATAAACAAGTTCTTACGTAAGAAATAGACGTTGGTCTAGTATTATTAAACTATACCAACTTACCTACATCTGATAACCTTGGGAGATTCAGTATAAAGGCCAAAGTATGGCGAATTGAATTTCGTAACCAATGTTTCACTTAAATTAGATTTCTAACATATTGCTTCTTTAAATGATGTTTGTTGTTTTAAAAAATGTGTGTATGTATTTTGAACCGAATGTATTCAGGTTTAATTGATACAATGGAAAGTTGCTGGAGCAATGCAGATATCGATTCTAATTACTTATTGTTCTAATTAATACAAAATCCAGGTGGGTTTAAACTCTCTGTTAGATGAATTCACTAATAACTAAAGTGTGGTAATAAACATGAGTGAGCCCAGCCTCACTATTTTACATAATTCACTATCGATTCGTTTGAATAATGGGTCGTTTTCACTAGTATTCAAGAAATTGAGTTTTTTTAGAAACAATCAAACTTTCCATTTTAAATACGCCGGATGGAACAAAAGTTTCAATATTCATATTTTTCAGACAAATGTTATTGAAAAATTGACCGACATTACTCATATAAATGAACTCGAATAGACCGCGAATAAAAGATAAGATTTTAGCTAAAAATCCATTGCGGTATTTTTATTACAAAATTGTTTACCATTGCAGGCAATAACAGTGAAGATGAAACGACGTACGAGCATGTAAGTTACGACTCGTTCGGCAGCGATACCGATTCGGATTACTATCAAGTCGATGAAGTAAGTATTTTGCACTCTAATTTGCATTTTAATTGAATAGACGTTCCGAAATAAAATGCTCTTGAAATGACAATAAATTTCATCCGTTGTCGATTGTTTCGTAAGCAGTCTTCTTCTTTCTTCCGGTTTGTTTACCTACTACTTGATATTTCCTAATAGCGTTACTTCGTTATGTTATTTTTTTCTTAAAGTTTCAGATAGAACTTAGGCATAATGTCACCAATACTCCTTTACCCCCCGAACCAGCGACGGAAGCAAATGGATTCGACAAAATTACGAAGAACATCAGCAGATTCAAGAAAAATTTCTCCAGAGATATTTCGAAGTCATTGAGGAGGTTGTCGAAGAGGATCTACCAGACTAATGTGAACGATATGGAGAGTGAGTGTTTAGCAATCTTCTGTAATACATTTTCAAATTAATTTCACCTTTTTTTTCTCGCACGAAGAACCTGATCACAAGTCACTATCGGCCATAAATTCCAGTGATCCGATCAAGGAATCATCCAAAATAGATTTAAACGAAACTTCGAAATCCGATAGCATTTTGACGAGGATAAAGAGGAGCGTTTCGATGTCCACGGTATCCGTAATAAGTTTGACCAACTACTTCGAAACCCAAAATGTCCCAAACCAAAGAAGAAGTACGTTTTACCTGACCGATCCGATCAACTTCGACGATTACAGCAAGGGCATCAACATAGGATCCGCCTCTTCCGAGCAGTCAATCAACCAATCCAGCTCGAAGTCGAGGATTACGAGACCTAAATTACCGCCACCACCTGTACCCACCAAGGAATTCGGTAAGTCGATTTGCGTTGGGGTCGTTTGAGATTCTATTGCTGCCCGTTTTAGAGAACAAAAGCGCGATATCCGAGAAGGAGTTGCCCATAATTACGGATTTGGAGAAAACTTGCACCAGGAGGTCGTCCTGGTACGCGACCTACGACGCGGAAGAAGGCTACAAACCCTCGGATTATTCGAAAACCCTGCCGTCTAAGAACAAACAGATGTCGGAGAGGGCGAAAGAGCGCATTCGCCCTACGTCTAAACTGAGCATCTTCGATCCTACGAACAACAACAACAACAATAACAATCAGGCCTTCTCGAACGTCATCGACGAGCTCAACGTCAAGCTGAACAAGACCAACAACAGATTGAGCAGCGCGAATACGAACAGCGCGGACGAGAACGACAGCAACTACAACACCCAGAGCGTCTACAGTTTGAGCAGCAACGACTCCAAGAAGGACGATTCTTCCGTCACCTATTCGAAAAACGACACTACTTTTTTGGACGACGAACCTCTCTATCAATTTTACAATGCAGCTTTGTTGGATGTAAGCTTGAAATGACTTCCCGGCGCGCTTTATGGGGTTAATTTTTTTGCGTTTGTTTCAGTCTACATACGACGATTTGCCTTCGGATATCGAATCGGATATATACGAGGACGTCGAAGAAATGAACGAGAATTACGTTTCTTCGAGCGTGATCGATCAATCGGACGATCAGGCTCTGACGTCGCAGACGATGACTTTCAGCAGGAGTCTCTGGTGCGAAATACCCCAAGTAGTCAATTCGACTGTTCTGAGTAAGTACATTAACCTTGCGTATTGGTTAAAAAATACGAATGTTTCCAGTTTTAATAACATATTATTTAACGCCGGCTTCTCCTTCATGTAACGTTAGTGACTTACATGCTTAGAATTTTTTACGGATGTAAAAACATCTTGTGTTTCATCGAATGAAAAATGTCCGTTGCACTTTTGGAATAATTCCAGAGTGTATAAAAAAGAAATATTACGCTATCGAGTTTCAATCGGATTTTTCTAATCGAAGTGTTATGTCTCCGTTACCTTGTGGTCTTGAAGTTCTTTTGAAACTATGCCGATTGCAGGTACTTTGAGTTCGCAGCAGAAAAAGCTGCAGGAAGCCAAATTCGAGATCATCACGTCGGAAGCGTCGTATTTACATTCGCTCAACGTTCTTCTGAACCACTTCGAAACCAGTTTCAAGCAGTCGAATATAGTCAACGAGAAGGATTTGGACGTGGTATTCGGAAGGATAAAGGACGGTAAGTCTGGCGAAAATTCGAGGAGGACCTCCAATTGAACTGTTCGTGTTTCAGTAAGGGCCTGCTCGAAGAAGATCCTGCAGGATCTGGAGAAATGCTGGCAGAAAAACATCCTGCTCGACGGATTGTGCGATCTTATCCAGAGGCATGCAGAGGAGAACTTCCAAGTGTACATTCCCTACTGCGAAAACCAAATAATTATTAGCGAAACTTTAAATAGGCTCAAGTAAGTATAATAATCATTACGCCAGTTGATACAATAGTTCTAAATTGATTGAATATCTACAATTATTGTTAAACTACCAACAACTAATAGCTTGAAATTGAACCAGATTGGTTATAATTTAGTGCAGGAACATTCGTACGTTATTTGCTAATTATTGCTTTTATTTTTTTTAAGGGAAAATCCGGATTTTTCGAATTTTCTAGCTCAATTAGAATCTAGTCCAACTTGCCAGTTTTTGTCATTATACTCGTTTCTGATGTTGCCGATGCAGAGGATAACGAGATGGCCTCTGCTCGTAGACGCCATTCTGAAGAGGCTGTCCGAGTCCGATCCGGAATATCTCACGTGCCAATACGCCTTAGCGACTATGAATAAGGTAAAATAAAATCATTCGCATCGTAATTTAATCGTTAATCTAATTAATTTGTGGTTGTTTTTGAAGATCGTGTCTCAGTGCAATGAAGCAGCTAGGAAAAAGGAACAGGAAATCGAACTGAAGCAAATTTCCGAATCGATGGAGTTCGATAAGGACGTGCCCTACGTGAACATAGACAAGCAGGGCAGAGTGCTGGTCAAATCCGGTTCTGTGGTTTGTTATCAGCCGAGAAACGAAGACACGAGGATGACGTTCGGGAAGAGGTTCAGCAAAATCACCTTCCATTTGTTCTTGTTTTGCGATTTCTTCTTGGTTGCCAAAAAGAAGAGGTAAGGGAAACATTTAAATAAATGTAAATTTGGTTTTTTTACATTTTTTCTTGATTTTTAGTGAAACAACTTTCGCAGTACTGCATCATTGTCCGAGGAACTTGATAGAATTGAGAAGTGTGGACATGTTCCCGGCCCTTATGAAGAAAGACGCCCAAGACAAACATCTGTTGTACCTTTCGATTTTGGAGAACCAAAATGGAAAAATCGTCGAATTTGTAAGTGCCCATTAATTTTCTAGAACTGTTTATAAAATTTAATTTAGAATGGCATTTTATTATCTTTAGAGGAATTTTTATGTAGTAATAATATTGAAGGTAACTCGGGACAGATTATATTAATCTGTAGAGATATACGACGATTTATGAAGAAAAAAAGATGAGTAATTTATATGAAGTGGTACTGCGTAAATATCATTTTCAAAAAATTATCTACTATAATTATACTATTGTGATATGTGAATCATCAAATATATTATTTATCCTTTGGAATTCAATTACACATTAATTGATAAAACGCATTGCTATGTCCCTGTACAGTATTGTACTCCAATATCCAAGGGAAATTTTAATCAATCAACATTTGTAAATCTATAAATAACGATCATTTAAATCAACTATTAATCTTACGAAATATTGAGTAAAAAGTGAAATCATTTCACTCAAAATGTAATAAAGAAAGTAACAGTGATATTAATTAACATAAGTAAGTTCTCATAACCACGTGTTACACTTTCTATGTTTTTTTATGGTAAATGATATAATTACAGTCACGATATGTTTTTAGAATGTTAATTATTATATGACACTCAAATTAACTTATTGGATTTAATTTTTTTTAACATACAAAATGAAGTAATGCCAAGCTATGGAAAACAACGATAATATAATACTTTCAACTAAAGTACAGTATAAAATACAATTAGACAGGGGTGTTTATTCCTCTTTGTTACCACAAGAACTAGTCGCGCGAGTAATATCATTCCAACACATCGATGCTAGAACATTGTTTTATTTTTGCAGCTGTTGTCGTCTTCATCGGAATCGGAAAAGGAGCGATGGATCGAAGCTTTTACGCCACCGAAATCCGAGAATCCCGACGAGACTCTGTACGAGTGCTGGGATTGTCCGCAAGTGACGGCCTTGCACGACTACAATGCTTCACAGCCCGACGAATTGTCCTTATCCCGAGGAGACGTGATCAACGTCCTGAGGAAAATGAACGATGGTAATGGACACTTCGTTTCGTCGAGTATATTTATTTTAATCGGTGTTTGGTTTGTGTCCGCAGGTTGGTACCACGGAGAGCGGCTAAGGGACGGGAAAATGGGCTGGTTTCCGGCTAACCACACTGTAGAAATAGTCAATCCTCACGTCAGAGCGAGGAACATCAAACAAAGACACAGGCTGCTGACTTTCTCTGAAAATTACTTGAAAAGGTAGCCAATCGGCGAAGCTGTATTTAATTGATTTTTTGTAAAAAAAATGTATGATCGTGTTCATCTTGAAGTCCCAGACTGAGTTTTTCGACGTTATGACTGTCGGGTGTTCGCACGGGGAAATTCGGAGGCAAGACGAACACATATGTATGATGTAATCGTTATTTAATGGTGATTTATAATTTTTATCGATTGTAAAATTTTGTTTAGTAGTCTTATCAAGATCTAATCTAAGTAAAAGAACGCTTATTTTTATTAGAGTTTTTCATTAACACCTTTAAATATTTCCTAAATATTTCATATCAAATTTACTCATAAAAAGTTCCTGGAAAAATAAGTTAAAATCTGAATAATTATCATTTTGTGGGATCCATTTCATTAACAATCTTTTTTAGGTGAGGTGTAGTCGTAATTACAGGTAATCATCACGACTCTGTTCGGAAATTCGTAATTACTGCCCATTCATTTAGTCACCTGCCAACGAATTGCAAAAATTATTCTATTAATTAATACTGGATACTGGAATTTCAGCTGTTATTGGAAGTCCATGCGTACTGTGAAAGTTAATTTGAAACAACCTCCGAATATCATGTTAAATAAAAATTACTGGTTAATTCGCAGCCTAATTAAATAGTAATTGCTAATCTAGGTGGAAATTTTCGTTATAAAGCGAAATTGCCGAATATTCGGTACAGAACCGTCGTTTTTGATTTAGTGATTAATTCATTCGCCTGCCTTTGTTATTTCAATTGGTATTTTTTGTGTCGTATTGCAAAAAATTGAAAATTAAACATTTAGGTTAATAGATTTGCGAGTTTGAAGAATTTTCAAAATTGAAGTGGATATAAATTTATTGGTAGGGACCCCGGCAAAATAGCCCAAAACAAAATAGCCCAACACAAAACAGCTCTGACAAAATAACCCAAAGACAAAATAGTCCAAAGACAAAATCGCCAAAGACAAAACAGCTACGACAAAATATTCTAAAGACAGAATCGCCAAAAACAATTTTCTAGGGACATCCTGAAAGTAAGTTTCGTTTGGTAATTAAAAAAACCTGTACAGATTGTGCAGAAAAAAAATTTATTGCATAATAATCTACGATCCTTAAGCTACATTTCTACATAGGTACTGAAATTTTCCGGCCAGTTTTCATACAGTGACACAAGTTTCTCTATGCTTTTCTATTGCTCATCAACTCACGAAGTTATACAAAAATTATAATTTTACAAGAATTCGTTGACGATAGGCAAGTAATCCGTTCTATTTGCAAGTTATGCATCGCTCTAATTGGAATGTAAAGTCTGTTGTAGGTACGAGTTGTGATCCCCTTAGGTTCAATTTTCGTTTGAAATGAATACATTGTTTCGGGTTTTCAGTTTGCACTTGCCAAAGCCATAAATGAACTCTCACGTTGGTATTCATTAAAACGAAATGTATAAATTATTAAAGCATTTCGGAGTGGTTCGCGTTCCGTATGCAATACATTTTAATTAATATTAATTGTAGTTATATGTAGAGCGAAATGAATTAAATAAATAATTATGCCGTGCATGGGTATGGAGCTTGTGTCCAACAAAACGCACTACAAAGGTTTACCTGCATAACGAACAAAAATGGCATTATATGCTAGTTTCATTCACACAACTGAGGTTTCAACTAATAAATGGCTTTGTAATATTATTGTATTATATGCAGGAGGTATTGAAAATTGATCATAATAATTCCATAAACTTTAATTAGTATGAGCAATGTATTTATATAAGATAAATTCTACAGTTATTACAGGAAACTAAGTTTTTATAGCAATTTCAACATTAAAAATCTAATTAAACTCGGTTACAAATGGAATGGTCTTTATGTAAGTAACCCTAATCCATTGATAGTTTCTTTTTAAAAGGAAAATTCTTTCTGCAATAAAACACCAAGTAGGATACCTATCTTGCAGGTACTTGGAGTAATCGAGATAATTCCAATTTCGCCAGCAATAATTCATTCGGCACCGAGATCGCATATCAAATCTGATTATTTACTGCCATAAATCACGGAAGTCTCCACAATAAAAGATAACGAAATCAGAAAATCAACTGTACACATATACGAAAAACGAATTTCAGCAGCTAGAGTGGGACAGCAAAATTGTAATTCTTTCATAAATAATGCGGCATATTCTCGTTCTCTAGAAATAGTCGTAATCAGTGTCGCGGCAACGGCGGTCATCGGCACGCCACTTAACCATTCGCTCAGAGCGATGTGCGCGATTCGTCGACACGAATCTAGGTTATAGTTTCAAAATCTTATCTTCGCATTGTACATATCATGCCGCATGGAATCGAAACGGGGAAAAGGTCTTAAATAGCTGCCTTCGAGAGGACGATATCGACGCGATGGACGAGGGCGGGTTGCTGATGAAGGACATCCAGCCAAGGGACATGTCCGCCAAGAGGTTGCCGAAGGATGAGGTGGAACTGATACCAGCTGCGGAGGAAATCGACGGCATCCTTCTCGATCAGAAGCTCCACAGGATGGACGAGGGCGGTTTGCTGATGAAGGAGTTGAAACCGAGGGATATGTCCATGAAGAGGCTGTTGAAAAGTGATATGGAAGTGATACCAGCTGTGGAAGAAACCGAAGAAACCGACTGTGATATAGAACCTATAGAACCATTAGATTATAAGATGCCATCCCCAGCTGGTTCCTTGAGGAAGACTTCTAGGATACATCATACAGACTACCCGAATTACAGCTTTAACTCCATACCATCGCATCACAGCAGTCCGAGTTTCAGGAGGAACAATAGCGTGCGATCGCTGAAGAACTACCAACATTTGATTGGGGATTTCTACCAGAAACCGCCGAGTTCTGAGTCCGGGATCGTTTCGAAATCTTCTGATGCTGCTTCTTTGCGATCCTGGTCGTCTGTGTGTATGGGCTCGACTGATGGTAAGAAGATGATTGTTAGAAGAGTACCCACGTCTCCAGTCGAATTGTTCAATATCGTTAATCCTCCAACGTAAGTATTATTCGCATTGAGAAATGTTCTATTTATACGATTCGAGTGTGTACTTTTTAATTATCTTTTTTTCTTTAAATTATCGCAGATTCGTTTAAATATTAGGCAATTTGATTACTTTATATTTAATGTCTTAATGAAAAATTAATAGAAAAAGTCTTGAAACTTCTCAAAGTTTATTGATATTATGCATCAGGAAATACTTTCAGGAAATAAGTTTATTCAAGGTTATACATGGTGACCAAAGAAGTTGGAATTAATGCAATTTATTGCAATACTTTAAAAAAGCTTCGATGTGTTTTTTTAAATGAAACTACAAAACTAATTACTAAATTAGCTAATTAACTGAACGAGTTAGTTTTTTGCAAAGCTTGAATTTCGAGTTAAGTGAATAATTAAATTGCAGTTAATTGGAACAAATTAGATATCTAGGTGAAATATTACACTTTTAGTTCAAATATTTTAATTCCTAAAGTGCAATAATTTGATAATAAACGTACACATATGAACTTGTATCTAATCTAGAAAAAATAAACAGTCAAAGTTTACTTTGTTATTTCTGTATATGTGAAATTATTATTAAATTACTTACATTTATAATATAAAACTACGTATATTATACAATTATTTTAAAATTGGTAACGATTACGATTTCAATTCTTTTCATTTTTTTTCATGTTAATAAAATTAATATAAATTAAAAAATTACGTGTTTCATGTACCTACTTAATTATCAAGGTTGACAGTTATAAGAGTTTGTTAATTTACTAATTACATTAGATTAAATATTTAATGTATTATCATTTTCGTTACTTTTTTGGAAATAATAGATTACCTACAGTCAGAATATCAGGCAAAATAACAATTTTTATTTATTCAAATCAATGTATTTTCTGGTGCATCGGATTATCTAATTGAAAATAAGTCGTGAACAAGTAAGGTGGATAAAAACAAAACGTGATAATGATGGATAATTAGTAATGCTAATTTATTTAAGACTATTAGTTGCTCATAAGCGTAGACAAAATACTCTCAAGCATAAACAAATATATTGTTTACATATGAATATTTTCAGTTAATTTTCAACTTTTACTTGTAATAAAGTCATACGGTAATAAATGTAAAGGAAAGGAAAAGGTATTTTATCAAAATTAAAATGGTTAGATATTATTATTATTATATTCATGTGAAGTCAAAGCAACAAAAGAATGAATTTTTGATAGCTACTGAGATTACGAAATGTTCATAACGGCCGACATGAATGAAATAAACAAATTAACGGACGGACATGCAGAGCAAAACGATAATATCCTGCAGAGGATACATTAACACGGTTAACCTTGGATACGAATTTGACCTCCAATTTACTCATCAAACACTAGAATATTGTATAATGGTTTTTGATTGTTTTACCCGAAAAATGGGTTTAATTAAGCCCTAAGAAACTCCTGCAATTTATAATTTCGTAATCTTAAGTTATGTTCAAACTTTTTCCGATACCTGCGAATTATTTTGCGAAGCTTTTGTACTTTGTATTTTGAATTGTGAAGAAGATTTGGGAAGAGTCTATTAAGCTTTTAAATTATCCTGAAAATATATTTCAAATATGAAAAATACACGTTGCATTTTGAACTCTTCAATTTTATGTTATAAATTTATTAATTTCTGCTAATTAAGTATTAATATTACATAGGCTTGATTCATATGTCATTATCCCAGACTTTATTTACAAATAAACAGCTCATTTTACAGTTAATTCGAATTATTTGCTTGGATAGGTAAATAATATTTTAATATAGATAAATTGTTTTGACCTATTAGGCAATTGTAACATTTGTTCAATATCGACAATTTGAAGTTACATTTATTTTTCGTTGATTATTCAATTTCAGCAATTTATTATATAATTTTTATGTCTTTTTAAAAATCATTTGACTCATCAAATAGTATAAAGAGAGGTAAATGATTCTTAGAATTTAAATTACCTAATATAAGTACAGGTACATACATGCATTTTTGTCTATACATATGTATAATTATAGTTAGTTACATTATTACATTTATAATAGTAGATAGGAGACAATATTCGAGTTAAATTTAATTTTTCTTCATCATCAGGAGGTTTGCAATCAAACATACCGTTACAAACAACGACCTATTTACGTACTGGTTCAATGAATCGAAATTAAATTATCTTTCTCACGGATGTAAATAAAATTCCATCAACAATACCTCAGTTTAATAATTTTTATATTATCGAAGTTGTAATTTTTATTTCGAATAAAACCTTTATCTCGATTGAAATCTCCCTATACAATAATGCATTTAATTGTTATATTGTTTTCTATTTTTTTTAACTTTTATTTTACATGTGAAGTGCGCGTTTGGCTATTTAATAGTAGTAAAACTTTTATTATTTCGTATTGAACTGAACTTTACTTACTTTTAGGTATGTAAGTGTGTATGTAAGTGTGTATGTACACACTTGGTTATATTTATTCAGTTAACCTAGTTGGCTGAGTTTAAACCAAATTTATATTTAAGGAAAAGTTAATAATAAACAGGCATAAATCTATTTATTTTTAATCTACGTTGCACCTGTTGCCATAAAAATAATACTGACATTAATTGTTCGAATCAAAAATCCGGAACAGCTTCCGTTATGTACCTAATTAAACAATTTTAATTATTAATTGGGGATTAATTTAGTAATTGTGATCGATAAAATCACATCTAATTATTAACACCTACTTACACGAGTACATTTACCTGTGTAGATGAGTCATATCCAGTTTCATTTAGGTTTAATGTAATATTAGTATTATGACTATAGTATTACGACTAGGTATAGTTTTTTTTAACATAATTTTTTCCTCGAACTAAATAGGATGTAACATGACTATTACAATACAATAGGAAGTATAGCTATTAATGGGTAATTCCTACAAGTAATTTTTTTTATAAACCTTTGAAATTAATTTATCTTATCTTGTATATACAGCGGTTACCATTGTAATGGGTGTTTTGTTGTATAGGACTCAATATTTGATTTGTTTTATATTTTTTTATAATAATTGTTTCAAACGTTATAAAAAATACTTACACTGCAGTAATCAGTAGATCGTGAAAACCGTTAAAAATTAAATGAAATAATTTTTTATAGATAAATTCGTGAATGATATTTTTAACTACTAAATCGGCAGTTAAAACAAAATCATATCTCTCGAATAACTTACTACAATTTAATTTGTTGTTTTTGGTAGACAATTAAATTTCATTTCTGATATTGGAACGTTGTATCAAAATTAATTAAACCCATATGTACACAACTATAAAATAAAAATGTCTGGTTTCAAAATCTGTAGAGTTATCACAGGTTTCACAAAATGTTTGCCAAATTATAAATATATATTTACTAAAAATAAATCTCGCTACCTCGTCGGATTCCTCCTTCGTATTTACCTACAAAATTACGATACATTTGCAAAGTATGTAATTTGTTTTTAACAATGCAAAATGCAAATATTGAACCAGATTTCAAGAGACCTACAGAAACGTAAATCCTGTGGCAGGATAAACACTTTTATTATGACAGGTGTAAATTATGTCGCGCTGTTTGTATACGCGAATGGTAAATTTTTAATGAAGGAAATTGTTGTTAGCATTGATTTCCGTTCGCCGTTCATTGTTCGAGTTATGTTTGTGTTTAATTAATATACCAGATTCATATTATTTTTCCAACTGTTCTTATGATATATTCGGCATTTGTCGTTAAAAAATTTCATCAATTTTAATGGCAAATCTTCGATTTTATGAATAATTTGTATAAATACCGTACCAAATTTGAAGCGTTATAAATGTCTTTATAGACGGCCATAAAAGAGAGTAATTACACATTTTCCTATTCAATGTGGAATTGCTTTTCTGGCTATGCATTCAGTCATCGACGTGGTAACTCAAACTATTCTCAATATTTCACGGTACATTTATTTATTGGATATTGTAAACGTGCTATAAACGCCATCGCAGAAACGAATATTAGGTGAGCTTTGAATACATAAAATTAATTGGGATTTTTTTCTAATAAAGTCGGAAAACTGGCGACGAATATATTGCTTGTGATATCTAATTTCATGTGTAAATTTGTAAATGCTTCATTGTCTTATTCATTGTCTTATATTGACGCCTTTCATTGCCAGTTTCTTTCCATGGTCAAGATCATTAATGTAAATTCAGAAAATTGTTAAATTGGTATTATAAGAGTCAATTTCCTATAACCTTCAAAAAAAATTGAAAAAACTCCAGTTTTCTTGAATGGGGATAAATTTCAAAATTTATTGAGTAGGTGGTTAATTTTACAGGTTTGATAATTCGTTTGGAATGAAGGTATTTAAAAAAATCACTATGTAGCTGCTTTGTTAATAGGGTATCAGTAGGGTAATGCGCATTTTCTTTATTTTTCTTATCCTAATACATGCAAATTTATTCCATTTATCGCAAATTACATAATGAAACTCGATAATAAAATCGATCAACATTTCCCATATACGAATTAACATTAAATTAATTAGCAGATCATCGAAGCAATAAAATATTTTGACAAATAGCTCCTTGATAATACAATATTCGCAAAAACTATACGTCACCTCGTCGCAAAATCAAATATTTACTAGAATTAGCGAGGTTACTTTAATTTGGTTTTCAGGAAATTCACAATAAAGTAATTCGAACTTTAATCAGTCGTCTCCGAAATTTCTTACAATATTGTGCGTACGCGATGCCGTCCAAGCTCAAAAATGGCTATTACATTGTACCCAATTCTTTGCAACAGTCTAAAGATGATGATAGCGTGTTTTTGTTTCCCCCTATAGGGTAAGGTCACTCCTGATATTTTCCACTATTTTAAATCATATTCTAAAAGTATATTTTTAGATTTGTACTTCATTCATGTATTCATTTATGCAGCCTGTAGAGTGTTTTAGGTGTCCAATATTTACTGCATATCTAGTTTATTTAAAAAAATATTTTGTAATTAGTACAAGGTTGTGGTTTTCCTAATAGACTCATTTAAAATAATACACTATCTCTTATCAGAAAAACCGTTCTATTCTTAATTATATCGTCTCCGCTGTGTATGGAGTATATTGATGATTACTGTTGTTCTATTTTGAGAATACATAACAAAACAGTTATTGAATATTAATCAACCTGGAGACTTTAAGAATTTATTGTCTTCATTTCATTACAAGGACTTATTTTTAAACTATTAATTATTACAGGCCACCTGAAACTACTTGTATGGTAGAAAATGACAGCGATGCCGATAGCATCGATGATGAAGATAATAGCGATTATGCGAAACCAAGGCGTCAGCAATGGTCCAATCAACTCCAGTTTGTACTCGCCTGTGTAGGGTACAGTGTAGGTCTTGGTTCAATTTGGCGATTCCCTTATTTGTGCTACAAAAGCGGAGGAGGTACGATTCATTTATCACTAAATTACTATTGATTTTAACACTCCATTTTTAGCTGTATTCTTGATACCTTATGCCATTATCATGGTGTTTATTGGAGGGCCGATGCTCTATATGGAGTTAGCAGTTGGTCAGTTCACAGGAAGAGGACCTATTGGAGCGTTAGGACACCTTTGCCCGTTGTTTAAAGGTAACCTTTTCTTTATTATCACCTTCCTTGGAACATATAATTAATCTTGTTTGTATTTGTTTGTAGGTACAGGAATAGGAAGTGTGGTAATATCCTTCCTCCTCTCAACGTACTACAGTGTTATCATAGCGTACGCGATCTTCTACTTTTTCACATCGTTTAGAGTGAAGCAGCCTTGGGAGTTTTGCAATCACAGATGGAACACCGAATATTGCTGGGATCGACAAAAGTTCCGAATGAACATGTCCAAGCCTCAATTCACTCATTCACCGGCGGAAGAGTTTTACGAGTAAATTAAACATCGCGATAACCGAAGAATGCCTGTTTCTATTTCGCCTTATTTTCCAGCACGAAGGTGTTGCAAATAAGTACAGGCATTTCGGACGTTCACACGCTGAGATGGGAGCTGGTCGCTTGTCTATTTTGCGCTTGGATCCTCATTTACTTCGCCATATGGAAGAGCATAAAATCGTCAGCGAAAGTTCGGTACTTCACGGCTACATTCCCCTTCGTCATCATCGTTATCCTAATGATCAAATCGTTGACTTTGGAAGGAGCTGACGAGGGAATGAGGTATTTCTTCAAGCCCAAATTCGAGTTGCTCCTCGAAGCGGAGGTGATTAAACCGTTATTTTACGATGGGTTTGTTTGTAATGAAACATGTCGATAGGTTTGGGTCAATGCAGCTAGTCAAACGTTCAACTCGATGGGTTGCGCTTTCGGATCTATGATCTGCTTCGCGAGTTACAACAAATACAATAACAGCATTTTACCTGAGACCATAGCAGTGTGGGTGGTAAATAGCATCACCAGCCTTGTCGTGGGAATATTCGCCTTTGCAACAATAGGAAATATAGCAGCTGAACAAGGAACATCGATTGAAGATGTCATTGATGACGGTACGAAAACGTTCATCAAATTTACACTTAATTCTAATGCGTTTTGGAATTTTTAGGTCCAGGTTTGATATTTGTCGTCTATCCTCAGGCAATAGGAAAAATGCCGGCTGCCCAACTGTGGGCCGTCTTCTTCTTCTTCATGCTGATATGCCTTGCCTTGAACAGCCAAGTAAATTGATGATTGTGATTCGGGTAAAGCAGCTCAATTATAATTTCATTAAGCTAATTTTATAGTTTGCAATCGTCGAAGTCGTGGTCACATCGCTCCAAGACGGATTTCCCGGTTGGATAAAGAGGAATCTGGTGTGCCACGAATTTTTGGTGTTGATCATCTGCGTGGTGTCCTTTATATGCGGCTTGCCCAACGTCACGCAGGTATTTCACCAAATTTACAGTAAATATAAACTCTCTCATTCTCCTGTTTATTTTTTAGGGAGGAGGTATTTACTTTTTCCAATTGATTGACCACTATGCGGCGTCTATCTCCATAATGTACCTAGCGTTTTTCGAAGTGATAGCGATCGCTTGGTTTTACGGAGCTTGGAAGTTGTGCAAAAACGTAAAGACTATGACCGGAAGGCATCCAGGATACTTCATTAAATTCTGCTGGTTGGTAATTACACCATTAATGCTTTTTGCGCTGTGGGTTCTCCTGATTATTGCTTACAAGCCGCCTACGTACAATAATAAGCAATATAATTATCCAACTTGGGCCAGAGTTGTGGGCTGGATTATCGCTTCTATTTCCATACTTTGTATACCTATAACTATGGTTATTGTGTTCCTACGAGCTCCAGGAGATAGTTACGTCGAGGTAAGTAGCTTTTCTAAATTTTTATATTCTTCATATATTGAATGCTTGCGTTTCAGAAATTCAAGAATAGCATAAAATCAGATCTAATGGAAAAGTGCCCGAAATGTAGCGAATTAGACTGTGATTGCATTATAGGACACGACGATGGTGAATCGATACTTGTAGTGAAACCTACCGCAGATATTCATAACATTCTTAAGGACAAAAAGGAGTCAGCGCCATTTTTCCCCGTGAACAATTCCACTTCGCCTGAATTTAAAGATGTCGATGACGTTAAACTCAGTGAAACGCTAAGTGAATACGACAATATAACAAATTTGGAGAATACGAAAATCGATCAAAATCTGTCGTAGCCGTAAAAAAATGCTCGTTTTTGAATTACATTCCATAATAAAGTATTAAGTTATTTATGTTCAATATCTATTTTATTGCATCTATTTATAACAGCTATCTTAATACCTAGCTAGTCCATCAGAGACTTCCACATCATGTTTGTGTTATCGAAGGTACGTTTAAATTTCATGCTATCCCGGCCGAAACACGAAACATACATATTTCTTAAGTGTTCGGGATAAGCTTCGTTGTACATGCTCCAAAATATCGAATGCCCTAATGCCCATTGGATCGCTGCAAAACAACAAACGCGCGGTAATCGTAAAGTCCTTAAACACAGTTGCACTTAGGTGGTATAATTGTTTGTGTGATCGATTCGAAAGTCCTTGCTTCGGATATTTGGATAATGGAAATACAATGCGATTTCAAGAGCTACATCACTTCTACATATAAGCGAAACATTGTGAACCATTCGAAAACGATTTTTTTTATTGCAGTATTGTTGAATAAATAAATCCATCGCTCAGACGCTTTTGTTGGTATAAGTGTGTGATTTATACATATTCATAAATATTCGGAATAACCACGTAATTTGGGAACTACATGTGATGAAATTCTCGACGAAAACGTATTGTCTAACAATTTAATTAGGAGATATGCAAGGAAACGAAGTTATGCGTTTACGCTAATCAGTATGATTTAATTCGCTCAGTGAATTGTGAAAAATATTGCTTTTTACTGGCGATGTTGGGAAAGACTATTGTTGTTTCCTGTTTTTGTATAATGTTTTTTTTCATCGTAAAATTTAGATTACCTATTTATGATTAGTTACAGAAGGAAAATAAATTTTATCTCATCTATCTACAATAAAGGTGGAAATTAGTAAGCTGGTTTTTCTACGAGAAATTTATTTAGAAAAATTGAGTTTAAAAATAATTGAAGTTGCCTTGTATCACATAACAGTTTTATCGTCAAATTTCTGGAGATATTCGTGTAGAGATCAGTCCAACATGTGCCAATGGCATTTAATTACATTATAAAGCGTATAAAGCTATAATTCTAAATGAACGAAACATTTTGTTATTAATTGATTGATAATGATTATTAATTGATAACAAAATGTCTATTAGTGTGATATAATTAATACCTATATGTTTATTTACACATTTCAACCGATTCGATGACTCCATTCGAAAATCCCCTTCAATTAAGTACGTCCGTTTTCCTGATTATCCGGCTTCGAATTCGCAACGAAAATTTATCGCCCGCGAAACTCGCTCAACATTAGTAATTTCGCATTTCCACGCGTTTCGAATTACATAAGAACACGTCGCCTCGGTCGGTTGTTTTCAAGTAAAATTTCAAATCGCGATCATTGAAGCTTCCCCTTATTTCCACACTCCAGTTGGTCTATAATTGCATTATACGCTCCTATTTCACGGTCATTTTCGAAAAAAACGCATCGCTCAATTACATGTCGATCGCGATTTCGAAATGCGAAAATTAGGCAAGCGAGAAAACAGATTGAAATTGGAAATATTCGCGAAAATTTCCGAGCGTTAATCTCGACGATTATCTCTTTCGCGATAAGCGAATTACCTGTGCAGCGGTTTTTATTACACACGTGAGGTGTGGTAACAGTTTAGAGATAGGAGATGTAGCACATGATCTTACAGTATCGCCATTATTTACTTCTAGCTCATTTCACTTATCGTTCCCATATGAACTCACACATTTAGGTATCTGAATACAATCAGGAAAACTTTTGCTAGCTATCGTTAAGTAATAATCTCTAATAACGAATGAGAAATGAGCTCAAATCGAATGTGCAATTACTTCTTTTTTTCGTGTATTCGCAGAGGTTTAATTAGTTTTTAGGTTAATCAAATGTAGAATAATTTTGTTGCTTTTGTTGCTGTATAACCGACGTCCTTTCCTACTGATCTAGTATTTGGCGGAGAATAAGAATAATTTCTAAATTTCTCCAGTAGGCTATATACCTGTTATACCTGCAAAGGTACTCACTCGTGCGTGAAGTCTTCATATCTATTCGTTCATTTCGGCGTCTGCATGTTTACGTTATGCTCTAAAGGTTTCCTTTCCGAGTGTCCCACCTAACACGCCTATTACGCAATTTATATCTATAATTATTTTCCTTTAAAGCGTCTATTAAGGCATTTTAAATTTTGCTATTCGAATAATTTTAACGGCAGTACACGGTAAGCCCATAAATATTCTTATTGTAATTTATAAATAACTGTAGCTTATTTATAGCCAGAAAGCAGTATTCGTACCCCATACTTTTGCCACTTTACCGTATTGATTGTTTATTCAGAGGATAATTTATTCCGCAGGATAAGGCATTTGCATTAAATATCACATTGTTTTAAATTATAGGTAATTAAGTTGGACGTTATTGTTATTAGATATTTACCTTCACTCTTCAATCAAACAAAAATACAAAAATAATCAAATACAATAGATTTTATTTTTTTTTGTGTAGATATACAAGTCTTACGCGGGTTAACAATTCATTATCCTATATTACATTTAATATATCACTTTCCTGCAACAAGTAAACTTTCGGCTATGCGGTTAACCAAAACGTTCGTCTCGGAACCGCAAACTCCGTTTAAGTTACTGAAAAAAAATTAGAAATTCGCCTTAATAATAGTGGTGGCCGTATTGTCCTGCCTTCGCGGCGTTGTAAGCAGCGAAATGCGCGGCCTTGGCGGCCTGAACTTCGGGCGTTTCCACTGGGCGACCATCGTGTCCTATCTCAGCGTACGGCCCGTGGTAAGCGGAAGCGCCGTGCGAGTACTCCTCCGTAGGGTAGTGAGCAGCAGCGGAGTACTGAGCAGGCGCGGAGTAGTGAGCGGGAGCGGAGTAGTGAGCGGGAGCGGAGTAGTGCTCCGGAGCCGCGGCGTAGTGCCCGCCGTGGGAGTACTCCTGCGTGTCGGGAATATCCTGGCCCGGTCGGGACAACACCTTGGCGTATTCGGCGAAGTGGTGAGCCTTGGCGGCCTGCACGGCGGGGGTCTCGACCGGCACGCCGTTGTGGTCGAGCACGGGGATGTGGTAGTCGCCGAAGATGCCGCGACGTCTCCTGTAGTGGCCGTGGCCGTGACCGCCGTAGGCGGCGCGGGAGGCGGCTTCAGCATAGGCGGCGAAGTGCGCGGCCTTGGCGGCCTGGACTTCGTGGGTTTCGAGCGGCTGGCCGTCGTGGCCGATTTGGGCTGGAGGACCGCCGGGTCCTTTGTAGATCAGAGGAGCGTGGGAGTAGGCGGGAGCGTGGGAGTATTGGACGGTAGCGGGCGCGGAGTAGTGACCGTGGGAGTTGTAGTCCTGTTCGTCCGGGATGTTCTGGCCCGGCCTGGAGAGCGTCTTGGCGTACTCGGCGTAGTGGTGGGCTTTGGCCGCTTGGACTTCGGGAGTTTCCACTGGGACGCCATCGGGGCCGATCACTGGGATGTGGATCGCTTGGTGATGCGGTTGATAGTATTGAGCCGCGTAGCCTGCATAGGACAAGGCGAGGGTGCAAGACAGGACAATCTAAATTATGAACAAAACATTATTAATCGTCTCAAATAATCTATTTTTTTCGGTTTAGTTTGAATTATTCATTCGAAATAATCCAACGCTGAACTTGAATAAAATTTCAAAAGGCTGGAGGAAAAGCGAGTAGGTACAGGTTTCATTGAAACCATAAGTCATATATTCAGATGAGAGCTGATCATGAATGTTGCATAAAGGTCTACATGCATGCGGTTTCGTGCAGGAATATATTACTTATTCGCATAAATTACGCAAAGATGGATATATTAATGCTCGTAAGTACATGGTTACTTCAGCACCCAGCAGGATGTTTCTTAAAAGCGATTTAAGTATTTGATTAATATGTGGTAACATTTCAATTAGTTAATTAATATGGAAAATGTAATCGGCTACTTGTATTTCCCTTTGCGGTTTTGTAAAAAAAATTAAAATGCCACTTGTAAAATTGAGTGCGGCATTAAAAAGTAGAAAAAAAAGACTTGAAAGACGCGATTTTCAAACCGATAACTGCACTGAATTAATTAAAGGCCTTGGTATACAGTTCGACACGAAATTGACTTTTAACGAATAGATCGGTTTCACGATACTTTTGAATTACTAAATTTTACGCTTAAATGCACTTAGATTTAGCGAACAAATTAATCCCTGAAGGTATCTCGATCGACAACAATACTTTTTCCACAAAAATTTGGAAAAACATCAATTAAATTAGATATTGTTAGTAAAGCAAACATTTTACTCGTAACTCGACAAAATTCTAAAAACACGACACTTTTACAAAATGCACCACACAAATCACTATAGCATATTCACCAACCACCACATTCAATTCGTGAATCGACTCACCAATATTTTCATATTGCTAGATGTGCTCGATGGTGTTTAATCCAACCTCCTAATTTCTAGGACTGTTTGAGACTACGGCTTAGGATTCCGAATTCGCGAGTATATAAGACATCCCCCCGAGTCGATAGCGGTACCTCCCCGTGACGAACGTACGCAAGGTCCCCTTTCACATTTCGTGGTTCTTTCGAGCCCCCAGCCCGGCGAAATGGACGGGCTCTTCGGAGAGGGAGTTCTCTCGTCGATCGCTTCTGCAAATCACTAATTCAATTTCCACGCAATTGCAATCGGCTTGCGTTAGATCGGGCTCTATTCGATAGAAATTAGGTCTAGGTATCGCTGTAGTATAATAAATTATTGAGGGTATATGTATGTAACTAGATCGTTAGTAGCTTGTTGGAGGAACATCAAATTTCCAAATTATTTGTATTGAAAAAATGGCCACAAATTGTAAAATATTTTATAGAAAAAAAACGAAATTCTGAATGCGGTAAATCGCGGTTTCGACATTGGGTGAAAATAAAACGTTTCCTTTTTAATATGTTTCAACAAATAATTTGGTAACGGTAAAAATCGCGTTTTCACAAGAAAAATAAAACGAAGATGAACGCGACAGAGCCCGACCGCAATAATAAAATAGAAAACGCGTCGCGTTTGCGTTTATTTCGTTAGCAATGTGAAATGACGTGTGAAAGAAGAGCAAAAAGAACTAAAAATTTACCATTTGAATGCAATGTTCTCGAAATTAAATTAGACCATTAACGAGGGCGCACCTGTCGAAATGTTTCTTTTCGAATTAGGGAAAGGTCTTGTTTTCCTTTTCACGTAAACAGCGAAATTACAGCTGTAAAATATGACGACTCCCTCGTTTTTATCTTCTTTAATCGTTTCGCATTTCGCAATTTTCGTTCGTGTAATTTTCGGATCTTTTTATCGCTGCCATCAACCGTCACGCCCGTAATTACGGGTAACTTTATAATTTGCTGTCAAAGTTTTTTAAAGCTTTGTTTTTGTGCGTATTGTTCGCCGGTTCCCCTATGATTAAGATGGGGCTTTGAGTAAATTGAGACAATTGTTTCAGTTTACCTGGGAGAAGCGCCGCGTTAATTAGTGAACATTTAAAGACTTTATTGGGGTGATGTTCTAAAGATTGTTAAAACATTTTCTTTTTGTTCGAAAATTATTCGTTCGTCGATGGAATTTCGCAAAAGCAGACGTTTCGTTTGGTGCACATTTTAATTGGACGAAATCGTCGGTATTCCACATGAATTATTAATTGAATAATTAATAAAAAAAAGTCGAAAATTTAATATTAATATCTAGGTTAGCTCTTACAAAATGCGTTATGCATACAGTAAGGCAATATTCAAATGAATGCAGATACACATGTAGATTCGTCGAGTAGTTTTAATTACCGGACAAAGGATAATTAAAGCGAATTTTTACACTCGGATATTAAGAGAAATTTATGAAAATGTTTTATGTAATTTGCCACTCCACATAGACATGGAAACATTGAATTTTTCACGTATTAATTTGCATACTTCTACTGTTACAATAATTAAAAAAAGTTGTGCGTTTTGCATTGTTAGTTAGATACATTCTTTTATAATTTACGGCCTAAAAAAAGTTTCTCGTACTATCGGATTTTATTGACTCAATTAGTGTTAATTAACAGTAGTTTTAATAGTCCATAAGAATATATGTATATATGTATGCATAAATAAATACTTAGTTAATATACAAATAAATGAACTTATCAAGTTGAGCTATACTTCGTATTTTTACTAAAACGTTTTAATATTTTAATAACAATTTTTTCCTTGGAAAATTCTTTAGTATTGTCCATAACATGTAAATATTCGCTATTTTACGAGCGCAAGCAGAGAAATTCTTCACAATTTTTCATTAAGCCATCTCCCTGTGTTCCTCTGCTAATTCTGTTTTGAACTTTTATCTTTCATAGAATCCGTAACTCATTGCAATTTCTCTAAATTAAACGGAAATTTACGCGAGCACTTGTTGAATTAACTTTTACGGAAAATCTTCGAATTCGCTAACGAGTCGGTAATTAAAGCGATTTCACCCGTTAAGGGATATAGTGGTGACATAAACTGCAATTAAATTAAAAACTTTATACTTCAGCTCGAGTCGCAGAAATTAAAAATAGCCTATATTTTCTCTTATTTTAAGACGCTTTGTAATGTAATTTCCTGCAATTGAGTTATTTTTCAGAAGAATTCCAGGCGTTTAATTTCAATTTAAAACCAACCATAAAATGTTTCTTGCATTAAATTAATTTGTTATTATTGGATTATATTACTTAATAACGCTTAATAAGGCAATTGGATTACAAACAATTTCCCTGTTCATATTCATAATTTTGTAACTGCAGTTTCGATAGAAATGTGATATTGTCAATCACGTTATCACCTTGGTTTTTTTGGATGTCCGTAACAAATGGAAAAAATCCGACCTGTCGGCTTTTTTCCCAATTCGCATTAGCCTTTTGACTGCGACATGCCAACGCCATAAAATAGTTCTGGATTAATAGAGCTTGAAACAATGAATCTTGCATAACCGGCGCGCTCACACTTTATTTAACGGCACAAATAAAAACTCTTTTCTCGGCTAAACAGTTTTTTCGCTTTGATAAATTACGTGCTTCGATTCCGATCGAAATGCGCTAGAAGAAAAATTAATAGATACGAATTTTATATGTGAAAAAATTAGATACCTAATATAGGTACGTTTCTTTTAATGGAGTTAAGTAAGTAGGAATTTATTCTAATCTATTGGAGACATTTCCCGCTATATATCTATATAAATTTAATACGAATTACGCATTAGCGCTTTTTTCTTGTATTAAATTTCATATTAAACTACCAAGGTTACCTGCGCTGCTTGTGTTAAGTTTTCGAATTAATCAAAAGACATTAAATTGGTAATGAATTTTACCGAGTATTATTTATTTCGCTGCAGGTAAATAATTCAATCTGAAAGCGCTGATAAAACGGCTTACATTAAAAATCGCTTGTCAGTTGGGTGTGTGCAGATCCGTTAAGTTGCATACCTTGTTTAATCTGTGCTTTTTTCTGAATATTTCTAAACATCAGTTCATGCTCAATTTACCTGCGTAGAGGCGCACATTTGTTTTACAATGTCTCAGCTTATCAGAAGCAGAAGTCCTTTTAAAAGGTCCTCCAGGTTGTAGACAATTTCGTATCGATTCATAAGTATTTTTGAGTATAGGTACTTCATAGACGAAAAGTTTCAGGATACTGTCTCAATCGTTGAGTATAAAATCCTTTATGTTCATGTCGATGATTTTACGAGCGGATTAAAGCAAGAAATTGATTTGACATTATAATAGGCGTTTCGAGAAACAATTTACCTAATTGGTATTGGTGTATGGCCTTTCATATATTCTTTTATGAATAACTTAAAACGCCATAAACAATAACAAGACATAAGGATACAAATACATTATTTGTTTATGAATATTCCATGCCTAATACGAAATTGATTAGCCAGGAGTACTATAAGTCTTATAGCATCAAAGTGGTTCCGCGAGGTTATATTCAAATTAGTACTGGGTACTTAAGAAATCGAATTTTTGTTTTCGAAAAAAATCGTTACATTTATGATCCATCGGATTCCATTCAAATTTTTACCTTGATGGGCGCCTACGGATGAAGGGTGTGCCTGGGTACAGATCCGAAGTTATGACCTCATTTAGTTGACAAAAATAGCGCCAGGAGCGTGAAACGGAATTTTCTTACAACTCTAATTAATTTAATTTGCGGTTTTAATATTTTTTAAATATACATGATTAGCATACCTATGTATATTTTCTTACTTATCACAGTGTTTTAAAGTAGAAATATAGAAACATTTTTGTATTTACTTTTATTAAAGGCAATCGAACAAATTTATTTTCTAATAAAACGTTTCTGCAATGCCTAAATAAAATTGGTTAACACCAGTGAAATATTGCTAAAATTTGATATAATAATCTCAATATTTACTAACGTAACCATTATATTTTACACAGCAAATGTTATACAATAACATGAGAATCACGTATTCGGTAGTAGTTTTTTAATCAATTTTTCTAACCGCATGATTGTTGATTTACTTTTTTTCCTCTATTACTATACTTTTTCTACCTTGTTGGTAATGTTGGTAAATTAGGTTGGCAAGCATTTAATAATATTTCAAAGTTATCCAAATTCCAAACGTTAATGAGAAACCTTATTGCGATGAATTCATTTTCAATGATTATTTACTGAATATCATATTCCAAAATTCGATTAACTTTATAATTGCATAATTATCCGGCTGAACTTTTAAATAAATAGGTAGTTTGGTACATAATTAACTAAAAAAACAAGTGCCCAATACATTAATGCTCATAAATAATAATACCTCAGTCGAGGAGACGAAAACCATGAATAAATAATGGAAAAACTTTGTCTAGGAAGGAAGCTTCGTGGAATTACTGCGTTCAGTAACGAACTTTTCTACTTCGAATTTTATTAATTCTATTAATTAGGTATTCTTAAGTACTGAAAAGATGAAACAGTAATATTTTTCTTCGACTATACACTACACCCTAATTTTCCACCTACACATATATCATTGTTCCCAAAATTAACGCTGCATAATTGATTGTAAGAACCAATTTTGTTCGTACAGATTGGTAAATTGCTACGTTAATAATTATCTATTCAGTTCTCTCTGGCTTAAACAACATGAATGATTTATTAAAGCTGTAACCGTTGGTTACGTGACCTTTGATTGATACGTAGTGCCGCGCAACATAAAAAAGATCATTTTACTTCGAAAATTTCGACAACACATATCTCATGTCCGGGTCAGTTAATCCGTGATCGACGTTTTCCCTCGCCCATGTAAATTACCGGGAAAATTGTTTCGTATCGAAAGCTTGTCAGAAGGAGTTTATTTTTTACGTCATTTATTTTATGTAAAACTCATTGTAATTTATTATGGCGAATACGTTGAGCGCGCCATTTCGCCCGCCTATAGTACGAAAATCGAGTTTACTTTGCCGTATCTTGCCATATATGCTCCCACTGTTGTGCTGGAAAAGCGGGAAATTTATCGCGTTAATAAATTCAATCAATATTCCAATGTGTCCGTTTATTTTTCTTGGCTTTCTAGATAAATCTACAATTTTTCTTCTTAACATGAATTCTATTAAACTATATGCTTAAACTGACCTTATTACAAATAAAGTATTGTTAGTGAAAAAAAAACACTTTTAAACAAAGTACAACCTAAAGCGTCTATAATACTTGACTTTTATCTCACTAGGATAATGATATCCTTCAGTTTGCACTAAAAATCCAGTTAGAAGTATTGTCAATGTTAAATAAACCATAAGATAAAGGGCGAGTATTATACTTATTTACATATGTATAAGTTTGAGCATAACTTGTAAGTACATGTAAGTATAGGTTTCGAATAAAGAAAACAAATTTCTGCCACATGCTGCTACTAACTCACACATATTGAACTAGTATCCATAATATATAATATAACTCGTACAAAATTATTTATTTATGTAATAATACTGTTCAAAACATTTATTTGAAAGGAACTTAAAAATTATATATTCATATAACACCGTACAAAAGAATGTCTTAAATTAAAATTCACTACTTAAGTTTTAACCATTGTCACACTTACAAACTTATCAATAGAAGAATGATCGAACTTTATCATTTACTCAAATAAACGTAAATTACCCTTTTATAGTACTAAAAAAAACGTTCAATTTGGCACAATAAATGATTATAAATCTAGTTTTTTGTGTCCACCATTAATTATATTGGTAAGTTCAGCTTACAATTACCTAAGTAGATACGTCAATAAGCGCGTCACGGCACGTCGATTAATTAATAAATAAATGAAAAAGGATCTACTGGTCCTAGCAGTTCTATTTTAGAGTCCAGTTTACATATAATATTTAAACGGTAAAAGGCAAGAGTATAGTTTGACTAGCGTGAAATAGTCATTAGCACACTTCCTAAAAAACCGAATCTAAATAATCACAGAAAAAATTGATAAGAATTTAGAGCGGCAATAGTGATTGATAATAGCCCAGTAGAAAAACCACTTCTTAAAACTACCTACTTACATAATATCATGACGATACTAATTTAAATCCTTAAAACGAAATAACGTATAATATCAACACAATCACTTTTTTTTCTTTCAAACAAAAAAAAGTACAGCTGGAGATCACAACAGTTTATCGAAACGTATCTCTAGCCGAAAATCACAATTTCGTTTTGTAAATCCCATCTACCGGCTCGTCCGGTGCGTCAGTGCTAAAAATGGGATTAATATTACCGCCCTTCCTGCAATCCTGCACCGAGAGGCTCGTCGACGGCTGCACGAAATTGTCCCCTTTGCCGGTTTTCTCCAGCTTCTCGTCCATGCAGTCGTCCTTCTGCGAGTAGATGCGCTTCTTGCCCGGAAAAACGTTGGCCATCTTCCTGGCGATCGGGTGGATCAGCTCCTCGTCGTACCTGTCTTCCTCGCTGCCGGTGAAATAGGACACCGCCCAGCCGAAGAGGATCGTGATGAAGCAGCCGATGAACGAGTAGTACATGTAGCTCACCGAGTACAATTGGGTGAGGGGATCGCTGCGAAATACGCGCGGTTATCGATAGAAAAAATCGATTTCGACGTGCTACTTACGATGGAGCGGCCCTCGTCGTGTTGAGTAGACTGTGAGTGTCGTTGTAGATGAAGTACGGCGACGGGGTGGTTGTGGGAGTCCAACTGAGCACGTTGTGCTCGGGCTTGAGGATGTGCGGATTGAATGACGAGTTACTGCAACCGTCCGTGTACAAAGCCAGCCGATTCGCCGGTGGTTTTTCTACAGTTAAACCGCCGAAAGTGATCCACAAAGTCACTACGTGTCCAGTTATCATTCCTATGCTGGCGCCCTTAAAAGTAACAGTAATTAAATGCTATTGCCTTTGGTACAATCGGTTGATGTTATGCGTAGGCGGGCACATTAGAATTTCCGTCCGAAATAATTTTGGATGATGATCGATTACTAATCTATTAGATATGCATTTGAAACAGGGTATAAATTCATGCTTTGCGAGATACGGGCAGACGCACATGCAAGCGTCGGTATTACCCTTTGTGTTGAATGAATACAGAATTCGCTTGTACGCGTATCCTACGGGGCGAAATATTTCTGCAATATGCTTAGACGGAACACTTTGTGAATAACTAAACAGGGAGGTTTGTTTCGAGCAGGCTTTAATCACGTCAAATGGCTTATTTAATGAAAATTAACCCAATTTAGGTAGCTTTACGACGGAAAAAATGATCAATTAAACCGTACTTAAGGGACTCCGGATACTAGCGAATCCACTTTACACTCTAAAAAAAATCTAATAAAAGCGTAGAAAAGAATAATTTATACCTTCCAATTGGCGCATGGTATCAGTATAGCCATGACGAAGACGCCGAGGAGAGGCCCCGAAGTGGCCGATGTGACCAATAAGGACGACTCTATTACGCCGTCCAAGAGCCCCACTCCGAAGCTGATTCCCATGATGATGAACCCGTAGACGACCCCGATGAATTTGATGGCCCAGAGCTGGTGGTGGTCCTTCAAGTTCCTGAGCACGGGAATGGGCCGGATGAAGTCCTCGAAAGTGACCGTCGCCAGGGAGTTCAGGTTCGACACGTTCAAACTGGAAAACGGATACGTTCAGGATAGCTCGTTTAACAAGGCGGAATTAGACGCGCGAGGGGGCTCATTGCATTATGCGAACGATTTAAATGAAAAATACTGTTTTCGCGACAGGAATTTATGGAAAGTTGTTATTCATTTTGCCGAGCAGAGCTGTTGCGTTGCGACATGACGAATGGCGAATTTTTTTACGTCCGGCGTGCTCGCGGAAAAACATAATTGCTTATATATTACTCACCTGAGGGCGCCGTTGAACAGGCTGGCCATAAACAATCCCAATATGCCGGGCAGATAGCTGAATCGGTCCTCCACGAAAAACGGCAGGATTTCGTCGTATTTGTCTATGTAGCCGGTTGATAGGGGATCGCAACTGGCGTACACTGCGTACACCACCATGCCCACCACCCACGAGAGACTGAATAGTACTGTAATGACGGGGATGTTCCACATCATAGCCCTAGGGAAAAATCGAAGTTTTAGTTACACATGAAATATTTTATTGTTGTTTTACGTACTTAGTAACTTGTTTTTGCGAGTCCATGCTGCAGTAGCGTTGAACGAAGTTTTGTTGGCATCCGAAAATCGAAAGAGACATAAACAGTTGACCTATCAAAGCTGAAGTTGTCGTAACTCTTGCAGTAAGATCCAAGCTGAAGCTAAAAAAATAATATTATTAAAAATGCGGATTTGACCTTAGAGACTTCAGCTATATCCCTGTCGATCTGTATCCACTGTCCGTTCACAGTAATTTAATTATTCATTTTAATTTTCCCAACAGAACGATTTTTCCATCAAACAGCAATTTTTTCGTCATCGATATTGATTTTGTAGCCATATTTTCAATCTTAAATCTAATTGAATTTGAATAAAAAAACGCCGTTCTCTACTCGAACCGATTTTTCGGCATTATTATTTCGTTGTAAGCAAAAAAAAAACTTTTTAATTTGTCATCAATCGGCAATTCGCCAACCCCCCGCGGTGCTCCGAAAAACTCCCCCTTTTTTTTAATAAACTCCAGTTTCGACGCCGGAACGCCGGAGCGCCGCCAACTAAAAACGGGACCCGACCCGTTTTAATAAAGGCACCGGATTTTAATAACGGATTTGAATATTATTGTAGCGAGGCAGTTGGAAATATTTGTTACCAATATAAATTGGACCCGAAATTATTCTGTCCTTCATGTGCTAATACAATTTGTCGAACAGTGGAGTAGTCCTAAAGGCGGAATTTTAAGTTGAGAGCTTAGGGAAGCCTTGGGTATCTTATTTGATTTTAAATAATTAATTACATTAGTTGGTATATTTGATCGAATTAATTCAACTTTTTTTAATTTATTCTAATTAATCTAATTGTTGTTGAAAACATTGGAGGCCAAATTTTATATTAATCTATTACTTTATATTAGGCATATTTTTTATGCAAATTTTACTGATTTATAGCTTACAGATTTTTTTAGATAGTCACTGTAATTATGTCAAACGTTATCGCGATTATAAAATCTCGATATTTAACGGTTATTTGTCGAATAAATATGAGCAGAACTGCGAAAATTGGGGCCCTCGGAGTAATTTTCTTCGGAACGCCTTTGGAGATGGAGACTCCGCTTAGTAAATAGAGTGAGAGAGGCATTTGCATCAGAAGTGTTTAATTATAAAATTTACTGTTTGAATTTGATTAAAATCCCGACCCGGCGAAAACAATTATTTCCCAATAGGGGTCAGTTTTCCTCGGAGTTTTCGGGTGAACTTTTCGCAGCCAAACTTCGGAAAAATAGGCGATTTCTCGTATCTGATTGTGCCGAGTTTGAGTTTTTTTTATTCGTGTAGCCGTATTTAACGTAAAAACCTCAGGGAGTTGAGAAAAGTTTAAATGTCTATATGAGAATTAATCACAGTTTTATCCGAGATATTATTTATGCGAATTCGTTTTTATCGTTTAATTCATTTTTAATAACATTAGGTAAATTTTACAAAATTATATTTATTTTATACCTTTCCGGTTTCAATTATTTTTTTAATTCGTTTTAATAAAAAATCGTAGTTACATAAATAAATCTGTTTTTAACATTAAACCAAGGTCGTTCACGACGAGTTCAATAATATTCGTTATGTTATTCCAAAGTCGATTTTATTCAAAGTGGATTATTTATTAATTCGGTTTCCTTGAATCATTTTTTAAATAAACATACATGTAGCAAATTTGTGGAATATTAAAATATAAGTATTGCGAAGAGCGCTTTTAAAACGTAATTTAGGAAAATATCACGCTTATGCAACCACTCTTTAATCATATTGTCAAGAAAATTGATTATAATAAATGGACAAGGAAATATAATAAGTCCAGTTTATTAATTGGAAACTTGAAAAGAACAATAGACACAAATCCGGAAAGTAAATAATTACTTAGAAACACTCATCTGACGCCTTCCATAACTAATAATTACGCATAATTAGATACATTATTACAATGTATCTATCCGCATCAAAATTACGGCCATTAATTATAATTATACACATATAGTACTGGTTGATATAGAAGATGAAAAGAAGTTTAATTAGCTAGGCATTTAATTTCTTAGTACTTACTTGAAAAAATTCAATCTGCCATCTTCCTTGTTAATGGAAACTACTTTACTAGGACCACCGGCTTCGAAGCATCCTTGAAATATTATCGCCATGCTGACCACTATCATTGTAACGCCCTGCATTACGTCCGCCCAAATAGCGGCCTTCAAACCGCCCTATAAAAAAATCATTTTTTATTCTTATATTTCATTGTAATTAATTGTTTCAAGCACTTCCTCACAAATTTGTTTTCTGATAAGATCAACATCACTTTTTTATCGTTTCATGACTCAAATTATAATTTGCCTGGCACACATCCCATATCTGTGCATAAACAATGTTAATTCTTGCTATCTCAAAGAAAATATTTTTTACTCGCAAACAACAAAAGTTAATTTAAACATAATTGTTTTGGGACTTGCTAGTTGTTTTTTTTTAATGTATTTGTCGGTGCGCCAATGGCGGAATTGTATCGAGCCCCGTCAATCAATCTGTCCTTGTTGAACAAAAGCGTGTTCAATAACTTACCAGCATATTGAAAATAATGCTGACTACCGAAATGCCGGAGATGGAGACCCAATAAGGAATTCCAATAACGGTGTTGAGAGCAACGCAAGGAGTGAAAACTGTCACACCCTGGTTGAGGAGAGCTCTTACTATGTACGTTCCCGACGCCAATTGCTTCACAAACTGCGATTTGAACCTAGAAATTTTCCATAGAGAGTTTGCGAATAAACTGGAAACCCCTGTGGGTTTTAAACAGCAATTTTATGTACACGATACTAAAAAGTTTAACGAACCTGAGGTGCAAATATTGGTAAATAGACGTTATACCGAGGTTGAAGTACACCGGAACAAATATGAAACAAACTATAGGATAGGCCAAGACCATGCCGTAGAGGGTCTCCCACATCGTCGCTCCTCTGTAGAATAGTTCCGAAGGGTAACCTGCGGGAAAAATGCTTTTAGCTAGTCCGAACGACAGGTAGCGGTTTTTAGGGTCGGTCGGTTATCGGCCGGTATTTAGACATTGTTCCAGACATAACTCCGAGGAATCACTATGCTGGAAATGCGACCTGGTCGAGCTTATTAATCTAACACCGCTCATTCCGATATCGTTCAGTTATACGGGAACAGGAAGGATTATTCAAAGGATTTCAATACTGACGACATATTGCACGAACTATTCAGTTTTAGTTTCTTGAAGAGAGCATTGAGTGTTGCATTTCTGCGGCTTACCTAGGAAGGATCTGACGCCCAGCGTCCCCCTGGCTATGCTCAGCATCATGGCCCCCATGGAGACCTTTCCTGCGGCAAAAACGTAGTCGGCTTTCGTCTTTTCCTTTGGCCCGAAACATTTCGAGTATACAGCGACGAACGTGCTGGCTATCACGAATATCACGAAGACTAGGTAGTCCCATACCATACTGTTCACTTCTTTCGACATTTTGTTTTGCTATTCCTATACTTGAAGATTCTTAATGATTAAATAAATATCTGAAACCAAAATGAAATATATATTTCAGTGTATTTTTTTGGTGTTTGTTGAGATAGTTGACCTAAGAAGATACTTATTAAAATTGATTGCAGTTAAAAAGTTTTTTAGAGATAAGACGCAGTAGTTATCGGAGATAGTAAATATCGAAAAATATTGCATAAAATTTTAGGGCTACTGACCTTAACATTTATCTTAAAAAATAGCACACGATAAATACGTAATATGCAAAAATAATTATTGTGACAATTCCATTGATAAAAATTTAGAATTAAATTTAGCGGTTTCTTTTGTTGATTCAACAATTCAAATGGCATTCTTCCCAAGTCTTCCATTACCGCACGGGTCTCTTACGCAAACAATTCTCGGTAGGTACTTAACGGAACTTGCGGAACTAAAATCTATTAAGGTAGGCTAGGCTGAGATTAGACGATGACCTTAAAACCTTCATCGGCTTTGAGGAAAAGCACGTACCGGCGAAAAATACAAAATGCAATTTTAATATGAGCTGTATCTTCGGAGCGAATTCGAATGATTATTGGTACTATTGCGCAACGGATTTCGACATGTTTTAAATTATGGTATATTATGCGAAAAAAGGACCACAATGCTGTATATAAGCATTTTTTGTTCAGTATTAGCTAAAATTATACCCATCAACCAAGCGCACAAGGTCGAAATATTAAGTGCATACTAATTTCGCATTTCTCCCGTGACTTTATTGAATTTATTAGGTTTTGAATTAGAAAAATGTATTTCCATACAATTAAAAGATGATGTATAAATAAAGAAAAAAAAAGTATGAGGAAAATGCACTTACTGTGTGAAATTTTTTATGTAATACAATTTTATTGAAGTGGTGAAAATAAATATTAACAATTTTGATTTCATTGGTTAAGTATCATTTTAAATTTTATAAAATATTAACCATAACAAACGTTTTATTCAAAGTAAATTGCTTATATATGTCATGATAAACAAATTAATTAATAATAGCTCATTTTTAATTAACTTTTAATTTCTTTATCAGTCACGACTTGAGTGCATGATTCTGCATTGGCATCACAAACTCACAACAACAAAATCAAGAAAATACATAAAATTAGTCTAATTACAAAAAGAAAAAAGGATTTAATAAAAATATTCAAAGAATCTCGAACTTTAATTGGTATACACCCGGAGTATGCGTATACTAAATCAAAATTATCAATCAATAAATAAATCTGGACAAGATAAACAAAGTCGAGTAAACAACAACAAAGAGTTAAAATAAAAATTACCTGTTTATTTCGATCGACTGATATGGCGAAATCACTGACCATTCTCTACTGAACGATCTCTTAAAATGATTACCATTCACCATCGACAATGTGTATTTAAACGGTAAAGGGGCTTGAAGAATAAATATTTAACGATTTTAACAATGTCTGAAATCAAAAACTCATACAACTATACTTATCTTAAACTACTCTGTAATATTTGTTTGTCGAATACACTGCTCGACATAAACATTGTATCCACATGCTGTATAGCATAAATTCGTTACTAATGTTGCTTGTTTTTGGGCTTATAACGTTATGTTGTTAATTATGAAATACAAATATGTTACCTAACGCTCTCCAACGTCTTAAAATAAATAAAAATGTAAGATAATTTACCTAACTGAGGTCGATAGTAATTTGAATTTTCTATGTACATGGATAGTATTGGCAGTACTTTCGTTTAACTTTCAAGAAATTATCAAGTTCAAGACGGCTAGTGTATGCGAACTAATTTATATAGGATAAAGAACACGCAAAATATTAAAACAACTGTATTAAAGAAGATATAAATAAGCAAACATTCAATGAAGAATTTTTTTTCTGAAATGTGACATTCACGTGACCATTTACGAGGTAACGCGAAAATTTCCATCATGTATAATTTTTACAAATATTTAAACAAATTTTACGTTGAACTCTTGTGTAAGACAATTGTTATTAAACTGATATTTAATCAAATTTCAACTGAATTTGCGCATGTTATACATAAATACCTAGAAAAATTAAAATAAACAAATATAATTAAATTATTGATTTGATTAATTAATGGTGTTCATAAAATTTGATTCGAGGGATCACCGACCTCTCAAAGAATCTCTATAAATAAAATTTTGCCGGTGATTTTGCAATGATTTTCAATAGCTTCAAAAGGGTGCATTGACAGGTAGATAAACATGTTTGTTGAAAAAAAAACATTTTTGCAAGTAAATAAAATCTTAAAAGATTATAAAGTACATTAGGAGAAATAATGTAAAATGTATAACAAAAACAAAGAGAATTGGGACATTTGCCCTTCGTAGAGATAACAGTTCGCAAACACACTGATGGTGACCATAGCCTCAATTCAGTAAACTGTTCATTCGGAACACGCATGCTGAAAATCCCTAACAAAACAAAATTTGCATAGAGGAAACTTTTAATAAAATTAAAGAAACAACGTTTTCCTTAGGATTTCGCTAAAATCAACTAGCAAATATTGATACAGGAATAAACGCGCAAAATCTTTTTCAAGAATTGTTTTTTTAAAGTCGGTTTATCAGTAGGTATTAACAAATCTGTCTAGTACGGTGAAATTATGTTTCAAGTTTTCTAATCTAAAAGAAAACTCCAGTTTCGAGGTGATCATTTTTGAATCTATCAAATATTTATTCAAAAAATTACCCCATTCATCTACAATGTCTAGAGTAAACTGAGTACTTTTCCTACTACAGAATTTATTGTAGTTGATTCATTGCCTACTAATGTTGTTAATTTTCCTTTCAATTAAAAGGAGTGGAATCGAATTAACGATACCGATTATTGCGTATATTTTATTGACAAATTGTTGACGAAACTTTCTAATTTCATAAAATGTAGACGACTTGGATTCAGTCGGTATTAAAATTAATGAGATCCAAAGATTTTACCAAGATTAAAAAATAAATTTTATTTATTGATCAGAAACCAAAAATCCTTGAACTTGAACTAGAGATGCACAATAATTACACGTCGAGTTTGCCAGATTCATATAGGAGATTCCAAACGGTTCATTGGTGCTTACTAATAGAAATTATACATGTCTACTTATTTAATTTATTTTATACCACTTTTTCTACATTTCTTTCGTTGCCCCCCGATTGCACCTTCTATTTACGATTTAACCAAGCGAACCGAATCATAAAACCGCGCCACGCTAATTCGAACTCCATTAGCGAAATTCGGCAAAAAGTTTCGATCGAATTTCGGCACGCAAGCATAAAATTCAATTCGGTAGGTATTAAAATTATTTTATACTTACAACTTCTCTAACTTTCTCGGGGAGTAAGCGTTTCGAATAAAAAAGAACTGTTGAAGTTAAAGAGCCAACTAACGCCGATTCGAATGGAGCTTGTTTATCTTCAATAGAGTTCAACCGCACCACACGCAGTAAACATGATCATATACGGGAAAGGTGCAACTGCACGGCTGTAGACTGTAAATTCAAATTAATTACCAAAATGAACAATTATTATAATTCTTTAAATAACTTGTTGATTATTTGTTCAACGTAAAATTTAAAAGGATTGGCTCTGTTATCTCCGTATAGACCGTATATAAATTAATCCTTTTGATTGCAAGCTATGTATGTATTTAATTGATTTATTCAGTTAAGTGTCCTGTTTTCAATTCTGTTATCACGTAAGTACAAAGCAATTTGATTTCCGAGTAATTTATGGAAAATTTCAATGCAATACAAATAGTCACAGCATTAATATTAATAGAAATCGATTTAAATTCAGAAAAAAAGTCTCCACCTTATACATGCTGAATCATAGGCATATATTTAAATAATGCATAATTGATAATGTTTAAAAAATATTTGCATACGCTTATTAAATTTGCAGGAATAACATTAATCGATCCTAAATGAATTGTATCTGTTCAATTTATGAATTATTCGTTACAGATATTTTGTTTCAACCAGCTACTTTGTAAATGAAATTTTATAAAAAAATTTACGAGGTGAAGACAAAATATGCAGGATATATTTTATGCAACCCGTTAACACGAATTTTTACCGGCTGTTATAATGTATAAAAGGGAGATTTAGTGCTATTTTTATTTTTATAGGTATTTTATCCTGTACGTATAATTTAGATTTCCATCCAATAGCAATAAAATGATAAATAAGAGGGAATAAATTGATTTATTATAGTCTTTAATGGACCCCATAATCATTTATTATTTTAATAATAGGTTTTTTATGTCTACAGTAATTTATCTTTGATTTAGTATTGCCAATTTTCGTCCATATCTTAAGGAAATCAATATGTTTAGTTAGAAATAATGAATTAAAATCGGATAATTATTGTTAGATGTAGATACTCACATTTGAAACAATGCATTGAAACCGTCAGATGTTGATCGGCTATTTAATTTCACACACTTACAAAAGTATTTCTTACGAACCACGACATTTACTGTATAAAATAAACGATAGTTCGCGTCGACATAATAAGTAATTAAAGATTAATCTGTGCACTACAATAGGAAAATGTAATGTTTGTACCAAACACTCCATGAATCACATTTAACATTTTTGTTTCCTCGGTATTGAGCAAGAACTGTTTTTGCGGTTGTATTAAAATTGTATAGGCTACTAGTAAGTACTACTGTTATACATGTTGCAGATAACACAAGAATTATAAAAATTCATAAAAACCGCAACAGGATTTGCATAAATTTTCATACCTTTTGAATGAATTCGACCTACAACGTGCTTCATTCATAGTTTCTGCTAAACGTTACTGTATGCTTTTTGTACTACAATTTACATTTGTAGCTGTTCATTTTAAAATGTTTTGATATGGGCAAGTTAAAAAATATTATTGGAAGAAGCATTACTTACTACTCTACTAAAAGTACGTAAAAATGAATGCAATTAGGTCAGTTATGGTTCACAATTTTCGCCCTAATAACAAAGCATAATTCAGTAGCAATTA